GGTTATAAGAGCAATAATTATGACAGTGGTTATAAGAGCAATAATTACGACAATGACTATAAAAAGAATAGTTATGATAATGGCTACAAAAAAAATAGTTATGATAATGGCATGAAAAAGAATAGTTATGATAGTGGCTATAAAAAAAATAGTTATGATAACTCTTATTCGTAAGTCATGTTATATTTTAAACTAGATTTTCTTAATATTTTTCTTTTTCTAGTTCATATAATGATGATGATGATAATAGTTATTCAAAATCAGACTATAGCAAGTATGTAGATAAATTTAAAAAATATGTTTTATTATATTTTGTCTTATCATAGAAATGGTGGTTTCAGTTATCCAAGTCATAAATCCAAAGGTAGTAAAAGTTATTCATCATCCAATAGCGGTTATGGCAATAATGATTATGCTGGAAATTACTATCGTAAAAAACGTCAATATGGTTTAAACGTTGAACAAGAAACAGAACGACACTTACCACAACAACTTGCAGTTGAATATTCACCAATGACTTCAGTTCAACAAAAAGTCCGATTAACAACAGAATCACTCATTCAACGTATGTCATTATTTAAATATTCGTTTTTTGCTATTTAATTTATGTAAATTTATTTCAGCATCAATCTGTGTTGGTAAATCAATTAAAACTAATGTTCCACATCCAACAGACTTAAAAAAATACATTTCATGTTTAAATGAAAATAGTTATAAAGTAATGGATTGTCCATCAGGTCTCATTTTTAATGTTGATATCAATCAATGTGAAAAAACAACAAATTCAGAATCACTTTGTGAACGTGATCAACCATGTATGAATGATGGTCAATGTTATCAAACAAGTCCATCATCATATAAATGCACATGTCGAGGTTCATGGACAGGTGAACGTTGTGAAACACCTTTATCATCTTGTGCATCCAATCCATGCGGTGAAAATAGTGAATGTCATACATTAGTTGCAAATGATTTCAAACAAGATTATGTTTGTGTTTGTGATAGTAAAAAATCATACGGTTTAACTTGCGGACGAAGTATGTTCTTTAAATTATTTTCTAATTAAAATTATATAAAAAAAATTATTTTTTTATTTTTCATAGATACTGTACCAAATCCATGTATCGCTGAACCAGAAGATCGTGAACAATACTATCCATTTGCATACAGTGCTCATGCTTACGTACAATGTAATGGTGATCTCTTCTATGTTCGACCATGTGCAGGTGGTTTATTCTGGAATCAAGAAACTAAAATCTGTGATCGCGCTGAAGTAGCTCCAGCACGTCCATTTCACGAACAATCAGAATCATATAAAAATACCTATGGTTCTCCACAATCTAAATTAATGTTTACCCGACCACTTGTTAGTGCTGCTGATCAAAGTGTCGATACACAACAAGGTTATCGTTATCGAAACTATAATCCACATAAAATGGTTAACGATCAAGGGTAAATAAAAGAAAAGAAAATTTTTATGTATATTTTATTTTATCTTATAGAACATTCAATCAAATCAGTTCACGCAAAGAAATGCCAATGAATTCATTTTTTTCAGTACCATTAGTAATGAAACAAAATCGTCGTTTACTCGCTCAACCACAATATACAACAAGAGAAGAACAACCAACTGAATCTGATCAAGAAACAAGTAAAATATTTACTAAATTAGAATTAAAAGAAAATCTAAATATTTTCTTTTCCTAATAGATACATTTGTTCAACCAACACCACAACGACCCACATTCCGCTTTTTCCATTCATCACCATCTCGAATGGTCAATAGCATGAATACACAATCATCTTATAAAAAATAGATAACAAAAAATGTATAATTTTGTTGATATAGATTTCATTTATCTATATTAACATTATTATTTTTGTTTTTTATTGACGATGATCAATCGTTTACTTTTTCTACGTATTCGTGTGATGTTTACGTGTGAGTGTTTGATATGTTTTCGATTTTTTACCTATCTTCTTACTGTTTTGTTTTCATTTCATAACATTCCGTCCGTTTTGCTCTTATTTTCTTTCGTTTTTTATTTCTTTTTATACGAATCACTCAGGATAACTGAGCGTTTTATTATAGAAAAAATAAACTGCGTTGTTTTGCATATATATTAAATACTTGTTTTTATACTATTTTAACTGAACGGATAATCTAAAAACTAAAAAGAATATATTTTCAGGATTATAGAGAGTTTAAAAAAATCTATGGAATTAATTTTCTAAAATTACAACCATGATGAAATATTAGTAGACAAAATATGTAATTTCAGACAATAATTTATAATCATTAGAAATTTTAGAAAAAGAAGAATATCATGTATATCGGATGATTTTTCCGGGATAATATGTAATAGTAAATTTAAATTATATAAAACAGATGCTTGAATATGTTACTATAGAATTGATCTTATGATGTATTATTGTGTAGATATTGGAAAACATAAATTTATCAAGAAAATCATCATTTATTCAACAGAATAACGGATACATTATGTTTTATATTTCATTTATTTTTAGCTAACATTAACACATAAGAATAGGAATAAGACATGTTTCAAGGGATTATAGTTGTGTGACTAAAACTATATATGTTCTTCTTACATGAATAAGACGATAATGATCTATTTTGTTAAATCTTCCAACTTATCTTTATGTCGATATTCATGTCAGTTTCTTCCACTATTATAAATAAAGTATTAACACATTTAGTTTTGATAATTCCGTCTCTTCTAATCGGTCTTATAACTATCATATATAAGTATAATGTATTATTGAATTGTTTCTCATACATTTTTTTTCTCATATTCTGAATAGTAAAAATGTTTTGATCATTCTTTATCGAATATATACATATTTTTAAATATTTAAACATTCCACTAGGAACATTACTTTTCTTATATGTGCATCTTTTTGATTATGCAACCGATCTGTTACATAAAAGTAAGAGCAGAAACGAATATATTCTCGTGCGTTCGTAGACTATCAAGTACAAAATAAAGCGACAAATAACGAACGAAAAAAGAAGGGCTGCTTCGACCTATGCATACTATGTAATGTGGTTATAGATACACATATTTGAAATATATATTTTCTCTTAGTATAAAAGTATATGATCAATCAATTGTTACTATTTCTAGAATCTATATTAAAAAACTTAAGTTCCATTTATCATCAGAATGACTGTTGTCCTTGATCAGGAAAGTATAAAAAGTAAAGAAGCATTTATTAATGATAATTCTTTCTCAATTAACAATATTCAAGAAAATTTAAAATTAAGAACCAATGAACGTAATGATCAGAATTGTAAGTTTAACGATGGTGTTTGCTGCCATGTGTCTGAGAATAATTCTTGTTCTTTTCTTTCGTTCTTGTTTTTCTCGTTCTTCCTACCACAAACACAGTCCCAAAAGACCCTGTCACATGTCGTCGTCTTTTTTTTTTGTTGGTTATATAATACCATCTACATACAAGGTTACATAGTACAAATTTATTTAAATTCATTTTATTGTCAACTATTATTATGATTAATATTACAATTGATAGTACTCCTACTGTATTATATTTTACTACCGACATAGATCATCATTCCATATTGAAATCTCGGATTCACAATAAGGATAAAAAGTCAGAGTACGAGTGACCTTGATGAGTTAGGTAAGTATTCGAAAAGAACAGCAGAGAAAAAAACATTGGTTATATAACCAAGGTGTGTTTTTAAGATAAAAATTTCATGTTTTTATATTCATTTTAGTACAAACTGATTTGTTAGACACATCAACAGAAATGTCATCATTCAATCCATGTCGTATGTATTGTAAATGTTCAACATGTTTTATACTTAGTTGTATTACATTCGTTATGGGACTTATTATGTTATTTACATTTGATCCAATGGTGAACAAAATAATAGCAAACGTTAGTTATCACTATTTTTCTTCATAAATATATATATATATTAGAAAAAAAATATTCTTTAGAAAATGGCAATTATTGAAGGACGAGAAGGTCATCAATTTTGGAAAAATCCACCAGCTGAAATACATCGAAAAATGTACATATGGCATTGTGCTAATCCAATTGAAGTACAAAACGGTGGTATACCAGATCTGATTGAACGTGGACCTTATGTTTATCGGTATGATCCAGGCTATTAATCTAAAACTAAACTAAATATTGTTTCATTTTTGCAGAGAACAATGGAATCGATCTAATATATTTTATAATGATGATTTAAGTACACTTTCTTACATTCCAATAACAACACTTTATTTTGATCGAAATCAATCAGTCGGTCCTGATGATGTGTATGTTACTGTTATTAATGTACCATTAATGGTAAATCTATCGCTGTTCTTTTTATTAATATTAAATATTAGAATTTTTAATAGGCTATGGCACATGAAATTCAATTTAATTCTTCAGAAATTCAAAAATCTATTAATATATTTCTTCATTTATTTGGTACAAAATTATTTGTTAATGTTACTGTTAAAGATTTAATGGAAGGTACAAAAAAAACTAGTCGAAAACTCGGTTTCTTTCTTTATTAATCAATCTTTTTATTTATTAGGTTATACCGATGCATTAATTGAAATGGCTAGTTTAGTAAAACCCGGTTCATTAAAAGACAATAAATTTGGAATTTTACAACCTGTAATAGACATCTATCTTACAATATCTTATAAAAAATAAATTCATATTTTATTTAGAGAAATGGTTCATATTACCAAAATTTTACTATTAATACTGGATACAATGATATTACTGAAGTCGCAAAGGTTATTTCATTTAATGGCGTTCAGTAAGAATAAATTCATACAAAAAGAAAGAAATGTAAATTATCAAATAATTTTTCTTCAGACGCTTAAATTATTGGTCTACACCACAAGCAAATATGTTCAATGGAACAGGTATAATTTAGTCTAATTTTACAAACGAATTTTTTAATTGGAAAAGAATTTAGATGGATCATTATTTCCACCACATTTAAATAAAAATAAAGATGTTTATTCTTATAATGCTGATATGTGTCGGTAAGAAATGTTTTCTATTTTGAATAATATTTATTATATAACAAAATTTTCCTAGATCTTATTATTTATCATTTTTACGTGAGAAAAAAGATGGTTATGTTACATTATATGATTATCATTTATCATCCAATGTATTTAATATGTCTCGAGAAGAAAATCGTGGTTTTTGTGGTCAAGGTTCTTGTTTAGGTGATGGTGTACTTAATATAAGTACATGTTATTCGGGTATTTAATTACTTTTATTTATTTTAAAATATTAAATTCATATTTGGTTTTTTGTATATGTAATAGGAGTATGGGGTTTTATTTCTTCACCACATTTTTTTCAATCAGATATGAAATTTCGTCAAGATGTTCGTGGCATGTATCCAGATGCGAATAAACATGAATTTATTATGAGTTTTGATCCGGTATAGAAAAAAAGCTTTCAATAAATATTTGATTTTCCTTTTTTTCAAGTTAACTAGTGTTCCATTTGCAGTTAATGTTCGATTACAATTAAGTTTCTATATGCCACGAATACGAAATATAGAGTTTGTGAAGTTTTATTTAATTTTTTTTGTTAAAAAGATTTTGATTTGTTTAGTTTATTAAAATCAGTCAGACCAATAATAGTACCAATTGTATGGTTTGATGATGAAGCACGTGTTACACCTGAAATTCATTCAAGATTATCGATGTTAATATTATCATTAAATATTGCTTATTATGTTAAATTTATTTTACCAGCGATTAGTATGTTATTGATTTTAATTACTTCGTTATATATTTATGTACAAGTAAAATTGAAAAATTTGTTGTATTTAAATTGAATTTTATATGAATGATTATTTCTTTTTAGTGGCAACGTATTCAACGGGAACGAGTAAACTCGAAAGTACCTTTATTAAATGGAAATATTGAAACATAAAACAAAAACATTGTAGTTTTTTTTATCTGTCAATTTTTTTGTACTTAAAGTTTTCTCTTCTGTTTAACATTTCGTTTCTAGTCATGTTTCTTGCGTATTCCAGTTGTTGCTTTTATAAATTTCATGCACAAGAAAAAGGCAAATGTTTTAAGCGAATTGATAAAGAACTAATGTTCATAAATAGTAAAAATGAAAAAATGTAGGTTTCATATAAACATTCATTTACATTTAACAGTCAAAATCCAATATTTGTGGATGTGATTAAAGGAGAGCTGAAATACATTATTCAATTTTACGCATTTTGATTAACTCTAACACATAGTCTAATAATGTTAAGAAAATTTCTCTTTTACTATTCTGATTATTCTTCGACTGTAAGATGTTATTTGACGAAAAATAATTGTATTGTATACTTCATTAGATAAGAAGATTTTTCTTTATCTGCATCAATAGAATCTAATCAGTTTTACTGCGTACCGAACTCAGTGCTATTCTATATAGCATCTTCGAATATGAATAGATGTACTGATACAGCACTCAATTATGTGCCATCATTTCATTCATGATAGTTTATGTAAAATTATGAATAGAAGCAATTAAGTTTTTTATCGAATAACTATATGTCGTACCAATATTTTCAAAAATTTTTAGTTCTTTAAAAAACCAAAATACAATGATATTATAACAAAAACTATTTACAAAAATCTTTTTGTCCAAGTCTATTCTTGTATATTGTAGTTAAACTAACAGGATTTGTCTGCCATCTTTCAGAAGAAATCTATTCGTTTCAATAATCATACTCTAACATCCAATCATAGTTGACTATTCAGCTAGCAGAAAATTCTTCTTTCGTACTATCAAGCTCTTTTCTTTTGTTTTTCGTTTGTTCAAATTATTTTTCTATATTCTTAAATATGGCAGCTGGTGCTGCCGCTGCTGTTCTATCCAGTGGTCGTTTCTATGCATTGATTGGCTTTGAAATTCATGTTAAACTTGCTACAAATTCAAAAATGTTTTCACCATCATCCGCAGCTCCAGCTCAACCAACAAATAGTCAGGTAACACCATTTGATATGGCTTTACCAGGTTCACTACCTTACTTTAATCGTGCATGTCTTGAAGCTGGTATTCGTGCTGCTATTGGTCTTAATTGTCAAATAAATAAAATTTCTCATTTTGAACGAAAACATTATTTTTATCCTGATTCACCAGCAGGTTATCAAATAACTCAACAACGATATCCATTTGCTTCCAATGGTCTTTTTCATTATCCATTATTAGTTAAAAAAGATAAAATCAAATCATCAACAAAATATAAAGTATATAAAAGTAAAACTTTGATTTTTCTATTAATTCATCAACATTTATTTTAGTTTGTTGACAGTCCTAATTCATTTATTGTTAAACAATGTCGTATAGATCGTATTCAACTTGAACATGATACTGGTAGAAGTATTCATGATGAACATCAAAATCGTACTTTAATAGATTTAAATCGTTTTGGTACAGGTCTTATTGAAATAGTTACTCAACCCGATATAAAATCAAGTCTTGAAGGTGAATCATTTTTACGTGAATTAAATCGTCTATTAATAAAATATAATATATGTGAACAAAGTGGTCTTGAAACAGCAGTACGTGTTGATGCTAATGTTAGTTTACATCGTACGGATACAAAACCAGATGGTAGTCGTGTTGAAGTAAAAAATATTGGTAGTTTTATTGATGTTAGACAAGCAATTGATTTCGAAATTAAACGACAAGAACAATTATTAGTAAATAATTATCCTATTGAAAAAGAAACACGAACATTTGATACAAATAAACATCAAACAATTCATTTAAGACGTAAAGAAGATCAAATTGATTATCGTTTTATGATAGAACCAAATTTACCACCATTACATTTATATGATAATAACGATAAACAAATTCAACAAAAAGATTTTGTTAATATTGATGAAATTAAAAAAACTTTACCAATTTCACCATTAGAAGAAAGACAAGAATTTTTAAATAAATACAAAGATTTTCTTACAGCTGAACATTTACATGAATTACTTCGTCTTGATATGATGGTAAGTTTTTATTTTAAACTGAAAAGAAGGATGATTAACTATATTTTACATTTAATGCAATTAAAATCTGTGAATTTTTTCAGACAATATGCAATTAAAAATACTAAGAGTGAAAAGGTGGACTTTCGTACTTCGATAATTAGTGAAATTTTATTTCACTAATAATTATTATGAATGACATTCCGACAGTTTCTAATTGTTCTTAATAGCTATTTTAAATTGCGTTTGAAAATATATGAGTAATATAGATTTCGGCAGAACGAAGTATAAAATAAATATGTTACATGTCATGTAAAAACAAACCATTTGTGACAAATTATCAAAAAAAAAGATAAATATAGATGCGTAATAGAACCTATTGTAGTAATCATCAAAAATAACCCCAAACAGGATGAAAGATACAAATATTTAAGCATGATTCCTTCAAATTTTTTTCTTTCAAATAAATTTAAATAATACACGTTATACTTGCATTCATTTTAATAAATTATGAAAAGTTGCATCAGCTCTTTCTAAATTGGAATGACATGTTTTTTTAATCGAGTTCAAATTACGAAAAACTATAGCTTCTGAATTGTTTATTCTCAAGAAGAATTTTCATTTCAATAATTATATTGTACGATACGGATTTGAAACTTGTTCAGTTAATCAAAAGATTCGAGAGAAAAACAAGTTATAAACATTCTTTAATTACTTTTATTTTTCTAGGATTATTTTCGTGATGTTATGAATCAACTTGATGATAATCGTCTTCGTCATATAGCATTAGAAGTTATATTAAATGATGTAAAATCTATATCATATGATGGACGTAAAATTCGTAAATTTGCTCAAGCTGTATCACCAACATTATTTGCTGATATTATAAAACATGTAGATAAACGTATCGTAACACGTTTTTCTCTCTATACATTATTAACTTTATGTAATAAAAATCGTGATTCAACACGACCATTAAAATCTTTTCTTGATGAACACAACATGTATGCAATAACGGATGAAAATGAATTAGAAAAAATTTGTTTAAAAATTCTTGAAGAAAATCCTAAAACAATCGATCGTTATAAAACAAATCCAAAAAAAGCAATTGAACAATTACATTCAATTACTTGTAAAAAACATCATGGACGTATACATGATGATATAGTTAATGATACCTTTAAACGTTTATTAGAGAAAAGAATAAAATAAAAATTAGATTTATTGTTTATTTTAGATTATTTTTTGAAAAATATGTCTACTCGATTAAATTATTTTCGAATGATTTTTCCACGATATCATTCAACAAAGCCTACACCACATCAACAAAATATGATGGCACGTGGTCTACCAAAACGAACACCAATTGATGGTGTTCAACATGTTATTGCAGTTGGTTCAGGCAAAGGTATACGCCAGATATTTCATTGATTCAATGAGGTAAATTGGATATTAATTAGAAAAATAATTTGTTAGTTTTCAAAATTTTTATATAAAAATAAAAGTTTTTCATTTTGTATACTGATATAAATCTAAAATTTTGAAAAGAAACTGTTTACGATTATTATGACTATCATATCTATCTTGTCTTAATTAATATTTTTTATGCATGAAGTGATTTTGTGCGATTAATTGACTTAATATGATATTTTTGTTGTAGGTGGTGTTGGTAAATCATCTGTCAGTGTTAATTTAGCTCTTGCACTATCTCGTTTATCTTATCGTGTTGGTATTTTGGATGCTGATATATTTGGTCCATCAATTCCAACATTACTTAATTTACGTAATCATAAAGCAACAACATTAACAAAAACAAATCTTATAGAACCATTAATTAATTTTAATTTAAAATGCATGTCAATAGCATTTTTAACAAAATCTGATGGTCCTGTTGTATGGCGTGGACTTATGGTCATGCAAGCTATTGAAAAACTTCTTCGACAAATTGCATGGTCTCCATTAGATTATTTAATTGTTGATTTACCTCCTGGTACGGGTGATATACAATTATCTTTAGCACAATTAATACCATTATCTGGTGTTCTTATGGTAACAACACCACAAGAACTTTCCTTAGTTGATGTACGAAAAGCTATTGAAATGTTTCGTCTTGTTCAAGCACCTATACTTGGTATTGTAGAAAATTTTTCTACGTATTTTTGTCAAAAATGTGGTCATGAAGAAAAAATTTTCGGTGAAAATGGTGGTGAATCATTAGGAAAAGAATATCATTTGAAAATATTGCAATCATTACCCATTGATATTTACTTTCGACAGGCATGCGACGAAGGTCGTCCTATTAGCGAAAAAAACGATACAATTTTATGGTCAAAATTTAATAATTTAGCAAACGAAATTGTAAAACTATTGCCTACTGACAGAACAACAATAATATAATAGAAACGAAAAACGTCATAAAAATTACATTTATTTTCTATTCAATATGAATCATAATGACCGTATCTATCAGTGTAGACATTGTGTTCCTGTTTTTCTATCATAAAATAAATTATATATCATATGTAATTAGAAAGGAAAAGGACGCTTCTTAAAGGTTATAGAGAAGAAGGACAGTTTTATTAAATAAATACAATCATTATAAAAAAAAACAGTCATCATTGGTTATTTTTTCTTTTTGCCGTAATGTTTTGCTTCAGTGAACATGCATAAATACTTTGGCATATGTTACAGTGGATTGCAAAACGAATAAATGACACGATTGCAATACCTCGATAGTTCCTATTATATTATATAAAAGAGAAAATAAAAGGCTATTGTTATATTTGTTTTCTTTCTCCTCTTTGTATTTGAATATACATTAATTATTAGCTATGTCTGGTTTTAAACGTTTATTTGGTATCGATGTAGCAGAAGACAATTTACGAATTATAATAACACGTCATGGCGAACGCGCTGATTTAGCACTTGGACCAAAATGGGCAAGTAAACTACAGAAAAATGGTGGTCGTGATCCTCGAATATCATATTTAACACCGCGAGCTGATTTTCGTGAATGGAATTATGATCCACCATTGACAACCGAGGGTGAACGACAAAGTACAGCTATTGGAAGAAAATTATTACATCTTGGCTATCAAATTGATTATTGTTATGCGTCACCTGCTTATCGATCAATACAAACAGCTGATAAACTTCTTGAAAGTCAAGGAAGAAAAGGTGTACCGATTAATATTGAACCTGGTATGATAAAAATAAATTAAAATTAATAATCTTCTTCAAATAAAAAGAAAAATTGTTTTTAAAGGTTTATTTGAATGTCCTTCATGGTATGCTGGTGCACCACTTACATTTGTTCCTCCTGAATATTTAGCAATGGATAGACATTTTCATATCAATCCATATTATGAACCAATATATGACAATGTCGATATGAGTGAAGAAGAAGGTCGTTATTATCAAAGATCACGTCAGCTTATTGATCATATTATAAAAACACATAAAGATACAGGTGGTACAATTTTATTATCTGGTCATGCTGGTTCAATTGAAACAGTAGCACGTGGTATGCTTCGTCGTCGTGCTCGTCCCGAACGTCTTCAATATGAAGCTGACAAAGTCAATTATTGTAATTTTGCTATTCTTGAACGTGATGCATATACAAAACAATGGACGGTTCATTCACCTGTAACATTTGAAAATCCATATGGTAGACAACGAACAATTCAAAGTTCTATACCACTTTACAGAGCCACATCAGAACATTTACCAACTCATCATATAAAAGCTTCTCTATCTTTCGCAGATTATTCAGCTATAAACACTGCACCTCGTCGTTTCCATCGTCATCGGTATCGTTAATTATATTCATGTTAAATGTCTTTTATATATTTTTAAAAGAAAAAAAAAACACAGACATATTTATATTTCAAAAAAAAGATTCAATCCTCCACAAATCTGACACACACACACACATTTATATATATAAAACAAAGCGAAAAAAAAGTGACATGCAACTGTACAATGAACTGTGCTCTAGAAAAAAAAGAAGAAGCAAGAGCTTCTGTTATAAATGCAACTGGCTTGGTTGAAATTTTTTTTGTTTTGATTTTTTTTCTGACAATATTTAGACAACAATGAAATAGAAAAGAAAACAATGTTGACTGACTGAGTTTTCTTTTCTTACGTTTATATAAAATGACTGTTCTCAACAGTTTATATATATATATATATATATTTATATGTGTATTTTAATTCTTTCACATTTTTGTTTCTTCAATTTCTTGATCTCCATTTTGTGCCACTTCATATCGAGTTCGATCATTATAAATATGTGCATGATTTGCACCTTGAGCAATCATTAAAAAAATCTAAAATATAATAAATCAATTTAAAATTAAAATAAAACTTATTTTCTTCATACCAAACTAATAATAACGACCACACATGACGCTGTTGTAACAATACTTAAACTGAAATACTCACGATAAGACTAAAATAGAAAGAAGAAAAAAAAAAAAGTTATAATTATTCTAATTTTTCTTCTTATTCTTAATCTCATCTTCTAGTTCTTTTTTTACTCTTACTTTATAAGCTAAATTTAATAAAATAAGCTAGTGCAACAAATATATAAAAAATGAAGCCAAGCCTTTAAATAATGTTTCAAAAGGGAAGAGAAAGAGACAGAGCAAGGTATATTTAAAAAAAATCACAGAAAAATAGCAATCATCGAAAAATATTAAAAGGAAAGAGCATATAAAGAATATGATAAGGGTAACGTGTAAATATTTATTTGTGAAAGATGAATGATACTTAACAGGCTCGAGTTCAATGTCAACAATAGATATGCCTTTTTCAGGTTGATCTTTCAGTCGTATAGACTGAAGAAATCAGATTATGTTTTAATTAATACTTTTGAAATACTTACTGGTTGACAAATATCCGCAAGTTTGAAATGTGCTGGTTTCTCATCGGATCGATGCGCATGTTGATTAATTTCATTTAAAACTAATAATATTAAGTAGAAAAATAAAAACAAACGATTATACTTTGAAATAACATACTGTTTACAAAACTACCACCAGCTGTACCGTAACGATTGCTACATACGACAAAATATACATAGAAAAGACCGTATAATGGAATAAATGTTAAACAAGCAATACTAAGCCATGAAATTGTTAAAAGAAATGTTATAAATAAAACCTTTTATAAGTATAGAAAAAAAATATTTCTTAAATAGAAACTTTTTTTTGTTTAAATTCATTGTCTATACTTACAAAACCATTTAAAATTCTGGCACATAAATTTTTTCGATAACCCCAAAAATACTTTTTACGCGTTTTTCCACTTAAAATACTTGCTAAAAGAACAGAACATAAACCAAATACAATTGTTATTGCAACGCCACATCCAATCATAAGTCGACTAAGTTGTAAACTTTAATAATAGAAAAGAAAAACAATTAGGTCATTTTTCTTCTCATTTTTTTTTTAATAAAATTAATATACCATCTATTACATGACCATTTTTGACTATGTTGAACTCGATGAATAGTATAGATGGTTGACATTGTAAAAAGAACACATCCAATCATTAATATAAGAAAAGAAATAAGAGATGGAAAAGGAGTTTTATGAAACATGATAAATTAATATCAATTTGTCTAGAAAATCAAAAAAAAACGAAAGAAAAAGAAAATCAAAAAGAATTTGTGAACATATTTATTGATTTATTTATTTATTTACTTTATAAGCTAAAACGATAATGAAACACTTCGTTTCCGGTTACATAATAAAATATACTGATGGTGATGGTTCAACGTTACAGGAACAGAAAAAAAGGAAAGAGTATTATACGATTGATAGACATACATGTGTGCATAATCGGTAACACCGTTATGTATTACGCAAAAGACAAAACAGAAAGAATAACTTCTTTCTTACACTCTACAAGAAACATATTTCAGCTGTTACTTTACTAGTTCTTTTTTTTCTGTCTCTCTCTCTAGTGTTTTCTTTTTGTTTTAATATAACAATGAGATGGATCGATTGTACGTCGAAGTCAACTTCAAATAAATTCAACAATATTCTATAGGGAATCAATACTTCATGGGAGAATGATGATGACTATGCATGCAAATAACTATATGTTAGTATATGAACACGTTTGGGAGATTGTTGGGATCAGATATATACAGTCTAGTATTACCATCAATTGTGACGTAATATTCATTTCTCTTTTGTCTATATATGTATATATATTTCATTCATCAACTAAAACAGGAACTCATATGTGACATTGATTCGTATGGGATCGATGTGTATGTGACTTATTTGTATTCATAGACCGGCGACTACACATGAACATGGTCAACCATTAGAAAGACTATCAATACAAATAAAAAGGACGGATATAAAATAGTCTGATTGATTCAATTATAATAGAAGCACAGCTTTCTTCACTGTCAGATCTCATGTTTTAATATTATCTCTCTTTTATACTCGAGGATAAGGATCAGATGATGAGGTTCTTAGTGCTTAATACTACTGCTACTTCCATTGTTGATAATGATAATAATGATGATGGTGGTTATAAAATATATATATATATAGACACGAACAAGCAAACAAACAAGTAATTTACATAAATTAATAACAGGTTAGCACGATAACTGCGAAGGTCAAAAATAGAAAAGAAGAATAAAAAAAAGAGACTCAAGACGTATAGACAAGTGCCGTTAGGATATTTATCGATAATCTTTTATCATTTGCTAGGGAAGACAGACAGACAGACAGATATCGACAAATCATTAGTCGGCATAAGAAAAAGATTAGAATTCTAATAATGTTCATTGCACCAGTTGTAGAAGATGGAGACATACATTTCTACGTTTACGAATAGAAAAGAAATGTGCACGCGCTTACTGTTATTTGAGACAGATAGAATGATTATTCTAATGATAACAGTTTTTTTTTAAAGACACATTGAAAATATAAGAGGGCTCATAACAATTTCTTATCTAACTGACTGCCACTGAATGATGATGGGAGAATAACGCCAACGACTATGTCTTACATCTCGAGCAAACATCAAGGATGATACGATTGTCGGACCGAATCAAAGTTTCATTTCTTTTTTTTCTCTCTTTCTGCTGCTCTGCTCTACTTTCCTCACGCTCTGAGATTTAACTTATGATGCAATGATCTATAGTACGTATGGCACATACATCTGAAAGGTTATCTCAATATATGTGTGTGTGTGAACGCAGTTGCCATCATCACTTACTGAAGTTCGTCTGATGTTGTTGATGGTAGTGTCAACGATCTTTTAAGTAGTAAAAACGGAAATCTTATTAAATCGGCTATCATATTCAGAATTGTTTTGAATAGTCATATGTAGATCGACTTCGTCATCGTTGTCATCATCTATTTGTCATATATTCGCTCTAAAAATGAGCGAGAAGGAAAAAGAAATGGCTTAAGAGAGAAGGCAACAAGAGAGAAAGAGGGGAACAGAAAGTCTCTTGTGTTGCTGCCATCGTTCTCTTTCGCTTGCTTTTTTTTTGCTGCTGCAGTTCAGCTTAGAAGAATACAATGTGAAAAGAGTACGGCAAGAAACGAGAGAGACAGAAAGGAAAGAGAATAATTAGACGGATTTTCGATGAGTTACAGAGAAGCAGCAGCATCGGCATTTCTTAGCTATCGTGTCGTTCAACGACCATTTTCTTCTTCTTTTTTTCTTCCCCTTTCCAATTTTTATCGAAGCAAACAAACTGCTGGAAGTGTACTCAAAAGAAGAAAAAAAGATCGGCAAATACATACAAATTTTCGAAATAAAGTAGTTAGAGTTCGACAGTAGTAGAAATAAGACATAGAATAATCGAGGTCTTTTATTCCCTCGAGCGGCTTAATTCTATCAATCGCGTCTTCTTCGTTACTATTTCATCACTAACAATAGACGAGAATCTATTTTATATTTCTCTACAGATAAACCTTACCTTTTTCTTTTTTTGTTTAATTTGTGTGAAAAAAAATTATTTGCTCTTACACTTACTCTCCGTTTTTTTATGATATAGACATGTGCACTCGAGTTCAACTTCTGTGCAGCAAAAAAAAGTGATACTTCGCTTGGCTTCTTCTTTTTTACATACTCATTAATGCGGTGAACTTTTTTTTCTCTTCTCATATTCTTTCACTTCTCTTTTGTCCCATCCTAATTCATTCTATCAACATAAAAAAGAGGGAGAGAGAGAAGGAGACAGAGGGACGAGAATAAGAATGGTCCTACTGCCAAGAACTACATATATATATATATATATATATACACTCTTATAGCAGACAAAGAAGAAAAGAATGACCTGATTCTTGTTCTTTGTACGTATGCCCTCAGTCTTTTTTTTATATACCTTCCGGAATGATGGGAAAAGAACAGGAGGAAATTCATTATTGTTCTATTCAATTTAACAACATTAATCTTTGTATTATGTTCGACAAAAAAAAAAGTGTAATCTCCTCTTTTTTTCTTTCTTCACACTACAATGACAAATTTTTATTTCAAATAAAATATCAGACATAAAAAAGCATTTTAAATGGACGGTAATAAGAAATTGTTAGTACAAAAAAAGCGTCTAGAAAAACTAAATATTTAATATTCTACACCATCATGATTAAATTCATTCGAGGATATTATTGATATGATCATTTTAGTATTTGTATGAAACGGAATTTCATATCGCAATGGAAGTGTTTGTTCATCCTATTGGGAGAAAAATAAATAAAAAGAAAATTTAATTATTTTTATTTCAAATAAAACACAATTATTATACTTTAATATCACTTATATGTGACATAAGATCTGTACAGAGATCAATATGATCAGGTAAAAGCATAATTTGTGCTTCACGCATGCCCAATATCATGATTTGTTGAATTGAATCAACCATAATTCCTTGATTATTAGCAGCAATTGAAATGAAACAAATCGATTGATTATTTAAAGAATCAAATATAAACCATTTGCCACGACGTAAACGTGTTCTAATTTATAGATAGATATATACTATATATTAATATAGGAAATTATTTTTACCGAAGAATTTTCAGAAATATTTTAGCTGCATCTAAATCAAATGTTAAATCAATTGAAGTTACTGGACGAAAATGTGTATCATTCGGTGGAACAGATCTTAATTTAATAGAAGAAAGAAAGATGTATAGGTGTATTCAATTTTGTGTATGTATAGTACTCGACATTCCAGCTACATCGAGCAAGAACTCGGCCAAGTTGTGAACCTTCTTTTTCAATTTTTTCTCGGATCATTTGTTTTGCATTTGGTATAATATCAAAAATTGATTCTCTACGTGACATATCCGTTACTAAAAGAGTACCACCCGTTCTATGGAATATTAAAAGCTTACTATAATCTATAATGAATGAATTAATTAATTACTTTCGATTTGTACTGAATAAATCAATTATTTGTGCAACATTGCATTCTTGTGCTGCTTCAAGTTCATTTTCAAAACACCCGACAAGCTAAATAAAAAGAATTCATAGAAAATAACCTACAACATGAAGTTCATATGCACTTGTAAAAATTCAACTGAACCAAGATTAGTTCGAAATGACTTTAATTGTCGATCATTTGTTATTAATAGATCATGTATATGTGTATTGCCATCTGATGAATATAAATTAGGTAATACATGTCCAAATGGAATATGATGACCAGCACGAAATTGTGTACCCGTTTTAAAAACATATTTAGCCAAATATTGTAATAATTTGCATGGCCATAAAGGAATTTCTTGAACAGAATTACTATTTTCCGGAGCTTTTCGCAAACGAAATGTTAATTCAAAACCATAACCTGATGTCGAATCAGGATCATCTTTAGATGCAACTCTAGAAAAAAACAAAAAGCAAATTTTGTTTTGTATTTGTCAGAGAAAACAAAAATATCTTTAATTAGTTACTTACTTATGTACTCGACCATCACCATGAAGATCACTGAATCCAAATGTTACATAATGCCAATGAGTAGGCGATGTATCATTACCTTGATTATGATAGATTGATATATAATCTAAACATTCTGATCCACCAAGCCTAAAAATCATACAAGAAACTAAATGATGATTATTATTGACTAGTATAATTATACCAGTATTTAACTAGACTCGTTGCTTGAGTAGGATTTAATTGATCCGGGTAAATTTTCGAACATGCTTGTACAATATTATTAATTCCTACATATGATCTATCACCAATTTCAGTCATCTATAAAAGCAATACATACATACATACATACATAAAATTCAGATAAAGTGCACTTTTATTTTATTCAAATAACCATAAAATGAAAAGTGTTACCAAGAGACGAAAAATAGCAATAAAAGATTGAAAAAAAACTGTAGAATCCTACACGTACATATAACGTTTACAAACTATGATAGATTTATAAAAAAGACAAAACTTTCTTTTTTTCTCTCTCTCAAGGATTTTCTACATTTAAAAAAAAGCACACGACAATTTCCTATATATGTTTTGGTAAAGATTAACCTACTAAAAAACAACAAAGAAACAAAAAATATAACCGAGTTGATATCCATATCGTTTTTTTTGATTTCACATACATAAATAAAAAAAAAGCAAAACAAAAAGCTATACAAATGTTGTCCTTCATCTTTACAAAAACAAAAAATTCATAAATATATATATATATGCTTCTGCTCTTACTACTCATTCTAAAGAAGCAATTTTATGACAGCTTCAAGTCTACTTAATATAAATAAAAAGGTTATACACAATATACTTGTACAACAAAAATTACGCCTATCTATGTTTAAAGAAAAAACGAAAGAATTATATACACAAACTTTCCTACGAACATAAATGTCGATGCACTCTTTTCACTGTTCACTCATATGATCAAAATCAATTAAGAATACGTATCAATATATATGTGTGTATCTATAAATGATTTGCCTACATGTTCAAAAACAAAAATTATCAGAACAAAAGAACTCCAATGAATAAGATCGACATAAAAAATAATAACTCTAGCATATATCTAATAGTAAATCTTTGTAAATTTTAAGTAAAAAAAACAAAGAAAAATATATATATATATATTTAATGTTTAGAAGATGATGATACTATGACATTTTTGTTCGAATGCTGTTTAGGAGGTTTTTGATTAGGTGATGATGATGTGATTGTTAAAGGTGAACCAACTGTTGATGTGCCAGGTATTGCTGATACAGTTTGTTGAGTATTGTTTGATTTAGTTTGTTCAACCTGAGTATAGAGAAAAAGATGAATAATTATATATTTAAAGAGATAAAGATTTACAGTCGTAAGTTTTGATAATTCTTGTTGAAGTCGTGTTTGTAATGATCGAACTTCATCAACTGTTAATTGCATTAAATCATTATCGTTTGGTAATAAACGCATATTATGTATAAGTAATTGACGCATTTGTTCAATTTGATGAAATGCATCATCACGTTGTTGTATAACATGATTTTTTTCTTGTTCAAGTTGAAGAGCTAATCGACGATTATCTTCAGCTTCTCGACGCCAATGTTCGGATGACTATTTTATTTCAAAAGATAAAAAATGAATTTATATTTTTTTGAGAAAATTATTTCATTTTTTTTTGTGCAAACCTCTCTTTCTGTTCTTGCTAATGTTTCCATTTGTAATACACGATTTCGTATGAAATCCATTTCATTTGATGATGTTGAAGGTGATAAAGAATTATTGCTTGTAGTATTATGACCTTGAAACATTAATTGAGGTGATGTTGATTGTAATTGATGGAAAGAAGTTGGTAAATCTTGACTAAAACCAGCCATTTTATATAATTCACCAGGACGTTGTCTACTACCGCTTGATGTTGATGGTTCAGGAAAGGGAGTATCAATTGGCTAAACAAAAATTAAATTGTAAGAATATTATACTTATGACTTAAAAATTTGATTTTTTTTCTTTATCAATCTTATTCAATTCATTCTATTTCTATTTGTCCTTTTTATTATACATAGTTTCCTTTTTTTCCTTTAATCTATATGTATATAACTTCTTCTATTGATTTACACCCATGTCTGGTTCGTTAGTTCGTTAGAGGATGAGAGAGGAGGTATTACTTTTACTTCCTCTTCCTTGTTCTTAGTTTCCTAATCAAGAAGAATAACATTCACAAGTTTTGGTCTCCACCCTGCATAAATATTTCTTATTTTTTCTGATTAAAACGACACCATGTCATTATGCTTTGTGTAAAATCTTCTTTATAAGTAACTACGAACTTCCATATAATTAAATATCATTGCAAAAAAACTCATTATCAGTATTTTCGATAATAGAGAATATAAAGATTTACTTATATTATTCTAGTGAGTATTCTTTCTCAATATAATTTCAAATATTTCAATAAGGTTTCTATATCTCGATTAATAAGTATTTTTCTAATAGTAACACATACCGATTCTAAAGTTTCATCAAATAGTTGAGCAGGTGCATCAAATGGCGATTTAGCTGATGATGAATGTGAAAAATGATCATTTGTAAATGAATGTGGAATATTAACTGGTCTTGTCATTGGATTTGAAGATGATGATGATGATAGTGTTGTTAAATGTGTAGGTGATGTATTATTTGTTGCTGGTGTTGTCGAACGTTCAAAACTATCAATATCATTATCAATTAATAAAAGTTCATCATTTTGCTCATTTGTAGCGGCTTTATCAAATTCATCTTCATTAACATTATCTAATCCAATAGCTGTTAATGATGAACCAATTAAATTTTTAACATCAATTGGTAATGATTGATACTCATAACTATCATTAAGATTTGTTAAATAATCTGATTTTGTTGATGTTGTTGTTTGTGTTACTTGTTGTTCAGGTGATATTGAGTGCATATGTGCATTTATTGATGATAAAAGATTAGATGCAGCAAGTGTTGATAAAAATGATGAGGGTGGAGGATAGGAGTGACTAGCAGCTAATGCAGCAGCTGATAAAAGAAATTGCTCATTAAGAAATGATGATGATGTTGTTGATTGTGATGGAGGTTGATGATAATTATGAAAGAGATGTCGTTGTGAAGATGATGGAGATACTTGAGAAAGCATATCTTGAATAGTAAATGAACCACTACCACTATTATGCGTTAATAATGACTAAATATAGAAGTTATATTCATAAAGGAAAAACAAGTTTAGTTATATTATTTTAAGTACATGTCTATCAGCTAAATGTTGTTCAAGTGTTTTCATACCAGCACCTGGAAATGATCCAACTTCAAACATACTTGATTGAGAAGATTTTTTCGGAATGTTTCTTGATGATGGTAATGCCTTGAAAAAAAGAATGAATAGATAAGTAAATGATCATTCTAGATCAAAATAAACTTACATTGATAACATCAACTTCTTTATCTTCAGGTATTGGTATAAATGATGATAAAGGTAATTCACTTGTATAATGAAGATCAAAATCTCGATATGATTTTAATTCTTCTGAAAAACATATACAAAACAAAATTTAACGATAGATTAAGAGGAAAGAACTAGATCGATTAGTTATTCATAATCCATTCGATAGGAATTATAGCTTATCTAATCGATTAATAGATTTTGAGAAGTTTCAATTATCTTCTGTCGACAGTCATCAATAATTTCATTCGTCACAAATTATTACTACTAGTAGAAGTCAAAAAGCATTTGCATTATTAAACTATAACACTCAACTCATTTAATTATTTGCAATTTATTCGTATACAATAAACAGTCTATTTTAATTTCATTAACATGAATGCTTCCGTTTCCATGTATAGTATCATTCTCATTAACTATCAAGTTTAATAAATAATCTTTCGTGACAAAATATATATCAAATCTATTTTATACATACGTTCGATATGAGCAAACGCACAAAATGGTCCACGTGGACAATAACCAGTTACTGAAACATCGTTACATTTAGTTGATTTATAAATCTTTAAAAATCATAACTAGAAATTAAAATTTCATAAGAAAATTAAATCATACCTCGGGATGAAATTGTTGTTCAGTACGTGTATGACAATATTTACAATTATCACCAGCTTCACATACAGTTGGATCAATCCATTCATCACTTTGTTTTACATGTGGACATGGTGTTGACCTTTAGAGTATGAGTTAAAAAAAGGAGAGAACAAATCAATTAAATCTATCGAATTATTTCTTGTAATTACTTGTATTTATATATAGATGGATTACGTCGACGATCACGAGGATTATGATTTTGTGGACAAGCATAACCTTGTCGACATAAACGTGGTGGGCGTTTACAAAGTTCTGTTTTATAATTTGAAAGAACATAATATGAATCTAAATAACTTATTATAATTTCGAAATATTTTCTTATAAATTTCTTACCATTCCATTTTGGATCATCATTCAAAGCACGTTCATTTTCTAAACTTATACATAAACGTGCAAGTCTTTCTAATGCTAAATCACTATTTTGTATTTCTCGACTATCAAGTACTGGTTGTCGTAGATCATTTGCACCATGAGCATATGAACAATGTGGACCATTTTTAAGACAATTTCCTTTCATATCAGATTCATGTGTACATAAACCTGTTTTAAAATATCGTAAATGATAACGTTTTTCTGTATCATTTGCATTTCGATGTAGAAGTTGACAACTATAATGAAGGAGATTATGATTCAATAAAGATTCTCTATTAAACTTACTCATCACCATTAGGACAAAGACCACTTTGTTCATCATAATCATTACAATAAAAATCTGGATCATATGAAAATGTTCCATCTTTTCGACGAAATGGTCGACGACGACGTTGATTTTGAAAATGCCAATAGAAACATGAAAATGGACGATGTCTAAAGATTGATAAATTTTCATTTAGCTTTATTTTTATTTCCTGTAAATTCTTCTCACTGTGTGCATTTATGTTGAAGAAATAATTGACATTGTTCAACACGAAAATCACGTAAATAACTACAAGCAAAATAAGAATTTTTCTATTAAGAAAAAATTATCTTTTAATCAATAATATACTTTAAATGTGAAGTTTTTTCTATTAAAGCAAGTTGCTGTAGATCATTAGCCATGATACGTTTTATATTTTACATAAATACAGAAAGCAAAAGAACGTTTTTGATCACTAATGAAGGCTTCTCACATGATTTTATTCTTTTTTTATTTTTTATTTTATCGGATCGAATGAAGACAAACCTTTTTTTTCCTTTTCTATCTTATTTTTTTGTTTTTATTTTTTATTTATTTGTTGACAGTCAGGTGATAGGACTATTTATCCAATAGAATTCATTGAAGCAATCACAAATATATTGCAATAGACAATAGAGGACGCTGAATTTCTACAATTGATCAAAATATCAAGATAAAAGATTTTTATTAATTGTATTTAATAGAATTTTACATATAAACAAAATGGATTTTACATGTCCTGCATATATTTGATATTAATTGAAGTTAGTCATTTGATAAGATATTTTTCGAATGATAAAAAAATATCTTATCTATAGATGCCTAAAAAATATTTTTATTTTTAGTCTGTCTAATCTTATATATATGTCTATTTACTGAATAAATATTAGTATAAAAATATGCTAATATTTTATACGATGTTTTATTTTTAAATCCATAGTCTACAATTACTTGATTTATAATAACATGTTTTATTTGTAATAAATATAATGTATACACACACGAGAAAAAAAAGAAAATATTTTACAAAATATCAATCAGTTTGTAGAAATTGTGCAATTTTAATAGATTTTTCGATTTGTTTCAATATTTCGCGATGCTCGATTTGTTCACTATGATATAAATCATCTAAAATTGCTTTAGACATTTGCTGAATTCGATCGAGATTATTCATTGATGTTAACTAATATCATCAAATATAAATATATATTTTATAATTCGTTAATATTCTTCATACCTGAACAAGTGTTTCAACACAACTTGAATTAATAATTTGATCATAAATAATTATTCGAAATTTATTATCTTGTTGTCGAGAAAAAACAAATAACGTTGTGAGAAATAATTCAATACGTTCAGATATTGTTTTCATTTGAAAAAATAATTTTCCGATTTTATATACAGTTCGATGATCACATAAAATTTTAATATTATTCGATGATAATGCTAAATTACGTATAAGTCCAATACATGTTTTAAGTAAAGACCAATTATTTTCTTTCGTATGAAGATATTTTATTAAATATGGTATTGCATGATTTATTCGAATTGATTCACGAGCTTCATTTGCTAATGGACATTTACCAGTTAAATGTCGAAGTGTACATATCTAATTTAACAAAATATGATTTATTAGAAAATTTTCTTAAGTAAATTTCGAATGATATGAAGTTTATTACAAAAGAGAATCATATGTTTTTTTAAACTTTCTTCCTGGATAGATGCTAACGTAAAATATTCTACAACTTTTATTGTATGTTTAATTCTTGATTTGAATATAAATATTCACTTACTGATGATTCAATAATGTCATCTCGATTTTCATTCTGAATAAGAATATTAACAAGTAATTGAATAACATTATTTCGAATCATTAATAATTTATTTCCTTGATTTTCACATGATAAATTCGATAAAATATCTACGATATAAACTTTTATTTGTATATCAGTATTCGATGCAAGCATTTCTATTAACATAATAATCAATGAATCATAATTATCCTAAATATACAAGATAGAAGAAAAAACAGAGAACTTGAAAAATAAAATTTTACCATATGAATAATTTCATCGGATAAATTTCTTAATGTTAAAAGACAACAACGTTGAATTTTATAATCGTATTTTGTATGTAAAAGTTTTTCAAGTATTGAAACTAAATTAAATTGTATTAGGATAGATTTTGTTTTTGTATTTGATGATAATAATGGTAACATTCGTATTAATGTACATGATAATTTATCATAATTTGTTTCATCAAGAATAAGAACTAATTCTTGTAAAAATAATTTACTTGTTTGTAAATAAATCTATAGAATAAGAATAAGAATAAGAATAGTAATAAAATAAATTTTATTTTTTACTTGAGCATTTTTATTAAACATTGCTAATCGTAATAAACAATCAGCGAGAAAATTCATTTGTTTATTTGAATGTCGATGAATAAGTAATGATATAAAAATCATACAACCATTATTTATTTGAATTTCTTCTGCTATTTCATTATTTAAACCAATAAGACAATTACGAAGTGTTGTAAGAACAAAATTAATGACATCATCATTTAACACTCTATTATCAATGAATTAAATATAGGAAAGATAATACAATATACATAGATATATCATTTTTATACTCAAGTGTTTGAAGAAGGATTGGTATAATATGATTGTCTAATAATAATCGGATTCCATCGATTTCTATTGAAAGATCATGAAAAAGACTAGATAATAAACGTGTAAGATCATTGTCGGTATTGAATAATTTAGCTAAAGATGTGATCAACTATTGAAAAAAAGATAAATAATATACGACATCTTATATAAAGGAAGCTTTTTAAATGATCTTTCACGTTTTACTCATTGACATATACGATGATGTGTAGCCTATAACGTAGAGTCTCACTATCAGCATGAAAAAAACCTTCTAAGGTTTTATACTATAATTATAAAGGTTCATTTGGTAACAGTATTGTTTTTGATCAACTTCATTTTTAATCATATACAGTAGACTGGTTCTGTTATCATACATCTCTCTTTCATGTCTTCAGTTTGTTTCAATTAAATTTCTCAGAAAAATAGGATTACTCCATCGCTCTCATTTTTTTTATAAAAGTGAAATAAGCGTTTTTGTTCTATTACTGACAGGCATAACTAATACTATACTTACATGTGGATGTTCAATAACTTGTTTTCTTCTATAACCACCTTGTTTAACAAGTAAATGTATAGTTTTAGTTATTTCAATAATAACATCAATATCTTTATAGATTCTTTCATCATTAAGTAAATCAATTAGTTCTGATATAATTAATTTCGCATTTTCTTTTTCATAATCATTTTCTTCTAATGATGTTTTTGATTTAATATCGCAATTCATCGATTTAGTTTCAAAAGAAATAATACAATGACTTTCATACAGATAGTTTTATGGTTCGTTTAGAAGTTCCTCCAATCATTTAGAATAAAGATACTTAATCATTATCATCATATATGACAAGCTCTAGAAGAATATATATATATATATGTATCAAATGTTTCTTATATTTATTTAAAAATTAAATAAAACAAAATCAAAATATTATTTTTGTTTATTCTCATTTCGATTTACATGATTATATTTTATTTGACGAATTTGTTGTATTTGTTTAGACATTAAATTATAACAAATAATACATGGTTGTTTATAAATATTAGTCTTTTGAAATGGTTGACTACGTATAGCAAATTGTATTAATTTACCAGTTAAACGTGATTGACAGCAATAACATTCTTCTGTAAAAAGAAAGAAAGGCAAGAAATGGTTTTTTTCCCAGTATAAAAAATATAATATCTATTTACTAATATTTGTTTGAATATCCATAATACATTGTTTTTTATCACTATAACTTTGAATATGTGTACAAAGGAAATAATTTATAGCCAAATGAGATTTTATTTGATATTGGTGTAAAAAAAGATTTTTTTGGTAAGCTTGAGGTTTCTTTTCTTTTTGTTTTATTCTATGCCTTGACTATAAGTAACAGAACGGAAGAAGAAAAATAAATCTGATTTGATATTTATAGTGCTTTTTTTCCTACTAAATCATATTGGACGAATCCCTGGTTATTGTTTCTTTTAAGTTTTAAAACGAATGCAGTTTTTTTTGTAGTGCATGATATAGAATAGTAAAATGATAGTGTTTATCCTGCACAATGAATAAATCATATCACAAGAATGAGACTTGAAGAAAATTACTAATCAAACTGCATATATTTTGAATATATAAATTACCAAAAATTTCCTACGAGAATTAACAGCTATATATTTGCATATGCTATTCATTGACGTAAATCATCATTGAATATGAATTGATAGGATTACGTCTTTTATCTATTAATAGTTCAATAATTATACATTCGAACATTTTAATATTATTGATAAATTTTATTTTAATATTTGTTTAATTTTTATTGAAAAAGTTTAATACAAGTTTATCATAGTACATAGATGAATTACTTCGGAGAACGACTAGGTAGAGAATTCGGTAGGGGTAACTTTCGATAGTTAATGTATATAGTTCAAGACAAAAGCAAATAAAAGAAAGTATTTAGAACACGAATTAACTGCAAACAATCAATATACCTACAAAACAACAAAAATTAAGAATATAATAGAAAGTGTTTTTTTTATACAAAAAGATTGTTTTCTTTTAATTTAAACTTCAATATTCAATCTGGTTTGAGTGTTTGATATAACAGCATCATCTGTTGGATGAATTGTATTAACATTAATAACTTTAGTATCAACCTCCTTTGGTGTTAAATACAAAGTTGTTTTCGATTGTGCTATCATTTCTAAACGTTTGGTATTTTGTATATCGAAATATACTTGTAATTTTTTTTCTAATGGTATATCATCACCAAGATTACTAACAAAATTTTGTATTCGACTACCTTCAGCAATACCATCAGCAACATTTTCTTGTCGCTCATTTTCTTTTTTAATTTTTAATAATGTTCCAACTAATTTTTCAGCTTCGATTTGACCATTTAAGTGGCATAATTTCACTTCATTTTCAGCTCCTTGTTTTTCAATATTTTTAATACGATTTGTTTTTTCATCAATAATTTGTTTAAAGATCTTTTGAATTTCAGGATCTTTACAACGCTTTTGTAGGATTTCAACACGAATAACATTAACACCACGTGATTCAAAAAATGTATCATCTTTATCCGAATTAACCGATTCAATTAATTTACTATTTGGTAATTCCATAAATTCCTTCATGTTAGATTTTGATACTTGACTTAAAATTTCTGAACGAGTATGATTACCTAATGAATCAAAAGAAGAGATTGATTATTTCTTTGCAAAAATAAAACAACTGTCAAAATCCTAAGATAAATGTTTTTGACATAATTGAAAGGATCTATTGAGTCTATTTCATGATAAGATCATTCAAATCGATCATCATGATTTATGACACTAACTAGATATTATTTGTCAAAATTATTTATCTTTGAGAGAATATCAAGATTAGTTTTATTACTTCTTTTATTTCTAGAAAATTTCTATTTTTAAGAATTCTCCAATTGACAGCTGAGCTTTATATTGATTGTTATGAAAATGGAGTATTTTTTTTGCTGCAACAGATTACTAATATAAATACTAAACTTTCAGTTGTAAAAGTTATACAATTAATAACATCTCAATAGACATGTATATTATATTGTTTGCTCTTTATTATCTACTTTTATCATTTATTAACATCTGTCATTTATTCGTAGTCTTATTATACAGAAATGTCAAGGACATAGAGATTGCTTTTCAGATGATTTATCTTTAACTAAAATCAATACTAGTTGCAACTAAGTTTCTCTCTGAGAATGAAAGCTAATTCTTGCTAGTAAATGTTCTTAAATATTACAACTGAATAAAAAAAAGACTCAAGAAGTATCGTATTAAAATACAAAAGATACATTTTCTCAGTATTTCAATTGATCTGATTTTAAATACTGAATTCCTGTTGTAAGAACTCTAGTATGATAAATAAACTTACAAATATCTTCTGGAGGATCTTGTGTAACAAGAACAAGTTTATATAAATCTGTAATTTGCCAGAAAATAGATACATCAAGAATGATTTCAACATTATCTGCTGTACGAACAAGAAATTCATAGTCCATATCTATAAAAAAAAGAACATGTGAATAAGATAAGTTTTTCAATCGAATTAATTTACATTGATTTCTTGTATCAAAACGATCAACTTCCACAGTTGATCGATGATCTTTTTTAAGATCATTTGACCAAAATTGTTTATAAACTTGTTGATAAGGATAAATAAAAAATGATTTATCCTTCAAGCCATTTTTTAATATATGATGACCATCCTTGTCGATTAATATCATATTTTCATCTATAATTTTTTCAAATCAGATATTTCGTTTTTTTTACTTTAATAAATAAAGCTTACATGGTGCTAATTTAATTAATTTTCTTATTTCAATGAAGGCTTGTGTAAATGATGGGATGAATTTTTGTGGTGTAGTTATTAATTCATTTATACCAGTATCAAGATTTTTAACAAGTACACCATTTTCTGTATCAATATTGATAACATCGAATATACTTTGACCATCAACATCCATTAAAGATTCATATGGTCCAAGTGAAAATGTTTGTGGACCTTTTTCAATACGCATAATACCTGTATGAGTATCAATTACACGACAATATTGTGCATGATTAAGAACTATATAATTATGCATCTTTGATACTTTGTCGTAAGCTTTTGGTAAAAATAATTTTGGACCTAAAATATGAATATTTATAATACTATGATAGATTTACAAGTTCAATTAGAAGATACTATATGATATATAAAAATTTTTAATTTTAAATGAACACTAAATCAATATGATTATAAATAGAAAATAATCCTTGAAAAGAATAATATTTTTCCAATCACGACAAATATTTTCGAAACTTTGTACAAAAAATATTGTAGTCATTATAATGAATATGACTCCGTATAATTCAACATAATATGTTATGGTAAATTGGAAGAGTAAATATTATCGTTTCTTTCGATATAGATACTGATTCAGAAGTGAGCAAGTACGGATTTTTTTAAGTATGAGTACTAACTCTCCAAGACTTAAATAAGAGTTTATATAGTAATTAGTGAGGAAAATATGTCATGTTTTGTAAAAAAAACAAAATATTCAAAACTTTTTTCAAACTAATTGTATTATGAAAAGTCCATGAATTTTTAGTACAACGTTGAAAACTAGAAAGTAATAGGAATTTTTAATAAATATACTTCATTTAGAATCTTATGTATTTTACTCTCGAATGTTTTGCACACCTCCGTAGTGATCCTTTATCTTTATTATTACTGGTATATGTGCATGAAAGAAAATGAAGAATAATCTCAATGAATAGATATCATAATATAGAAAGAAATATAAATAATAGAAGAAAAAGTTAATTAAATTGCAACATACTGATGTTGCGATCATGGCATAAATCAACATATGAAATACTAGATTAACTCAGTTGGAAATTGTCGTTCAATTCTTGACAACAAAATTCTCTAAAAAAATTTTTGATTCTAGTATTATAAATTTATCATTACATAAGTATAAACAACAAAACTAAGTTTCATTGATGTTTAAAGTTAAATGTATTTGAAAGACTTCATACAACAATAGAAGATTTTATGAAACTATTTCTAACTAGCTCATAAACTCATTATAAACTGATTTATAATTTATGTTTCCAAGGTAAAAATCAATATTGATATAATATATTTATAAATCACAGATGTGTCAGCTTATATATTATTAATAATGATAAGAGGTATTGTAAAGTAATAATAGATTGATTACATGCATAGCTAGCGTACTCGAAAATTAATGACATTTATTATATGGAAAAGTAATTCACATGCTCATATCATACTATTTTTAGATAATTCTATCTATGATCATGTTGCTTCAGTCATACTTAAACATAAAATGTTAATATAATAGTCTGAAAAAGAGTTTGTTATTACATAATTATTAAAACTGTTATACATACTAACATTATGAACGTGACATAGAACAATTGTATCGTTCATATGAAACATAAGACTTTCGATGCTGACAGTATTCTCAATATTTAAACATATCAGATGTCATAAAGCGTTTTCTTTTTATGTTCAGAGACGATATCTATAGGATACAGATTAACTTGATATTCTTGTATTCTTACCATTAACTGATTTTCTGTCTCCAGTTGATTCATCTGTAACAATAACATATTGAGTTGATGATAAATTATACATATTTTGAATTTCTCCAATTTGATCGTATGGTTTTGGACAATATAATTGTGGACCACATTCAACTGATTTTGCACCTGTTAATGCATCCGTAATGACAACATATTGTGTCGCTGATAAATTTAACATTGATCTTATTTCACTAACTTGATCATAAGGATTACTAATATGATATATCTGTGGTCCACGAATAACTTCAATTAATTGCATATCAGGATCATTTAATAGTTCATCTTTTTCATTTGTAGTTGTCCTTTTTGTTAATGACATTTCATTTGATCTTGCAGATTTACCTTTGTTCTTGGGAAGAATTACATGTTTAACAACGATATATTGATTACTTTGCAATGGTATCGATTTGAAAACTTGTAATTTCCACCAAGTTGGGTAACAAATCCAACCAGGACCTTGACGAACTTCTTTACCTGTTGGTTTACTGAATACTATTGATTCATCACGATCAAGAGCGATAATACAACCCATGTTATTCTAAAAAGGAAATCAATATTTCATGTTACGATAGAAAGGATCTTACAAAAAAAAGTCTAATGAAAAATTGAACTATTTCATGTAGGTGTCTGTCAAGTGGGAGACTGATAAAATGATTATTGTTATGACATGATGTGTCTCTTGCCGTAAAGAATGCAAATTCTCTTTCATTTCTTCACGTACTACTGATATCGTTGAGTATTTTAAGGAGTGAATATTGTGAAGAGAAGGATGATTCTTATTTTTTATAAAAGAAGAGGAATAAAGAATAATAAAGGGCGATAATAATTATTGTTGATTATTATTTATGAACATTACGATAACTCTATGATGATTAACGAATAAAAACTTAATATGTTAGGTATTTGGAATAAACAAGAAGTGTCATCTGATAGTCCATAATACGGTTTGACAGAGAAAGGAAATGAACCAGAAAGATACTCTCATTTAAACAAGGTCTATACGAGATAAAAACTTTTTTTTTGATCGCTGATAGTTTTGAATTTCTAATCTCTCATTACAACTTAGACTAAATATGTTTTTCTTCTAAAAACAAAAATTTGATACTACTATTTACAAACGATCATAGATATTTGTGGAAAATCTATCCAAAGAAATGTAGAAACTGTTTGATATAAGATAAATTATTATCTTTCTGTATAAACAAACATGAAATTTATATATGCTTATTAGAATGATAATCTCATTTAATCAATCAAAAATGACAAGAAGTTCCGAAAAGAGACTTGGTCTATCTTTAGATAGATGCTTCTTCTATATTTTGTGTATTAATTGAAAAGGAACAAATAATAGTAAGGTCAATAGTAAAGATGAGTTATGATTGGATCTTTGATGAGAAAGAATCGTCCAGGAAGAAAAAATAACGGAAGTACTCATTCATGTTAGAATGTGTTGATGGCGGCATCTATTAGAGGAGAACAATAACTAAAGAATGTCATCCAGCTCTCAAATATGAAACAAATGTGATGTCAATATTCTTATAAACAAGAAACGTAAATTTTAATACTTAAAAAAATAATTTTCTAAATCAAAATAAATTTCACCCACTTTATACCTTTCTGATTAAACTAAATCCGTCGTTTTATAATACTATTACTTATCTAAATAGAAATAAGTCTGTCGTTTCTTCACATGATAGTCAAAAAAGATCGTTCTCTTGTAGACATATTATTCTTTTTCCGTTCTTTGCGTCAATACAAGCAAAAAAGAAATGTTTATCTTCTATAAATATAGATCCTCATGCGTGGGTGGTTCTTACATCAATAGTAAAACATTGACGTCTTTCTATAGTGTATACGTCAATACGATGAATAATCTTGACGTTATATGATTGAGCATACATTTATATTTTAAATGACGACACATCAACGATATAGAAAAACAAAAAGAAAAAAAAAAACACAAAATTACAATAAAAGACACACAATTATCTAAAAGTAACAGCGATGGGGTGATGCTGCTGTTGCTGCTGCTATAGTTGTTGCTAATGTAGTTTCATCATCGTCGTCATCGCTGAGAATTTGTGAATTACTCATTGTTGTTGTTGTATTCGAATTTATTGGTTGAGTATAAATATTATCATATTCAGATTCCAGATTTGATATAACACTCTCAGATAAATTATCTGGTCGCGATGATGATATATCACTTAAATCGGATCGAGGCATTGATGATGAATCTGTTCGACGAGGAAGTTTTTTAATATGATTTGCTTGATAATTATAAAATGCTTTATTTAAATGAGAAGTATGTTCATATAATAATGGTCGATTACGATGTTTCAGTGATTCATGTCGAATAAGATGTGATGTATTTGCTGAATTTTTTCGTAATGGTTTATATCTGACATGATTATATGAACGTTTATTTGCTAAGAAAGGTTTTGATTGTGGATGTGATTGATTAGTTAAAGCAGTAAATGTATTTTCACTAACAGTATCTGATTCATCATCAGTTGAATCGTTTTTGATAATGATATTATTTGATAAACGATTGGTTTTTCTTTTTGATAATGGTGGTGTTTGTTTAACTTGATGTCGAAATAGGTTAAGTTGATCTTCAAGCCAACGTTGTAATAAATCATTATGCATTATAGTTGGTAATGGAGATTGTTTGGGAAGATATCTATAAATATACATATATATAAATAATTAGTTAATCAATAATATTTATTTATCTACTTTAATGAATCATGCATCTGTGCGAGATCATGTAAGTTATTGTAACTAGACGAAAGACGCATTCGTTGAGGATGTCTTGATTGATAAGCAATATTTTGTGTCCATGGTTCTTGTTGATGATCAATAGAAATGTCTGATAAAGCACTTTCAGATGTATCAGCAACTAATTTACGTGCTAAATTAAATGGTACTGGCCGATACCTCAACACCTGTTGTTGTTGTTGCTGTTGTTGCAGCTGTGGAGGTGGTAATGATGACGTTGGTGCTGGTAAAGGAGAGGACATGACAGCTGGTTTCATAATATTTACTGGAGGTTGTGATGGCGATGCAGATAAGTGAAATGGCACAACAGCTGATTTAACAGCATTCACTGGAGTTGATGGTTGAGGGGTAGTAATTGTAGCAACCGTTGACGCTGGCGAATGAATAACTGTTGATTTTGTATCAGTTCGACTACTAGTATCATCTTCAGTTGTTGTCATATTAACAGTAAATGATAAATCACAAGGACGACGTGGATAGTAGCAATCAATATTAGGTGGTGGTACTGATGGTGGTAATGTTGATTTAGTAGGTTCTTGTAATTGAATATGTCCATGATTAGATTTAATACTTAGTAGTGGTGATGGTGGTACATCATCCCATCCAGAGAATGATGATGCAGTTTCTTCATTTGTTGTTGATAAACTTCGAGCTGGATTATGCATATCTTTAATTGATTTTTCTTGAAGTAATTGACGAAAATCTTCTTCAGTAAAACTTTTGCGTTCATTTGACAAATGACGATTTGTTGATGCAATTTTAGATAATGGTGGTGGTGGTGTTGATTTACATCGACTGTTATCATCTATGATAAGGAAAACAAAAACAAGAAATTTATATGATTTAAAACGAAAAACAAAACTAATGATTTTACCTGTTGATCCATTCAGCATTTGTTGTGTTAGAATTAAACATTTACTACCACTTGTTTCTGATGGTGTCATTGCTTCTCTTGATGACCAACAACTATTATCACTTAAGAGAATCATTCGTGGTACATAATCTTTTAATACTGATGGTGATGAATCTTTTTTTGTCACTAAACGATTCGATATTTTTTTTATTGGATTTATTTGTTGCTGAATATGATTATTATTATTAGTCGTACCATTTAATGCTTGTAGAAGTGTATGACGATATGAAGGATTGTCAGTAGTTGAAATATGATTAGATATTCGAACATGCTTTCGAGCTGATGTTGATGATGAATGTTTAAGAAGACTTTGTTGTTCATTAAGAACAACAGATGATGATGTTGTTGTAGTAGTTGTTGTTGTTGACATTTGAATATGATTTTCTTCTTTTTGACAATTTAATTTATCATGATATTGAGATGATTGGGAATGATGAGAATCGTCTGTACTAGAAGACTTTTGAACAGTTCCAATATTTGTATGACCAATAGTTAATGGAAGAGTATTACGACCCTAAACGTATATACAGAATAAGTATTGTATATGTTATGATTGAGAAAATACGTAATTAATTCATACGTATCTGAATATTTATGTTGATAATCATGCATTAAGGAATTTTATCTATCAGACAACTATTTCTATGGAATAAATTAAGACTGTTCAAAAGAATGATGATATGTAGATGTGAGACGTTTGATATTAGTAATTATTTCTCATATTTCAAAATCAATTTGGATTCATTTATATAGAAATTTTTGACTTCATAGAATATCAATTCAATAAATCTTTTGTCTTATTTCATTAGGTTTATTTTAGTATAGATAAGACTATTATAAAAATTAATCTATTCAATGCTTAATTTTATGGTGCTAAGTAATAAAATTGAATGATTACATGTTCTATTCTCTCCTTATTTGTAATTGAAACTTAAAAGACCACCATCTGTCGTACGTCTAGACGTGTATTCACTATTTTATTATACCTGAAAGACATTATCTCCAATAAGACGACCAAGTAGATAATAAATATTCGTATTATTAATTTGTGTACTAACAATTAAACCAGCTGTTCGAAATAGATAAAGATCATTTAATAGATGATAAACAGCTGATGTTGTTAAACAATGATTAATTTGTGTTTTACTAATAAGTAATTGTAAAAGTGAAATATGTTCACTCCATAGATCAATTTTCGGATAATTTTCTAGATGTATTAATATTTCATGTACACAACCAATATGTAAACAAGCCGAAAGATTTATTGTTGATGATGATATTTGTTTTAAACGTTCTTCTAATTGAAATAAAAGTTCAACTAATTGTTGAATAGATTTAACTGAATCATCTGTATTTGTATCAATTGAAAATATTATTTCTTTAATTGTTGATTTTCTATGTATAACAATATCGATATATTTTTCATTAGTTTTTAATAAATATTCCATATCATTTAAATATTCAACAAGCATATATTCATGTTCAATATTTAATGGATAAAAATGTACGTATAATAATGCCATACGATCATATTTCGTATGATAATGTTGTGCTAGAACAATATCAGAATCAGTACGTAAATAATAATCAATAACACGTAATGGAAAAAATAGTGATGTTTGTTTAATAAGTTCATCACGTTGTTTAACAATAGTTAAACGTTCATTATTAATTTGTTTAAGCCAAATAAAATCAATTTTTTCTAACCATTCGTGAACATAAGAAGAAATAATTAAAAGTAAACCATGCAAGATAATTAAAGTAAATGTTGTATAATGATGTAAACGATGAATTGATGGAAAATATAGATTAGTTGTTATCCATATATATTCAAATAAAAATAATTGAACTATTAAACAACTAATAATAAATAATGTTTTAATCATCCATGAACATTGACGATAGATTGAACATAAATAGAGTGAATAAATAGGAGATAATATTAGATAATCATGATATTGACGATCAAATGATGGTGTCGTTGATTCACTAGAATAGTAACATATCAAATGTTAGATTTAAAAGCTGTCAACACAATCCTGATGAGATTAAAGTATGAAATATAATATAACTACTATTACTAATAGCATGTGTCCAACAGATTGTTGCAAGTTGATACTAGATATTGTATTCGAGTGATTAGATAAAAATACTAATCTACGTGTAAATATACATAATATTTTCTCATTTCTTTCTGAGATGAGTTTTATCATTCATAAGATTGAAATAGCTTTCAGCTATATTATATTTTTCGTTATAAAAACAATTTTAAGTAGACATACAATGAATCGTTTTTTTAAGAGTATTACAAGCACTTAGATTTCTAAATATTTATTTAAAAAATACGAGTTTCTCTTAAAATATCTCACTCAACATTAAATGACATTCTTAAATTTTCAATACAAAATTTCGCATCTTCTAGAAAATAACATAACGAGTTTTTTTTTAAGTTTACTCTATTTGTATAATTTAAAATACATTCAATTTCTCTAACCTGATTATTGTATTATTTAAAGTTGAATTCAATTGACTAGAAGATTCATTAATTATTGTTGTATTATTAATAATATCATTTGAATTTAATAAATATTTAAAATTCTGTATTGAATGATATTGTGTAGCTACGAGAAATAATGTTGAAAAAGTTAAACAAATAAGTGTATTAAAATAAACATAAAATATTCTATTATTTTTATTATTTTGTGATTGATCATTATGTATTGTATAAAGAAATAATATAATTAAGAAAACAAGACCAATAATAATCGATGGAAATGATATAAAATAATATAATTTTATATTCTGTAGAACAAATGCTTGACATAATGAACCAATTAAAATTAATAATATAAAAAGATAAATAAATAAATCTGGACGATTTGCACGATGTATTGATTGAAAATCTTTTGTAAGATTTTGATCATATTGTTCTTTAAAACTTAAATTAAACCAATTTAAATGTTTTGTTGTTAATTCAATTAAACTACGTTTACGTAATGAACGTGTTAATGTTATTGTTCCTAAATGTTTTTCGACATGATATTGTGCTTGAATACGTGTCAATTGATCAATCATACTTGAATTATTTACTGATGATAATTCATTATCATGTGGTTCATACATATTTATACTAAATAGAAAATACGTTGAAGTATTTTCTAATAAAGTATTATTTGTTAACCATGAATATGAATGAAATTCATAGAATTTATTTTCTTTTAATGCATCATATATTCTTGATGATACATGTATACGATTAATAATAAGACATTCTTCACGTAACCATCGTGAACAATCATATGCTAAACCTTCGATATATTCAGGTGATAATATATGTAATTCATTATAATCAATACCAATGATAGATGTTAAACACCATTGTGTAACATTATTAACATGTTGAATAAAACGAAATAATTCTATAGCTAAACGACAACTATTGTCTATATTAGTTTGTTCATTATCGTTATCATTGAAAAGAATAATAGTAATGATTTCATTATCAAAGATATATTTTGCTTGAGGCTGTTGTTTTAGAATTAATTGTTCAATTTGACAATAAAGTACATCGAATAAAGATGCTAATTCATCACATGTATGTTGTCGTGTTTGTTCATTTAAAGATAAATTACAATTGATTACTGTACCAAATTTTCGATTTACACTATTCAATTGATTACTAGTGGTAAGACGAAAGAAAAAAACTCATGATTAATATTTCAATTTAGTTTAATCTATAGGGAATTGAGATTTAGTTCATTCAAATAACGAAGAAATTGTATATTTAAGATCAATATGAGTAAATGTGTCAGATATTCCCTAGAGCATGTAGTATGTCGCCTGCTTTTTGTTGATATAATCAAAAGGTAAAGATAACGAGACCTTCTAGCTACAAATTCCACTGACATTTTTCTTTGATTCAAGTTGCTTTCTTTTAGTAATTCTATGTTAACGTATGGAAAGATACTTCATTACTGGTTATAATGTCTTGTCGAAATATTCTTCTATCTTATAATTAGTATGGCATATTTCTTGCTCTAGAGAGATTCTCATGAAGAAATAATAGCCCTAAGAACCTATTTTTCTTGTCTGTAATGTTACCAAATGGTAACTATTTTGATCGATATAACAATTATCAACTCAGTTTACACGTAGACTACAGACGGAAGGGAAACGACGAACTTGTAGATCATGCCATTAATTTTGTCTAGTAGAAATAACACATCTATATATATCTCAAGAATTCAAATTTATTGTTCACAATATATCATTCATTAATAAACTTGTCATGTCGTTTGATATTCATTAACTCTATTATGGATTTTTGACCTTTACTTAGAGTAAGAACTACAAGGAACATTTTTGTAATAATGTACGTTAATTTCTAACAGATCAATAAAGACAAGTTACAAGTTCAAGTAATACATGAACAAGGTCTTCGGATAATAGTTCCATTAAGAAATTATAGATAAAACTAACGTATGCATACATAATATGAAAAAAAAAATTAGATCCCAATTAGGATTCACCTCGATAAAAAGGTCGATTAATTGTGATATCATAAGAAAATGTCATGATCATATAATATCCTTCAAGCTATTATTCATATCTTAATTTACTTTGAAAAATAATTTGTATCTTACTTAATATTAAATCCATTAGATAATTTTGATATACGTCCAGTTGAACGTTGTGCTTGTTGACAATGTCCAATGATTGTATTTAATTTTTTACAATCAACACTAAATTTATTTTTTTCATATAAACTTGTTTCATATTCATGAAAATGTTGACGAATATATCTTATAGATCTAATATAGGTATATAAACCGGATAGATTTATGATAATATGATAAAAAATCAACGAAATAAATTCTATACTTGTCCAGTGAATTTCATTTGTTTGATTTAATAGAAGACTTATATGTAATATTGATATACTTAAACAAATTATAATAGATTGAATTAATGTAAATGTTAATAATGAATAAATAAGTGTTATTGATATTGTTGAAAATAATATATGATATTGTTCGGTTTGGTATGTTAGTACTAATGGAATAATTAGAAGAAATATGAGAAAACTTCTTGTACAAAACCATAGTGTCTTCCATTTCGTATGTATACGTATAAGAAATAATAAAAAGAATGTTAAAAAAATGCATATTAAATAAACAATTGTTCGAATATCAAATGTTAGTTTTGTTGTATTATATAATAATAAACGACAGAGAAATAAAGTTAACAAGTAAATTAATAATAATAATGGAAGAAAAATTTTTAAACATATTTTACTTAATTTATTTAGAAATTTTCGATAATATAAATTAAGATCATCACAATCATTCATACGATGTAAATGTAAAGATTTTTCACACAAATATCCAAAACGATTGGAAGTCATACTAAAATGAATAGAAAACAAAAAAAGGTTTTTTATTTTTATTCTTTTTTTTTGTAACATGATGATACCATCAAGTTGAATATTAATGAAATGATCTCATCAATTTCGATAGCTACAAGGGTAATCCTATCACATAGTGTTTGAAAAAGTCAAAAATGAACTTGCGCTCGTTTTTTTCTTTTTTTAACTCATTCACTCTCTTATGACAACAACTTGAAATTTCGATGTCGTAACCATAAAAGTTGCAAAATGTGATCTTCTAGGCATCTGTCTTTTCTTTTCTTTTTCTTTTGTCAACTTTTAACAAATATTTCATTTAATAAAAAAAAGAAGAAGAAGGCAATTGCACAATAACAAATCTTTAAAAACTATATATATATATATATCTCTTATGTCTCATATAATATACATACATGATAGTACACCCCAGCTGGATGACTGATTGTGTCTGTCTTGTTGCTGTGCCTATCTATATCTTTACTAACGATGCAATTGTATGTACGGTATGATGAATGTGCGATTGTAGAGCAAAGTCGTGGATAGGAAGAGACGAAGAAAGAGACCACAAATAGAAGAATTCTTTCCTTTTGCTCTCCCTCCCTCTCCTTTTTCTCGTTACTGTGCTACTAGTGCAATGTCTTTTTCTCTTCTTTACTGCCTACCCAACCTCCCATAAGTGTTTAAGCTGCGCAGTGTGCTACTGCTGCTGTTGCTGCTGCTACTGACCTCTGGTCATAAGCATTATGAGCTCACTTTCTTACTTTTTTTAGTTGATGATAGGATATGTTGAACGCAAAGAATACAGACGAAGAAAAAAAGAAAAAGAAGAAGAAGAAGACGAAGAAGAAGAAGGAGAAGAAAATGAAGAAGAGAAAGAAATCTGGTCCGGTACCGATGGCATATGTATGATGCAACGAGATACATCTAGAGCAGGAAGACGATAAAGAAGTAGTTGAACGTTTTCTTGGGTATACATTAAAAGCGTTGCAAATAAACATTTCCTTTGCCTTTCGGTGTAAATGCAAATAACTTGATCATATGTGTGAACATAGACTTCTTGCTACGCGACATTAAAACATACAAAAAAACGATAAAAAAGAAGGAATGATTCTGAATATGAACAATCTAAGAATACGTTTATAAGCACTTTTGTACACTCAAAAAATATTTATTTATACAGGCATTGATCAAGACAAAAAAAAGGGGTGGAGGAATAAAAGTGAACATAAATAGAAACTTCTCAACAGATTTCTAATATATCATAACATTCATTTTTTTTATGGGCCTATTTAGCCAACATTATCCAAGGTTAATATCTCTTAGAAACCGGATGATGTGAAAATACTTCTGCTACTAGTCTGACAATTCTGATTAACTGATACCCACTCTATTTCCTTTAAAGATGGAAATTATGCAATAATAGAAGATGAGAAACATAATAGAAAAGAAAGAGATTTTTGACACATTATGCTTCTACAGATGTGTAGAATAGTTTGAATATTGAATATAGGTCATTACCCTTCACCATATAGAAGTTTCTATTACTCGATACTTAGTGTTCACAGCATGTGTTCATGCTCGATTATGTTCTGACTTACTTGTACAAGAACACATTAGCACCGAACAAACGACCTTTTCAAAGTGTTTTTATGAATGTATATAGTTGTATATATACATCTATTATTCGTCTTCTCTCCTTCGTCTCTTTATCCGATCTACATGTACAAGGTCTATTATTCTATTCTAATCAGTTTCATTATTAAATCAATACCCTTACTTATACTTACTTTCTTTTCTCTTTTTTTCTTTTTTTTTTTCTTCTTATTCAAACGTCACAAAGAATAAGAAGAGATTCTTTTCTATTATGTATTATCAAAGATAAAGAAATCTGTACATGCATAATATCAATCGTTGTTATCCTATAACTCTCTCACTCTCTCTGTTACTATGTTGTGCACGACGAGGAACAATTATCTCAATACTTTGTACACAATATATAATAGATATATACATTGAGAGAAAAGACCATATGAGAGGGACAGAGAGAAAACAACAGAAGTCAGTCGATTGACAATCAAGCCTGATAGTTCATTATTGTTCTACTCAGAGGAACAAAGTGGTCGGTTGCTTCTTTACAACTATTATCATTATATTCTATACGCACGATTTCCTTTAATAAGAGAAAAAGACTATAAATCCTCACACTTCCGCTCACTCAATGTACATGTCCTTCTTTCTTTCTTTGTCTCTCTTCATTCATCATACCACCCACTAATATATTGCAATTGAAAAAAAACGACAGAGAGAGAGAGAGAATTTCTATTGATTGATGTTTAAAAAGAACCCATTCTGAGCACGGTCTCCGAAATTGTTTCATTTAGTATAATTACACATCATGTTACGTAATCAACCGTGAGATAGAGAAACCAATATATTAATAACAACAACAACAAAAAACTATCGTTCATTCGACAATGACAATGGCGGCGGCGGTGGTGTACACTGTTCTGGACGATTAATAACATGCTAGTAAAAACAACACATATACATATTGTACCTAAGGGAGAACATTTTTTTTTTCGTATCATTAAATATACAATGATTAAAAAAACCTTGCTAAATTTCATCAACGTATATTTTCAACACTTGTTCTTTTCACATCAAATCAATAAAGATTGAATTATTCGATATCACACGAAGATGAATAACATCTAATCAAGTGTGATGAAAGAGACAATGAAAGTAATAGAAGTTCGCCGTTCTCTATCAATAGACTGGCATACGTCTACCAGGCAAATTTGATGAGTAATCATCATCATCACCACCACATCAGACTTTCTTTGTCTATCTCGCATCAACGGGAGATGACCGATGTCATGCTGTTCTAGACAAAGGTTGCTCTTATTTTTTATTGTTGTTTATCTACTTTCTTAATATTACTTTTCTTCTCATATACATATATATATATATATATATATATATATGCATATACATATACATGTGGAAGCTGTACAGTTGTTCACTATACAATGACGATTGGTATAACATGAATGTAAATGAAGGAGAAAGATACGAATTTGTAATAACGGCTATTGAGGGTCAATTTCTTTTTTTCTTTTCTTTTCTTTGTCTATTGTGTCTTTGATTATCACTTAAACAACATCGGTCAACCTTTTCATACTATATCCAAATCAAACAAAGTCAAAACGTATATAATTAGTAGTTTGTTCATACTATAGTGAAAAAATTATAACTTTGTATAAAGATTTTCTATATTTTGACTTATATATATATAAAGATATAATTAAGATAAGTAATGACGTAGATACTAAGGAAATCTATTAACTATCATGCAAATATTCTACACAAACATTTTTTGTTCTTTATTTGAAAAAAGAAAAACGAATACATTGAAATATTGTAATCAATTTTCATTTTTATTGAAAAGTAAAAACTAGACTCATTATTCATCTATATTTAACAAAATCAATTATAAAAATAGTGAAGTTGTATTTACACAAGAATAACTATTTGAATTAAATGTTTTTTCAATTTATTTATAAATATTATCAAAACGTATAATATTTTATTTAATGAAGAACCTATTTATAAATTGTAAAATAGTCTGTCGGAGGTGTTGTGATTCATTTTGTACATTTAATTTCCGTTATAACTAATGGTTTTTTTCTTAAAAAAGAAATTCGATTTCAAGTCGGATTTATGCAACAAAAAATTCTCATATTCTCTTCTATAAAAACAAAAATATTTTCTACAAAATCACTACAGTACATTTCTATATACCGATAGTTGCACAACTCAAAGCAAACTAAACAATGGCACTCATTCAACTTATTTGCATTCAAGTATAGAATATTCTTTGAAATTTATTTCATAAATTTTGATGTTTATAATTTAGTTCATACTCATCATTGTTTCGCATCAAGTCTTGGCAAATCCAACAATCACTGATTTATCCGATGCACTTGTAAACACTAATCAAAATGTATATCCATCTCGTGCATTAGTTTACGATAATCTTGAAGAATATTTATCTAATGCTGATAGAGATGAAAATCTTCGACAACAACTCCTTAATCGATTTTCTAAACGACGAGCAAAAGCAAATCTTGCTGGTTTATGGGGTGTACCAACAAAATTTGCTTAAATTCGAATAAAAATATTTTCTTTTTTTTCAGAATATTAAACATTCTTGTCGGAATAAAATCTTATAGAAAACAATTCATCTTGTTTAATTAGAATTTATTTTATAAGAAAGAAAAAAACATATATCCCTTTTTCTCAATTGTTAAATTGGAAATGAATCTTCACAAGACGAAAAAAAAAGAAAGAATATCCGATGATAATATGGAATTAATATAGCATAAGAAAGATATATAGATTATACGATCTTATGATGTAATATTCAATGAAATATATTGTTTATCCTAGTTGACATTGACAAAGAATGTGCTTAAGAAAATGGATTTTTCTTTCTTCGTATCTTATGAGGAATTAATAATATAGAATAATAATTTGAATACTAAGTAGGATTTGTTTTTTTAATTATTTTCCATAATTTAATCATCGAGTTTTCATATCATTTACTACATAACTAATGTTTCAAATCCTTGATATCAAAGTTATATGTACTTTGATACTCATTAATAAACAATCGAGCAAAAGAAAATAGAGAAAGATCTTATTGTTAATGAACTGTCAATCATTTTTATTTATTTTAATGGATATGATATAATCAAAATGTTTATAATACTGATACTCTTTTGACCTGTTAAACAAAACTCAGATGTTCTAGAATAGACATTTATTGATCTATCTAATTCATTATATGATTTACCATAGTTGAAAATTTACAATTTAGATAAAAGTATTGTTTTTTTATGCTAATGATACATTCATGGTAAATAGTTAACAACATGAATAAATTAATATCGTTATTATATGCGAATTAATCATATGAGATAGTTTCTAATTAAATGATAGTTAATAAAAGAAAAGAAAAAAGTTTCCTGTAGACTATATTATAACTACGAAACAAGTATTAGATAAAAAAGATCAGATATGCAATATATACCATAAACTCATTTGTTTATCTTTTCATTATGTAAAGACAATGAATCGTAAAAAGGGCAATTTGGCTGTTTAGGTTTTTTTTGTTACTGTCTGATGACTTATGTCAATACTTGAAGTTTATGAGTAAATGACATGTCAAAAAAAATGTATTTCTGTGTCTGATAATACATGGCAAACTGATTAGAATTTGTCTGTAATAGAGAATGTATATAAAAGAAGTAAACTGAGTTATAATAATTCACTTTAGAGAATATCAAAAAAAAACAAATGCTAGGATTTTGATATTCAGAGTTGACATAATGAACTGCATACATTTATGTATATTAATACTTTGAAATCTCTACGCGTAGATATTATTTATTATATATTGATCGATTACATCTGTTAAAAAGATCTGAAGAAATATTTATGATGAATAACGCCGAAATAGTCATCGGAGTTTTCTAATATACTTATAAAAAGATATGACAAAGCCTATTCTTTTGAAATATCAATGGTTTATTGACAGAACGATTAGATTTTACTGAAATAAATTTTTGTCGACCCGTAATATTAATGAGAAGACGATACATTTTTCCTATATTGATTTTACAGATTTAAATTACAATAAATTTCTATTCAATCTGATTTATTAATGCATCATTACTATGTTAAGAAAACCTCAATTGAGTGTAATGAGGTGACTTTTTTACATACATATTTGAATCATGCTTACTAAATTGGATATGTAAATGACTGATTATGAATATTTAATTGTTTATTTAGATAAAAACCTATATATATGTTGACTGTACTTTATAATCCGTCTAAACTCGGAAGCTTTTATAGAAATAAAACTTAATGAAGTTTTCTTGACGCTAAAAATAGACTAGAATTATGTATACAATACAAGTAATTTATTGATCTGTAATTTTTATTAGAAGTATTTATGATCAGAATCGCGTATTAATGAAAAATTGCATCGAAATGGATCATGTTATATAAATAATCAATGATAAGTAGAAGACTATTTTCTTTTTTGTTTTACAATTTTTCTGTTAAAAACGTCTGCTTATCTAATTCATTGTTAAAGTAGTCGGTAGACGTTGTATTAAATTAAAATACAGGAATATTAGTTTATGTGTTGCTATGCTGATTGTCGTCATTGGTTTGAAAAAAAAACTAAAAAGAGATGCATGTTATAGACTTATGACGTTATTCAATTTTCTTTCATGATCGGAAGTTGTCCAAAAAATAATGATAAATGACAGAGAGAATAAATAGAATTAATGTTTAAATAACGATATTTTAGACATGTTTCTTTCCTGTATTTATATTTTACTGTTATAAAATCTTTGAAAAAAAAATTATTATAATAAGAAAGCTAATTTCATGTATATCGAATTGATAAATACATATAAAAACTAAGAGTAAGAGATCTATAAAGTAGTTTAGTTGAAAAGAAAAATTCTGGATTAGGTGTTTATTTTTTTTTCTTCTTCTGTTCTATAGAAACTGATTTCCTGGACATCAAGACGGAAAAAAAGAGGTAAATGTTAATCAATAAAGAAAAATAGCTTATGACTATTGTAAATATTTTTATATATAAATCACATAAACACCTGGTTAACAATTTAAGTTTGTCTATCTGTTTCCCTAAACAACAAAACAGAGAGAAAAGGAGAGAGGGAAATAATCGAGTATAAATTGACTTTACTACTTCTCTTAATAACTTCATTTCACTAAGAACATTTTTTTAAATAGGTAAATATTCATTATCTTCGAGTAAATAGTTACTTTTTTGTAATCAAGATAAAACGTATCTTTATATATCGTATATTTAAGATTACCTTCGAAATCAATCTAGGAAGATCATTTTCAAGCAATGCGTTTCGATATTATTTGCTTTGTTATTGCTTGTATTTTGTTGAGCGTTGTCAATACACAGAACGATACAACATATTACACTATTCAAACGACAACAAAAACAGTCTCAACAAATACTAGTAATTCAACAGCACCAACAACAACAACAACAATGATGTCTACCAGCACTACTACAAACATGACGTCAGGTGCAAATAATAATGTTCAACATCAATCAATTATTATTCCAATTTCAATCCTTGGTACTCTCTTTCTACCATTTTTTATCCAATATACATAAAAAATATATCGGCAACGTGATAGACAACAAAAATAATATAACGTATTCATATTTTTGCTTATTGTCCTTTTCTGTTTACTTGTGCATGTAATATTTTTTTCCTATGGATTATTATTAAAAACTTGTCTATTCAAATATTTTACATTAATGTTGTTTTTTTATTTTATATTGCTTAAACATGAATATCAAATATATTTACTATTTACAGTTTGAAATCCGTTTAATTATTTTACAAAATATTGTAAGATTTAGATATAGATAATACTCTGTCGATGTATTTTTCGAACGTTAAGGTTGATTGATTGTGATGACTCGGAATATATAAAAAAAGTATCTTATCATGGGCGTATTAGTAAGAACGAACTCAAAAATACATCATTCTACCACGTAAACGTGTGGGGTTCACGCACAGGACAAAAAATAACAATAATAAATCCTACTTAACGACTTCATGACGTAATATTTTTTTATTCATCATTTACAGTAAACTTGTACTGAGCTTAATATAGCTACAGATGACGAATTTGTTTTTGCGTCTGACGTGTCCATAAACGTAGTATAAAATGCGAAGTAAAATTGTATTATATACATAAAGCAACTTCATTCACATTTATACATCGAAAACATTTGTTTACAAACTAACTGTAAGTATTTACATTATATAAAATTTGTTACTGTAATAAAAAGTATTTTGATGAGTTTCTCAGTCTTTAGTAAAAATATTAAATACAAGCTCTACTTTATGAAATTGATCATCTCTATATTCTTTGCATTCATCTATAGTTATTTAGTATTATACTCTTATGACTTAGCATATTGTAATATATTAAGATGATTTTAACAGATTTTCATAATTCTATAGATTCGATCAATATAAATAAACTTTTCAAAATAAATTTCGTTAGATATAATTTTGTTTTCTAACGTATTCTTATATAATTTCTTCTTTAGAAATTTCAATCATGTCTCGCCGATTCAATAGCACTATTATTTCAATATTTTTTGTTGTACTTTTGGCTTCATTAATGTCGAAAATAGATGCACAGGGTGGTTCATCAGCAACAACAACAATAGCCACCGTAGTTAATGGTACAACAACTATTACCAATGGTACAGTAACTACCGGTAATAGTACAACAACTACAGGCAATGGTACAACCACTACAGGCAATAGTACAACAACAACGGGCAACAGTACAGTAACTACTGGCAATAGTACCACAACTACGGGTAATGGTACAGTAACTACAGGCAATAGTACCACAACTACAGGCAATAGTACAACAATTACAAGCAATAGTACGACAATTACGGGCAATGGTACAACAGCTATGGGCATTAGTACAACAACTATAGCCACCACAGTTAATGGTACAACAACTATGACCAATAGTACAACAACTACAGGTAATGGTACAACAACTATTACCAATAGTACAACAATTACAAGCAATAGTACAACAACTACGGGCAATGGTACAACCACAATGATTATGGGCACTACTACTGTCGTTATGAATACAGCCATGCCAATAACTACTACTGTCGTTATGAACACAACGATGCCAATAACTACTACTGTCGTTATGAACACAACGATGCCAATGACTACAATGTCGTCCACTACATCTTCAACAACAACCACAACAACAACAACAACAACGACAACGACAAGTACTGGAACAACTGTAACACCACAACAAAGAAGTCATGGTAATAATCTATATTCAAGCAAAATACTTTCCATTTTTCTTTTTTCATTGTTTTTTATCTTTTAAATAATTATATATTTCTACATGTATATTGTCTATTAGTTTCTAAGATTGAGTTTCTTTTTTTTTTTTTGATGTAAATTATTAAATTTGAAAACATATAAGTAATAAATAGACAACAAAAACAACGAGCAAACAAACAAATCGATTCAAAGTATCGAAACGAAAGAAAAAAAAAACACAAATATAAAGATAGATAAATACGAAATCAGTCAAACGCTACCACTGCACAAGAAAAGAAAAAAAAAAGCATTTTTGATTTATTTTGCAATAGAACACAAATATGTATATGTATATCGATTATTTGTTTCTCTATAGTAAAATTTTCTTTCTTCGCTCGTCTGTTATACAGAAAAAAAAACAACAAATAGTATAAATTGACAAACAAACATAAAGAAAAGCAAAAAAAACATATGTTTTATGTTTATCCCTGACGAAATAAATTGGCAATATGGAAGGTAGACAAAACAAAAAGAAAAGACAAATTGAGTTTTATTCAAGTATATCACTGTTGTTGATCGCTTGCTACAGGTGCCTATTTGATACAAAAGAAATGAATTTATTTAGAATTAAAAAAAGATTTTTTTTTTGTTTCATTTTTTATTATACTTTTCGTTTTGTTGCTGATAAATTAAACGAATTCATTGCTCGAATACCTCCAGTAGCATCATCATCATCAGTTGTTCTCAAAAGATCATCATCTGTAGTTCGTTCTTCATGTCTTTCATCATCATCATCATCGTCATCATCTGATGTTAAAAGTGATTCTTCATCTGTTCGACTTCCACTATCATTTCCAATAATATCATGATGATGATTATTATTTCCATTAGTAGTATTTGAAGATTTTCTAAGAATAAAATATTAGATAAATAGTTTTTTTTTAATTTGTTCATAATGCTAATCTCTTACGGATGTTGTTGTTGTTGTTCATTATGATTTGCTTTAATTTCGTTTATAATATTCGATTCATTTTTATTTGGTATATCAGGCACGTTTTCGACTGCTGCTGGAAGGGATTCGGTACTTTCTATAAAAAAAATTATCAATAATTATATGATCAATAGCAAGATTTAATTCAGTACCAGTATTTAATTGTTGAACAAGTGATGACATAGCTGATGTTAATGAATCAGCAGCTATGAGCAGATCAGTTCGTAGAGATTTTGTATGTTGACTTATTGATGGTGATTCACTGACGTTGGTTTCTTAAATAATAATATAATATCGATTAAGATTTTAGTAAAGAAAAAAAAGAGAGTAAAGTAAATCGATCTGTTTTATTTTTTGAATCTATGCTAAAAATGAAATATAATAATATACCGATAGATGTTAATTGATCATGAAGTGGTGTTGGTGGTGTTGAATAACTTCGAAATGAAACATTAGTATTACTTTTTCTTGTATTATTTGAAGTATTTGCATGTGTATGATAAACCATTCGTGACGGTGAAACACTTAAACGACCATGTGGACTCGTTGTTGTTGATCGTTGTTGTGAATGAGGTGAATAACGTAAAATTTTACCAAGTGTATCTAATTGTGTTGTTAATTCTTCTCTACTTAGTTGTAAATGATCAATACGTGATTCTAATTGAAGTTTACGTGATAATAATGTTTGTAATTCATGTTCTAAATATGGATTTGTTTCTGTTGACCCCGCACGTCTCATTTGATGGATACGATTACGTGTTGGTTGCGATTGTTGATAGTGATGATAAGACGATGATTCATGACGAGGACTTGAGCGTTGATGTGGCAATGTTTGAGCATAGCGTTGTTCAAGTCTATTCATTGATGATGAAAGACCAGGAGATGAAGGATAAAGACCAGTTGTATTAGCATCCGTATCACTATAGGCATGAAATTCATTTTGTAAACTTGAATTAGCATAATCAAGTGAATTACGACGTTTAAGTTGAGCACGTAGTGTATTAATTTCACGAAGAATACGTCTACAAAAGATAAGTTTAGTTTATAGAAAACATGTCAATCAAAAGATTCAAGATTGAAATAATAACTAATAGAGATATTTTTGAATTAAAAAGTAAAAGAAAACCTATATATGATAAAAACCATTGTTTATATTTGTTTTGTTCTAATTAATTTTCATGAATAGAAATGTTCTATTAGGACATCATTGTTTATTAAATGTTTTGTATGAATAATATACAGATAATTCTCTATAGATTTTCTTATAATCGCATGAGTAAATCTATCATTCAATAAAATTAGTTATCTATCCTTTTTGTTTTATTCCTATGAGTAATTTCTTTCTTTTATAGTAAGTGAAATATATATTTGTCGAGTATTTATTTTTACCTATTTTTTGCTTCAAGTTTCGAAATAATTAAACGTTTTTCTGCACTTTGATGATCCATTTGCATTGATCGAATTGATGACATAGGTACCATAGTTGATGGTGTTGTTGTCATTGTTCTTGGATAATATTGATTATTCATTTGTAAATTCATTGGACATGATGGAAATCTTATTGGTGGTTGAATTCCACTTGGATTTTGTTTTTGTTTATCATCAATTGATGCTAATTGTTGTGCATATAATGCAATTTGTATATGTTCATCCATATCAGATTGATTACTATTTTCATCCATTTTTCGAATAGTATTTTTTGTCATTGTTAACGTTCGTTGTTCATCGATATGCATCGGTTTTGGTGTATTAAGTCGGACAAGTTGTGGTGATGAACATGAAGATATCTGTTCTTTTTCCATCATCAATGGACTTGATGGTGATGATATTGATCCAGGTGTTTGTTGTGATTGATATTGTTGTGTTTGTTGTGATTGTGATTGTGGTGGATGTCTTTTTATACTATTATTTCGACATTTCCATGAAAAAAATCGTGGTGATGTTGATGTTGATGATGAAACTATGTTTGAACGACGTTCTTCACTTTTTGGCATACATTGAAATGATCTATTAGGAAGAAAACAAGAAGATCAAATAAAACAAATTTACTATTTGAAGGAGAGACGTAGAATGAATGAATAAGTTCAAAAAAAAAAGATTATTTACTTATTCAATTTATAATCAAGGGTGTAAAAATTTTTACCAATCTATATAGTATTTTTGCGCTCTACAATGAAATATTTCCAAGACAAAAATTTTTTCTTTGTAAAAGTCAATTTTAACTTCTCAAAGGTACATATACTGGTCTGTTATTCATTTTTGTTCTTGAAAATCATAGAAATAATATTATCTTCGCAATGCATGTGCAAAAAAAACAGAATAATCTTTATATTCTATTGTGTTAATAACCATAATAAATCTAATTCTTTCATAAAAATGAAGTATATTGTAAAAGTGTTACATAACCAAATAATACGTTAAAGAATTCATTATAAGAAAAAAACGTTTTCATTTTGAAAATTACTATATAAATCCGGATTTATTTTAACGGAAATGTTTTCCGGATCAAATACTATTTTTTTTACATGTCATATAATGAATGAAAATGGAATGAGAAAAATAGAGATATAAATCATGACATAGTTATAATACACGTTGATTTGTTCTTCTGATTCTTTCGATTATCATTACGTAACGAGAAAACATAGATTACATTGAAGTATATATGATATATTAATCATATATAACACGCTGAGCGTTGATAGAATAAAAATCAAACATGCAATATTATTTTATTACATATATAAATATAAGATTTAATTAGTTGAGTACTCTTATATCTGATGTTTTTAGGGTTATATGGACTATTGTATTTATTATGCGTATCTAGTTCTTGCTCGAGGCATGAGCGTAGATGTTAAAGTGTTATTTTAAGTTTTCTGACTCTAAAAGGCTTCCGGTAAATTTTTAACCAGTTCCGTCCGTTTTCTTAGAGAATAGTATATCGGCCAATCAGGCAACGGCTGTCTTTCAATGTATGAACTAAAAACAGATCAAATGCCTAGAAGATAAATATAGAAAAAAAAGAGAGAATAAAATCAATGTTCTCATGAGATTCAATCTCAATCGCAATATAATATGAATTGATTTCAATCTAATTTATTACAATATCTTTATTCTATCATAATAATTAAGCGATTACTAAATTTTTTTCTCAGTTAATTCATAAAATTCTTACTGTAAGTTGCATGGAAAAATATATATATATCATCGTTCTCTTTGATGTAGTTCAACATTTTTATGATTAACTAAAGTATTTCTCTCGTTTCATATCTATTGTTAAAAAACAGCAAACTATATTAGACGTAAGTGAAGAAAAAGGGAAATTGAATTATATAGTTAGAATGATCAGAAAAGAAAGCGACAGATTTAAAATATTTTCCTAATAATATTATCATCATACCTTCGAATTGATTGTCGAAATTCTTTAACAGGTGATGTAAAAAATGTATATTCTTTCATTTCATGTGTTGGTAAATGTTGATCAGATACTCTTCCACGCCAAAAACAATCTTGACATAATTGATATGTTCGATCATGACATTGTTGACATTTATATCGAAAACCAGAAAATGATGCACGTTGACAAGCTGAACATTTAACACGATGAATAACTTTAAAAAAAACAAGACATGATTTTTTCTTTATTCAAAAAAAAATAATAATAATTTACCATTTTCAACGCTAATTAAACGATGAAATATAATAAGCCATTGTAAACAATTTGGTGTTGTATCATTATAAATTAAAGTATCAAGAAATTCATTGAGATTAATTGAAGTTACTGATAGATGTGAAAACATTAATTGAGCATTATTTGAACGATATGTTGAATATGATATTTCTTGTAAGGCATATGGTAATGCAAGTATTTCATGTAAAAGTTCATCAATTTGTATATATGTTAATGTCGTAGATGATGATGGTAAATAAGATGTAAATAAATGACGCATTTTATCAACTAATTTACCTGTACATAAAAGTACAAGAACAACACGAAATGAATTAAAACGTATAGAAAAATTATTTGCTGATTCATTAGTATTATAAACATATAAAAACCAAGCAATAGCTGAATGAACACAATTTTCAATATGTAAAATTTGTTGTGATGATGGTAAACGTTTATTTAAATTTGTATAAATTGATGTTAAAAATGTTGTTAAACGATTTATTGAAAGATATTGATCATTATTGGGTAATGTAGATTGAATAGGTGTTGGTGTACGACGATTTGTTGGTGATAAACTATTTGAACTTAATTCGGATGATGGCCATGTTAAACATTCTCGAAGGGATTCAATTACATTTAATAAATCAAGAAGATGAACTAAAAATAAATAATTTGTATTAATATTGAATTTATTTATTTCGTTTTCGAAATTCATCTAACTAATAATAAATACATTTGAATAATAGATTATTACTTATGTAATTTTGTTTTTTTAAGTGTTATGAGTTTTATCAATCATATGCTTCATTAAATAATCAAAGTGTTGAAACTCACAGGCAGTAATATTCTTTCCAGATATATGAACATTTGTGCATTTATGCTGAAATTAATTGATCATATCATCCTCGTTATTTTTTGTCAAGATTTTCATAGAAATTAATCATGGTCTTAATAAAATACTATAGACTATATCAGAAAATCAAGAGATTAACATCAGAAACGATTAAACAGAATTCGAACATCTCGATAATATTTTCGTATTCAAAATTCTTTTGTAATCTATCGATATGGAGGAGAAGAAGAAAAAAGAAACCGAAGTGATAATTATACAATATTATGTAAATATTTTCTTTTCATTATTATTCTAATATACAATTTTTGTTTTTAATACGATTCATATTGATTAAATATCATATAAATGATTCATATATACTTATTTAAATTTAAGTAAACTTACAGTTTAGCTTCTTTTGAATGAAACGTAATTTACATGCCGTTCGATATGTAGAAAAACGAATAATATCAAAATTTTGAGCACCTATAATATAAACAAATAGTTTATAAAATTTTCATAATAAATATTTTTTAAAAAAAAAGTAACATACGTAGCTCCATTTGTAATTGTTGTAGTTCATTGTTGAAGCTTGTATTCATCGTCACGTCCAATCCTCTGGACGGGCAAGCTTCGCAATCGGATGGCTAGTCTGAAAGAAGAAAAAAAAACGAAAAAATTCGGGGAATATTCTTGATTTTTAATTCAAAAAACACAACATTGTATATACGATGATACATAGTAAGAACAGATTATGAACAAAAGAACGATATAAAAAAGAACGGTAACCGGAAGGCAAAAGAGGGCACACATATCGATTGGTTAATTTTATTTACAATGTGACCTCGAATAAGCAAGATGCCGCTGGTTGATAGTAGATTAAACTTATTAATTAGAAAAATAACCTTTACGCTTGTCAGAGCTAGTTACATTTTATTCATATTAATGTCGTCTTTTCTTAATCAATGCATATATGCAAGATGTATTTCATACGAAGGAATTCTATTCAAAATAATATACATATTTGATGTACTTACATTTTATTATGCAAAACAATTGACTTGCTTTAATAGATATATATATATATAGAATCTTTTTCTTCGGTTTATCTTTTGATTAGATATATGTCTACTGATACTTAGTTGCAATTAAATATGATATATATCATTGAGATTTTGTTTTTCTAAGTTCTGCTTCTATATGAAATGATATCCTACATACGCCTCCAATCATTTCTTCTGTTGATTATATTATATTCTATATCAACAAGGGGTAGAACGTCAAATGTCTCAGCTTATGTGTCGTCTTATTTGTAAATGTTATAGAGACGTAAAAGAGAAGAAAAACAATTGTAGCAAGGTTATTTCAATGTTTTTATTACGTCATGTAGATTACCTTGCAATCAAATTATTCTTAAATGTTTCTCATTTCTAATATTCTTCATTCAACATATTTAAGTCAGATTTCAAAATAAGAATAATTAATTTTTAATTACAGAAAGTGTTTCTTTCAATATATATATATATATATAATCTATTCTATTTTACATAATTAACAATCGAATAATTTATTCTTCGTAGTTTTTATTCATGATACTGTGAGATAACATATCAGATTTTATATGGTTGATATATCCTAAGGTAAAATCATGTTATCTCATCGTTCGTCTGGAAATTTATTTTTGTACTTCATGAGTTGTAAGTGCATTGCGGTACTTTGATATTTGAAATTGCTAAAAGTAAATAATTGTTTTCATATTCATTACATGATTCGATAAGATTTGTTTTTTTTGTAATTTCAACTTGATACCTCTCATAAATAAATTGGAATTTTTATCAGCTAATACGATTGTTTAATGTGAAGAGCATTATTACTTCTTTTAAACAACATCTTATCTTGAAAGAATGTCTTATTCAATACAAGCAATTATTCATCTTTTTGAATTGTATAACTTTATGTTCTTTATTGTCTTTCAATTATAATTATTATATAATAGTCTTCACACGGTATTTTAAAGGATTCATCAGAAGAACTAAATTAATATTTAGATGTAAGATAGGTCATCAATTTGGAAAGAAAAATGTAGAGAAACCTCACAATTATAAAGTACAAAAGATTTAAGTAAAGAAATTATGTGCAGATTTTTCACTTCTATAGAAAAAGAAAGTTAATGGATACTTATATTGAGAATCGTACTGAACTTTTTATTAATTGAATAATTACAGAATCTTTTCTTAGTTCAGTCATTAAAAAAAATTAACTATTGAAATATATTATAATAAATTTGATGTTTATGTCTATGTACAAGTTTTATATCATTTTGGATTAATAATTCGTAATTAAATACAATAAAGTACATCTTCATTTCACATACTTTCTTTAGATAAGCTTTTATGTAAATTTTTGTTAAAAGATAGTTCCTAGAATGACTATTGCATGATTAATTTACTCTTATCAGAAAGGTATATTTCTAAGAATTGATGAAAGGCAACGGAATTCACACAATGATAAATCTAATGCATATTCGCCTTTTTTTATTAAAAGAGCTAGAAGCACGACAAGTATATATAAATTACATTAGAATAAAAATGAATGAAATTTTTATGATAGACATACATTCATTCTATTGTTTGTAACCATAATTTTTCTTTAAGTCAAAGAAATCGATTAAAGAAAAAAGTGCGTATAACTGATGTATTAACATTAGACTGAATAGATACTATTGAACGTAAGACTATATCAAGTTATGGTTTCAAACAAACTCATTTTTACATACAGTAATATACATACACATACTTTTCCTTGTCTCATTCATTTGTTCGATAATCTATAACTATCTACCATTATTGTTTAGTTCAATATTTCTATCTAGTATATGAATTACAACTATCAAATATAACCTTCAAAGTATGTATCATTATATTGACATAATAGGTGTATCATATGTTTTAACCGAAAGCTATATTAGTGTTTTTCTTTGTAAAACAAAACCATAATTGAAGGACACATTTGTTTAGTTCTTATTTCAATCAAAATAATTATGAAAGTATACGCATATGTATCAATTCATATCAATACTATTTTGTAATTCTTACATGAAACTATATTCCTATGATTAGCTGTATAAATAATATTGTGAAATGATAGTCATAAGTAGAATAACTCTTTTAAATTCAGATTAGTAAATATCTGAGTTTCTTTTATATAGTTCATGAAATTTGAGAAAGTGTAATTTAATACATAATATAACAATAAAATGATTTCTAATTTATAGATCATTATTCTCTTTTTACATAAAGAGTTTGACTTATTGTAACTCACACTAAAAACTAGTATTAATATATTTTAATTAAAACGTTCAATCTACTTGCATATTTATTCTTATTTCCATATTATAATTGAAAAAAAGCTCATTCTTTTCTATTAAACAACAATTTAATGCTTAAATGACTCCTTTTTTTTATAGATGTAATCAGTTGACTTTTCTTTATTTCATTCAATATTGCATGAATGTTTCATCTATCTAAATGCTAGTTGTTTTTTTTTATTTCAATGATTTTTATGATATTTTCATATAATCATTATCAACAATTGTTTTGTAGGAATCACAAAAAAAAAATAGAATAAAAAATAACGTACGAATAATCATATACCATGTATGATAGACACACAGGATTATGAAACCATACAGAAAAAAGAAAAAGAATATTTTGTATATCATGGATCAAGTACTTTCTATATGTGTTGCTATAAAATACTAAGCAAAGAAAAAAGCATTGATATTGAAAGATGATTATATTTCAAAATATGTATTTATTCTTGAGTTTGGTTTTATCTAACTGTTTGTTTTCTTTACTATGAAAAATAAGATATCGATAGACTAGTAAATCAAGCTATAGAAGTTAGTAAAGATTAAATTATTATTTTGTTTAAATAATAATCTAATCTAAATATTTTCTGAACAAACAGGAAAAAAAACTCCGCTTTTCTTGATATTTTTCTTTGTTTTTAACGTTGTCTATTTTATGAAATAGTTGAAATTTATGGATATCGAATATTTTGAGTAATATTTCACATCTATCGTATCGACACTGATACCAGAAAAAGGCGCCTATAAGTTTCGCAGTAAAATTTGACCCAAGAACAAGACATATGTAGGTTTGTAGAGAAAATCTTTCTCTGTCGAATGGTATGTTTATTATCGAATTCTTTTGTGTACCAAAAAACTGATTTTTGGCTTGAAGTCAAGCCAATCAAAGACCTGCATTGATATCGACGTGGGAGTCAACTAAATTTCTTGCCTATAATTCACTTTTTACATTAATGTTTTTTAGATGAGGATTTTGTTCTCCGATATTTTCTCTGCAAACCGATGTATTCTGAGGATCCAATCGATGTTTTATTGAGGTCAACAGGCACAACAAAAAGTTGAAGTCATATTTGACTCCGATTTTTTGTGACTTCGACGTTCTTTTGTGTATCTGAATCTCGATCAAACATCGATTGGATCCTCAAAATACATCAGTTTGTAGAGAAAATATCAGAGAACAAAACCTTCATTTCAAAAATAGTTTTAATATAAAAAATTAATTATAGCCAAAAAATTTAGTTAATTCCGACGCCGATATCGATGCAGATCTCTAATTGGCTTAATTTAAAGCCAAAAATCAATTTTTTTGGTACATAATAAAGTTCGATAATAAATATACCATTCGATAGAGAAAGATTTTCTCTACAAACCTACATAAGCCTCGTTCCTAGGTCATAATCGTATCGTCGCCTTTGTTTGACACTATTTTTTATCATTAGGTTTATAGAAAAGAAAGAGAACTAAGTGGATTTATCATTAAAGAAAAGGAAAGAAAAAACAATAGTTGAATTAGAAATGACTTTTATTGATAGCCCATGTTATCAAAATCGGGGGAAAATCGATGAATTAATCGCGATTTGATTGACGATTATTTTCCGAATAATCGCAAAAAAATCGTCCGAAGTGACAATTATTTTTGGATGAAAATATAGTGACAGCATTTCAATAGGCTAGATAATTTAGCATCATTTTATACTGCACTATCCATGCCACCAAAAATCCCGACAAAATAAGCATTTCTTACTGGCGATTTTGAAGACATGGGAGGTTTGAGATCAATCGTTATTATGAAAAGAAGTAAGCCTAATATAATGAGTCAGAAATTTAACATAATAGTTCTAGAAGAATTTCTAAAGTTCTGTAAAAATCAATATGAAGGTTTTAGTTGATCAAATAATCATAGATACCCTGTTATTTCCTACACTAAATCTTATACGATAAACTTACCGAATGAAGGACTAAATGACTTTTTTTTTCTAAAGCATTTATTGATTGTTATAAAACTGGTATGTATGCATGTACTGAGAGATTGTATTCGATTTATTGGTATATTTTAATAAAACATTACAAGTCTAGATTCTAAGAACTGCTAAATGATTAATAATGAGCGTATTCGCATGGCAAAATGGTAATGAAGGTAAATACATAAAATCATTATTTAGGCTCGATATGAAAACTCTTCTTTCTAAGTCACGATCGCTCACGTATGTTCGATCTCATTTTTACATTAAAATAGATAATAATTCTGATTTTAAACGGCTTTTACAAGTTATAATTAATGAATTTTAGGCTGTGTCATAATTTCGATATCAGAAAATATGTTATAAATGAGTTAATCGAATGAGATATTATATAAGACAGAGAGTGAAATATCTTGAGAAAAATTTCTTAGAGCATCGTTTCGTGAAATACAAAAGATTTTTCTACAAAAAAGAATTAGTTGATCTTTGACACAAGATATAATAGTATTCGAAAAGCAGCTTTAGTAATAACTTAGTATTTTATAAAAAATTAACCTATGTACAACAAAAGTACTGAATTTAAATATGTCATTATTCTCAGTTGAGTTTTAACAATGTTTGTTCTGTATGTAGATGATACTAGAACAATATATAGGCAAAAATAAACATTTATGAATATAACTAATCAGGTTGTAGCTTTGATCACCATCATCAAATATGAGCTGACAGAAAATAGAAACTCATTTATTACTATTATTTGACATATGTGTTTTTAATATAACAAGAGGTATCAAATCTTCTGAGAACTGGAAAAAACGTTAGCAGAGAAAATTATTCCAATCTTTCTCGCATCTTATTAATATGTTGGAAAAATAAATGAAGACAAAATGAATTGTAAAATTCATGTCATATCATTTTGTATGCCCGTGTAACCGGCTGTTGCAATGTCAAATACTTTTTTTCATCATGACGCATTATAATGAAAAAAGTACATTATAATGACAATGAGGAAATGATAGTGCAACAACCGGCCACACGGTTTATTTAAAGCAATAACTACATATTTTAGAGTATACATTTTTCATTTCTATAGGTTTTAGTTAAACGTATACACTCTGATTTACTATTAATGTCAAGTGTTGCAATAAAGAGTTTCTCTCTATCATCTATTACAAAAAATGTTTGCATCTTTTCTTCTATTATTCTGGTTATCACTCTATATTATTTTCTTAACTATAATACAATAATAACATCATACATCAATTATATTCCATCACCGAATATCGGTCCTAAACAATGTAATTTCTCATCAATAGAATCTGATGGTTGGTTTTGTGAATCTGATTCTGACTGGGAACTTCGAAAAGTAATTGATCGTATACAACATAAACGTAATCGTATCTCAGATAGCCGCCATATGTTTTTTCAAAATAATTGGGAACCAACAATTCATTGTACCTTTGAACGACGTATTGGTAATCCTGGAGATGGAGGAAAATGGATTTGTGATATACATCGTTTTACACAAATGAATATGACAAATCTATTGATTTACTCATTTGGTTCTAATGGTGATTTTAGTTTCGAAAAAGCAGTCAACAAGATACTACCAAAAGCAGAAATTCATACATTCGATATGGGATATTTCACATGTCCAGCGAATGTTTGTATATTTCATCGTGCTCGTTTAGGGAATGGAAAAAATGGTGACTCAAAATCTTTACAAATGATTATGAAAGAACTTGGTCATGAAAGTAGATCTATTCATATACTTAAAGTTGATATTGAAGGTGGTGAATATGACTTATTTGAAGAATTATTTAATCATTTATCGGATAATCAAGTTACTCTTCCTTATATTCGTCAGATTTTATTTGAAATTCATCTTAGTGGTAGTATTCAAAGTGAAGAATCGACTCGACGTACACATAAATTATTTGAATTATTTCGTGCAAATAATTATGCAATATTTCATAAAGAAGTTAATTTATATGATGCTCACAATGTTTGTGAATTTGCTTTAATACGATTGAATCCGTTGTTTTTTATTTTACGTCGATAATTATTAAAATATCTAATGTATCATCTATTATTTATTCTAAAATTCGTCTTTTTTATACCAACAATGACGTTCCGAATGTTATTTTTAACCCATATAAGTTCAATTTATTTTTTTGAAATAAAATAGTAAAGAATGATATATGTATAGATAATTATATTAGAATCAAATAATAGCATATCTTCCTACCATCACAATCACAATAATATATCACATTGTAAAGTAATATAGGTAGAGGTCAATCAGCAACTGCAAGATTTCTAAAAAGGATTCTCACTAATAAAATTACGAAAGGTATTATTAGATTTTTTTTGTTACTTGCTAATCTGTTTTAACAGGCTTTTTGAATAATAGCAGTATATATATACGCATTTAAGCTGAGGATTCGAACAATCTATAAGATTCTGATCTTTTCTCCATGTGAAGCACAAACGTAGAATAATCTAAGTTGAACTATTAGAATTTCTTTTAATTAAAATAAAAAACAATATAGATATATATTTTTTTTCTATTTTGTACTAAATCCACGTACTTTTTCTTATATTTTGATTTGGTTGATTGCTTTCTCTTTTGCGTAGCAGACATATCATTTCGTGTTTTTCACGATGCAAAAGAAAAATATTTGCCATTAGTCGGTCGAAATCGATTAGCAGCGCATACATATCTAAGTAAGTAAATGAGCATAGGTGATTAGTCGGAACGCAAGGAGACTTTAGTTTTTCAATATTCAAATCATTTTTGTCATCCGATTTATATTTATTGTATTTTGTTAGAATGAGTTTTACATGCACTAGTAAATTCTTTTCGATTATTTTCTCGATATAAGATTGAACTATAGGCAATGGGGAACAAATCCTCATAATAGATCAATTAGAAGATACCTGTTATTGTAATTAATGATATTGTATTCCTTGCTTCAGTTTATTTGCTTCGCTATTTTTTACATGATACAATGTCTTACTGGGTCATCGTTTTGTGAACCATTTGGTTAAAAATATTTTTTATGATAGAATATTTTCCTCATACATTCATATGTTGATACTCATATTAACATGCCACGCTGTTTATATTTATCTTGGCAGACAAACATATTAAAGTTTGAAAATAAATATGCCTCTGCATGTCATATTAGTATTAAATATATACGCACATGTAGAATGTACAGGTGAAGAAAACATATCAAAATTTTTGTCCTCCTCCGCATTACTCTAATTTTTCTTTTAACTAGTAGGTCACTCACATTTTACATTATAAATGTTGCATTAAATTAATAATTTCAATTCTGATGTGAAGTTCTTAGAAATTTTATGTTATAAATTTGTTATTGCTCCACAAAAAGAGGAGGACGAAAAAACTGATAGATGTCTGAATACATTTTGACTATTATATATAGGCAATATGATTCATAAATATAATAGGAAAAATATACTGAATATTTGCTATTGATGACAAAGGATCGTTTGAAGTTTTTTACAAGAGAAATATCATCAAAAATATATTATGATCTATTACTATTGACTTTAGTCAATGAATATGATTATTTCATGAATTTCGTGTTGAAACCTACTAGAGTATGCACTCCATAAACTACTATCAATAATAAAACCTTGATAAAGTGATGATATTCTCTGTCATAATCCTTTTCGAATTAAAGATGAATATCTTCAGTTTAATTCATTTTGAATGTAGAAATATTTCTTATGACTTAAAATTGTCATATCTTTACCATCCATATAGGGTCATATTTGTTTATATCAGTTAATAATAACTACTGATGACTAGAGATATGCAGTCGAAAATAAAGATCTTATAAAATATCTTCTATTTCTAAGCGATTTATTTTATCGATTATTCCCATAAAAGGTTTAACTTAAAAAATGCCCTTCATTGATTGAGAATGTAAATAAGAGAGTATTTGTAAATTGTTCTAAGTTTAATACAAATAAATTCTATAATATAGTTTTCTCACAATCAAGATCAAAAGACCAAGAATGATAAGTATTCTGAGTTGTTTCACTGGAAAAATATTAGAAGATAGAAATGGTCAAAATGAAAATGTTTTCTGTTCTAAAAATAAGTTTATAAACTAACAAGCAAAATCTCTTGTAGTACGTGATCAAAAAGGTTCAAAGTCTTTGACACTATAACTTTGTTATATTTAAAACTGACATTAATGATTATATTATTTTTATTTTCGTCTTCTTTTTTAGTTTCTGTTATTGTTCTTTAAAACTGTTGATCATATCAAAACGAAATGCCAAAGAAAAACAAGCCAAAACGTGTCGCACTTACTGAAGAAATGATGATGGTTGAATATGAGGAATCATCGAAGGTGTCTGTTATGGGTATAACATTCACTGATGAAGACATGATCCTTGTGTCCACTGTATTGAAAAAACTCGGCGTAAGAAAATAAACTTTTATTTATTGACAATTATTAGATAAAAGATTGTATTAATACATTAAATTGGATATATTATTTTCTTTCCTGTTCAATTGGAATAGTTTTAAATTCTATTTAAAATTCTATGATGAGAAAAGAAACTTATATAAATTCTCTTTAGACAATAATGTATGCATCATTCTATCTTTTAGTATAAATTAATATGAACAATATTCTGAGATTTGACTATTCCAATTTCGTTTGTCTTTTAATATGAAACCTATTTCTTAATCATTCCCATTTTCATTTTACACAGACACTCAACAAATTCATAATGTATTGCAATACTAACGAACCTAAAACACTTCAATATCTGGTTGATGGATTACAAAGTTGCACAGTTAAATTCTTTCTTTTTTCATAATCTAATTTTTATTTCTAATTAATAATATAGGATCTAGCTACAGTTAGATTGGCTTCAATCAGTATAGGGGACGAAGGAATGAAATATGTAGTCGAAGGTTTACGAAATATCACGGTAAATTTGTTTATATTGCTGATTTCTATTTTGAATTTTTATCACATAGACATTGGTTGAAATTACTTTGGGAAACACTGGCTTGGGATCCGAATCAGTACGAATTTTCACTGAGATTTTAGGAAATAAGACCGTAAAGTTCTTTCTCTTGTTTTGCCTTTTATTTTCAAACTGAATTTTTCGCAGGCATTGACCATTCTCGATCTCACAGAGAATAGTATCGAAGGTGATGGAGTTCAACATCTGGTTAATGCCTTAAAAAACAACACAGTCAATATATTTATCTATTCGTCTCGCTCATTTTCATCTTGTTTTTCTTTTGATACAGACACTCACTGAGTTACGTCTTACAACTAACCAGATCGGAGACGAAGGAGCACAGCACTTGTGTGATCTTTTACGAAATACTACAGTATATATCTTTTTTCAAATTAGATTTATCTCATTTTCATCTGTATTTTTGATATAGACACTTACCATACTCCAAATTGGTAACAATGATATCGGAGAAGAAGGAATTCGACACTTCGCTGATGCTTTAAAAAATAATAAGGTAAATCTATTTATTTCTTTAACTGTTGCATTTTCAGATTGATTTATTTTTTCAGACGATCACAACACTCGATCTCAGTACTAATAAAATCAAAGATGAAGGAGCCCGATATTTGGGTGTTGCTTTACGTGATAATACAGTAAATCGTTTTTTATGTCTCTTAATCTTTCTTATGTCCATCATTATTTTTTTACATAGACACTCAGTGAACTGAATCTTGGATCGAGTGAAATTGAAGCTGAAGGAGCCCGACTTCTAGGCGATGGATTACGAAATAATAAGGTCACTCTCTTTTTCTTTTGATATCTTTCATATTCATCTTGAATTTGTTATATAGTCACTCACCAGTCTACATCTTACCAGAAATAGCATCGAAGACGAAGGGGTTCAACATTTACTTAATGCTTTAGAAAATAACACTGTAAATCTTTTTCTTTATTTATTTTGTCATGTAGTTTCATATTGAATTTCGTTTTTATTCAGATACTCAACCACCTTGATCTTGCATGGACTGAATTTGAAGATGATGGAAAAAAAGCAATTGACGATTATGTGAAAAAAACAGGACATACTGTCTTTACGGACCGCGATTTTTAGATCGACATTACATAATAACGAACAAAACTTTTTGAAATTCTATTTTCTAATCATTATTAGATTATAGTTATTATTTATCGCAAACTAACATATTTTATCTAAAAACAAATTTACAAGGAAAAAGTTCAACCTTTGGTAGAATAAAAATCGATCATCCTCTTGATGATATTTCCACTATAGAACATAATAAATAATATATGATATAATAGAGTACAAATTCAAAATATTACTATTCAGCTTTTTTAAAGAAGATAAGATTAAAAGTTTGATCATTTTATTATAAAAATATGTTATTGAAAATATTCTCTATTATTTTAAATAGCACATTTCTCAAATTACCAAATCATGAAGGAGATATTGAAGACTTTTTTTATAAAATATTAATTAGTAATTGTTTCAAATAATCTACCAACAGGAATAATGAAATTCATAACATAATCATCGATATACATTCCTTCAGAAAAAGCTAAAATTTGAATGAATCAAGAAAAAGAGTAAAAGTACTCTGTTTATCGACATTATACATACAGATGAACAATTCTAGAAAAATTTATGATAAGATATATAATCTATGTAGTTTGAAATTAACAGAAAATGTCAATACGTATTCATTTAAAAATATGAACTTCATTCTTACTATTTAAATTAATCTTGACATTGTAGTTGCTATAGGAAAATATTGGCTTAGAAAAAATGATTCTATTTTCTATATCTAGATTGATTTTAATAATCGCTTCAACAATAATTGTCACATAAAGACTTTTGTCGTTTTCATTCCACTCTTTTTCAAGAAAAATGACATCGCTAGGTGAATATTTCAAAAATAATTAATTGTCTTTTTATTTATATTGACTTTAGACAAATTTAACATTAAGATTATTTTTCCGATGTAGATCAGTGATAACAACAATTCGAATGAGACATGCTTACTACAAAAAAATATCAATTTTATTATTTCAATTTAGATTAATTCACACAAAAAGTTAAGTCGAAAGACTTATTAACATAAAAAGTTTAAGTTTAAAAAACATATACTGTATGCAATGATAAAAAATCGTTACGGTTCATCTCTCTTTTTTTTCTCACCTTCTCGATACTGTTGACCGTGACAACATGTACCTCTCGTTTTGTTCTTATTTATTACTATACTATGAATAAATGTATTCGTATTGATGTAGATATAACTGAACTGATGTAGTAGGCCGATAAATAATAAAATTGATGGTGGACGTAAAGCTGCGTCTTTAGTTCTTCATTATATTACTTTTATTTACATTTATTACACAAACAAGTATGATGGGAGTTGTTTTTAGAAAATAATTTTCATTTGTTTTTATTTAGATTAATTTCTAGCAGATTTTCATCAGTAAGTAATATTTCAAATCCATGGATAATCTCATACTTTTGCAGATTGAGATACATAAAGAATTTATTTCTCTTTCCTTTCATTGATGAGAAGCATTACGTAAATCTAGTATTGAATGGATTATGTAAGATTATTTTATAATGGTTGTAATTTGAATCCTAGATTTAGGAAGTAACCTTTGCCAATGTTCAATACATTCCAAATTAGACTCGGACAAGGCTTTCAGATAGAATTCTTTAAGTATTTTTCAAAAAAAAGAGTTTATCAACAAATAGATTTGTAATGCGCATATGATGATTTATCTCTTATTGAACTATAATATTTATTTATTTCTATACCTATTTCTATTTTGTCTTCCAAGGAAAAAAAAATCTTAAAAGACAATCGTGAATGTGTTGTTGCACATCGTTAGTACCAGTTAGCTACTTTAATCGATATTTAGCTAATATCATGAAGAAAATAATCGTAACTGACGATTATGATTGAAATTGTTAATAATTATTTCTATAATAGACCAGTTTTATCTACAATGCATCATGTCTCATTTCACATTGAGGATTTTGTTGAGTTTTTCTATTTGCAATTTAATTTACTTGAACTGTAGTAATATATGTGGGATATATGCCCTTTAATTTTGGTTCTCTGTCAGAAGAGAAATATGTTTTCAAAAATAGCAATAATTGCTACAGTTTGTCGACACAAAAGAATATGTACTTTCATCTGATTTATTCCGTCATTCACATTTCAGTAGAATTTTTCGACATTGTAACAACAACATATATTGCTATTTATGTTAGTTAATGAGTTAAGACAAATTTTCTGTTAAGAGATATATGCTGTGTCATAATATTTCAGTAATATCTAATTGAAAAGACGTTCTTTTGTATCACCAATCAAATTATAAGAGGGCTTGTATCTATTATCACAATGAAAAATCAAAGTGCGCATCGTATTAATTATTGATGTGGGACAAATCATTTTATGATTGTATCAGAGAAACGCGAGGTATTCTGCCTATAATAACAGTGGCAATCCTTTTGACTGTACTATTGACAGAAATAAAAAGACACCTAGCCAATCATGTATGACCATGCTTCTCCTTGATTGCAGTATGATTGAAGTATAGCATTATTTACGCGGAACGGTGAGTTAGAAGCAGGTGTCTTCGAAGTAAACCCAATCATGTGATGTTTTGTTTCTGTGCAGTGGAAAACGGCTTCACTAAAATCTAACTATTGTAAGGAATAACATGTGAATATACATAGTCTTTGATGTTGACAAGTTCTGATCAAAATTCTTGTAATATTTTCAAGATAACTTATCTAGTAATTGAATTCTAGAAAAATCTCCTTCAAGTTAAGTTTAGTTTAATAGTATCTTGTACAATTTCTTTAGAATTCGAATGACGAAATCATTTATAAAATCTTTACAAATAGATTTAGCTAAGGAGTTTGACATATATAGAGTTCATAGTGAATTGTATAGCGTATATTTCTGTAGAAAGCGGTTCACTGACTATACCTTATAGGATCTGAGCGAATTTATTTATCTGAGTATATAAAATAGTGCAAAATTGAGAGCGATTTATTTCTGATCTATGACATAATAACAGACGCATCAACTCTAAATATTGTGAGTATATTTGTGTCAACACTCGTTCTATTTCTCGATTTCAGATTGAGTAATACAGTTAAAATAATATCAGAGATTTATATGAATATCATGTTGAAATTTGTCTTATATTAGTATCATGACTGAACTAAATCTGATAAATTCTTTTTCTTCACTATTGACACATCTTGATCACGACTTGCTTCTTACTAATAACGTTTGTATATATAGGATAACAATACGATTTTTTTCCTTTAGTCTTCCGTCAATCATACATACATCGAATAAATATTAATGTTCCATAAAATAACAAAAAAACTTCGTCGAGTAGGTAACAATAAAATATTCATAATTTTTGCTACAGTTATTTTTCTTCTCATCCGATTTTACTTTACTACACACGAGTCGATACCAAAATTACCTGGAAGTTACATACAATCATCAGATATCGATTCTAAACAATGTAATTTATCATTATTAGAATCCGATGGTTGGTTTTGTGAATCTAATTCTGACTGGAAACGTCGGAAAAGAATTCATCGTTTACAACATAAACGTAATCGTATTTCAGATGATAGATCTTTATTTTTTCAAAATAATTGGGAGCCAACAATTCACTGTCAATTTGAACGACGTATTGGTAATACTGGTGATGGAGGAAAATGGATTTGTGATGTATATCGTTTAAGGCAAATGAATACTACCGATCTATTGATTTATTCATTTGGTTCTAATGGTGATTTTAGTTTCGAACAAGCAGTCAAAAACATGTTACCCAAAGCAGAAATTCATACATTTGATATGCAGTTATATAAGTGTCCAGATGGTATTTGTACATTTCATCAAGCTCGTTTAGGAAATGGAAAAGATGATGATTCGAAATCTTTACAAATGATTATGAAAGAACTTGGTCATGAAAATAGACATATTCAAATACTTAAAGTTGATATTGAAGGCAGTGAATATGATTTATTTGAAAGCTTATTGAATCTTTCACCAAGTAATCAAGCTAAACTTCCTTATATTCGTCAGATTTTATTTGAAATTCATCTTCACTCCGATTACATCGATAAATCAATTGAACGTACACATGAATTATTTGAGTTATTTCGTGCAAATAATTATGTAATATTTCATAAAGAAGTAAATTTAGATGATCCTCGAAATGTTTTTGAATTCGCCCTTATACGATTAAACGCAGCATTTTTTACTTCACAATTATAAATGTGACAGTGGATCCAACTTTTTACTCGTTATATGCCATTTATTATTGAAAAAATGAAACACAGTATTAACAAGAGAAAATCAATTAGTTTAATAAAAATCATAATATTTTTTACTTTCAAAAGAATAAAGTATTTCATCTCTTTCGAATTTTATATCCAAAAAAATCTTAACAGACATTTTTATATAATAACTATTATACAAATATATATGATTATTTCATTTATTAAACTTGAATATCATATGATATTTTCAATTGATTAATTTCATTCTTTTCATACAAATCACATAAAACTGTATGATAATACATAGTTCAATTGCGAGATTCATTATTATTATTTTTTTTTGTACAATAATCTTCCGGTTAATGTTTGTCTATACATTTACAGAAAATATATCACAGCTACATTCGTTTTTTTTTCAGTGACAAATAGATAGCAAAAAAACAAACAAAATGACATGAAGAAAATGATATATCTGACATAATACATCTTATTGATGCACACATACAATACGGTGCTTTCAAACTTTTATTCTCGACTAGGACAATGAATAATAAACAAACAAAAACAAAGTTAAAGAAACACAAAAAAAAAGAAAATTCTCTTTGTTCTTTTGAATTTTTTCTGACATGAGATTTAATTATAAATAAAGTTGAATCGACTAAGTGTTTGTGGTAAACTTGATATAATTGGACCATAACCAGAAGCATTGTCATATAATTCAAATAGAGGTGCAGCAACTAATTTATAATTACGCGGAACTGCAAACATTGATGATTCACCAAGTTGAACAAGATATAATCTTCAATAGAAAAGAAAAAAAAAACAATTTCTTAAATTAAAATATAAATTATTAATTTATTTTACCGTATATGTTCTTTTGGTTTAGTTATATGAGCTGGTACATATGGATAACGTGGTGCTTCAAAATTAGGACGCCACCAATTACCAATAACATCTTCAACAAGCCAAGTATTTTGTTGAGTTGAATCTGGTCGTCCTAATGTTTCATTTAATAAACGTTTAAGACCTTCAATTGAATCCTCACCAGGATTAAGTTCTCCACCTAAAATCATAAAAAAACGAAATAAACTTTTCTTTTTTTATATTTTTGATTTATACCAGGTAATTTAAAAAATGTTGTACCCAATTGAAGTAGAAGTACATGAGGTAAATTATGTTCATGTACTAATAAAACAGCTTCAACACTACGTCTCATACCCATTGTTGTAAATTCTTCTCTCATACGTTGAAATCTTGCTTGAACGGAACTATCACGTTCGTATAAAGCATCTTTTGTACCAAATGTATAATTTGTTAATGGATATGTTTGAATTGTTCGTTCTAATGCCATCGATTGTGTTGGATGAATTAATGTTCGACCATTATTATGAAATGATGTTGGTGATGTTGCTAGTAAATTTGTATTATTATTTTGATCAGTTACTGATGATGATGATGGTGTTATTAATGGTGAAGTTATTGATACTGGTGTAGTTGCATTATTCGTGGATGTTGGAGATGATGTTGTAGAATTTACTCCAGGCCAATTCGTACGAACAAGTTGTGTGGAATTGTTTGTTAAATTTGTTGCTACAGACATGATTTTAACAGATATATTAGGATGAAACAAAATAATCTGAAGAGAAGTAACAAGATTATTTTAATAGGTGATTTTGAACAAATGTTAAAATACTGAACAAAGAAGAAGAACAAGAAGAAAAAAAACACAGTCAATCAAAACCGATATGACCAATCGTTATCGATTGTATTATTAAAAATAATAAAACCGTATATTAGTGACAACTATTGACAAAAAAAATAAGAAATTGAGTTTTATATAAAATAAAATTAAAAAATATATGTAAACGCAAATTTGTTAATTGTTTACATCAAAAATGATTATCGAATATTTTGTTCAATTTAAATAATTAAATAAATGCCATGAAAATCAATAATAATTAAATCTATTTTTTATATATAAAAAAGTTAGTTTTTGACATAAAACAAGGAAAATATGACAACAACAAAAAAGAGACCTACATTAATTTTTTTACCTCGAAACTCGAGAAAATATTTATTCAACTTAAGTCATCAATCATTTTTAAGATGTCTTCCTTTCACTTCTACACATTTCCATATACTTCAAAATCGTACGTAAAGAATACTCTAAAAGTTCTAATTTTTTTATTATTATGAAAGACTAATAAATAGAATGCATACAATCTGACATCACTATATTAAAAGAAGTAGAAAGAACAACACATCAAAATACTAATTTTCATTTAAGATTAGTTATTTTCAATAATTGTGCCATATACAATATAATCCAAACAGATGCAATTGCTAATGGAATTATATCTGAAGCAACACTTCCAACAAATGCATGTACTAAATAAACATGATCAGTAAATGTTGCTGTTGTTAAGCAAACAGAATATGCACCAGCAAAGGATCCTAATCCAATTAATGGATAAAAAAGCCAGTCAATATTTGGTATTTCCTGTTCACTACTTAACCATAATGATAAACGAGCACCAAAAGCTATTGAAAGCATTTTTAATATTTGTTCAAAACATAGTTGCCCTGTTATATTTGTTTTCTTCGTGGCAATGTCTGAGGTATAATAAAATATATTTACTAACCATTCACTTGTGAATGTTTGATATTCATGACAAATAAAAATTAATAATGTAGTTATTAAACCACATAATATTCCAGTTAAACCCGGTGGTAAATAATCACCATTACGTATTAAATCATGCAATTCATCAGCTGTATGTCCAACGGGTAAAGATTGTTCAATAGTTTCAAACATAAGTAATAATATCACACATATTGAAAGTGTTATAATACGTTCTATTGTATGTAAACTTTCTGTTTCAACTGTTATTGAATCTAAAAACAAAAATTTATCAATCAATATTTTATTTTTTCTTGTTTCTTACAAGTATTGTTTCGCTCATTATCAATTGGTCTAAGACGAACACGATTTAAAACAACTTTTTCATAGATATGATAACATATAAAAGCAATATAACTAGCTGCGATACTGTAAAGAAATAAAACAGGATTTATAGCCAAATAAATTGGTAAATATGATGGACAAAATCCAGTTAATAACATTGATATACCTAATAAATAACTGCCAACTTGTACTTCCATTGCTTGATGATTTTCATAACGATTTGCAATATATGAACGTGCTAATGTATATTGATTTGGTAAAATCTTACTTACAATATATGGTATACCCAATGAAACAAAGCATATTGAAATATAAAATTTATATAAATCAGTTTTTAAAAATAGAATATTTCGTCCAAATGTATATGGATAATAAAGTTTACTTTTTTCAAATATACATCCATATAATATATGTAGAATAATACTAAATAAAAATGTTTTATTGAAAATAATTCTTATACAATCATAGAACATTTGAACTGTTTTTTTCTTGATATTTATTAAATCAAACGATAAATATGTTTATTTTCTTTTTCACGTTTACTTGTCCTCTATTCTTATGCACTCATGCATGACATTTATATTTATATCAATGTCTTTTTTTTTTATTGGTAAATTAATATGAAAACATATTTCCCTAATTAGATTAGAATGTATATACATTTAATTCTAAAATATCTCCATATTTAATTTCAATTGAATGAACAAGCTCTCGTTTCATAGAATTATCATCCGATAAGATTATTTTATTAATAAGCACAATTTTTCTAATCTTGCCTCTTTGAATAGCATATGACGCTTGCATGCATAATGATAAGCATGAATAGAAAAAGAAAGAATATCTTTCTCTTCCCTCATTCTAGGATTTAGAATGACTGTTATTTCTATTTTTGTTATTGTTATTATTTTGTTTGAAGAAAAAAAAAAGAAAGAAAGAACGACGATAGAGATAGCTAGCGCTCGATCTTGTGTGTCAACGTCATGTGTGTCTGCATGTTCACCAGACATAAACGCATAAGACCAACCTTTACCACCATTCTCAGCACACGGGAACAAGAAAAGAGGATCTTTTCAGTTCTCTCGAGAACGATGTCGTGCGTCACTCACTATACAACATTTTTCTTTTATATTGTGTTTCAAGAACGGGTAATGAAAGGGGGAGAAGGAGAGGGAGAGGGAGAGAGAGAGAAAAACAAGAGAACGACGAATCAAGCTTGCTCGTGTATGAGTGAGTGCTGACAATAACTGCGGCATATTGATGTTGATGTTATCAAGTGGGTGTGACGTTGCTGTCGAATCGCATCAGTATGCACCCCCAGGCAACGACATTAACAGGAGCAATAATTCGCGAATCATCTCCTGATTTTTCTTCACTTTCGCCTGAAGAACTTGAACAATTAGAAATTGTTCTACAAAAACAAGTTTTAATTGAAAATGAACAAACACAACGTTTGTCTGGTTTACGTCGTACTATGGTACATCTTCAAAAAACAATTCAAAATGATCAACATCGACCACGAACTTTATCATCACCAATACAACAAACTCAATCAATATTAACATCTTCGGATATTGTTCAATGTTATATTTGTTTTTCGACAATTGAAACTATTTCAAATAGTTCAAATTTTTCACTACCTATACTTTGTTCTGATTGTCATCGACCTGTTTGTCGTCGATGTGGAAATTATACATCACCCGAATGTATTCAATCATACAATGGAATCAATTTAGAAAATCAAACTCATGCATCAAAATGGCGTTGTCGAATGTGTATTGTACGTCGTGAAGTTGTCCGGAAATCTGGTACGTGCTTGAATATAAATGATAATAGAAAATAAAATTGATTAAGAAATGAAGAGATTTTATAATACAGAAAACTGTTTAGATCTATAATAAAATAAGAGGCAAAGAAAAAGAAAAGAAGAAGAAAAAACTAACCAAAATTAATTCATTTTTCTTAGAAATAATTATATTCTTTCCATTTCTTTTCTCCCTTTTTTTTTCATTGAGAGAAGAAAAAAAAAGTCTCATCATTAATAGTTTCATTTTTTTTTATATCTATTTCTCTAACTGAGTCTTTATGACATATATGTGAATAAATAATAAGACGAATATGAATCTTTTTCGAGGTACATGGAATACGGCAGAAGATGAAACAGCAAATCATTCACCTGTACGTTTATTACAGAAATTAGCTGCTTATCGTACATCAATCGCTTCACCATCGGTATCAGCATCAGCATCACCATCTCCATCACCATCACCACAAATTGAACGTAAACAACCAACAATTCTTAGTGAATCGACAAATTTTTTTACACGTCTTTGGCGTCCATCTATTCAACAAACAACAACACCAACTTCACAAGAAAGAAATTTACCATCATCATTTGATTTTATACCTGAACCATCTTCTATGTCTCAAGATACATCACCTAATTTATCATCACCAACTATATTAAGTCATCGTATGTCATTTATACGTGAAGTATCAGCAAAAAATTCACCTTCTAATCAAGTACCTCAACAATCAGTATCAATGACAACAGCACCTCCTCCTCCTCCTCCTCCGTCAATACCACCACTTCAAACACAACCAACAACATCAAGTACAGTAACAGATCCATCATTTGAAGATACAACATCAGAACATCCATTTGATACTGCTAGTGAATTATTATCTCAAAGTTTTGAAACAAATATTTATAGTAGTAATCCTGGTATACTTGATGATCAAGATGATGATCAAAGTTCTCGAGAACAATCATTGACATATGATGAAAGACATCGAAGACTAAGTTTAACATCAAAACCAATGAGACCATTTGCTCAACAATTATCATCATTACCAATGCGAATTACTGAGCAACATCATAGTGAAAGTTTTCCTTCGCCGGAAGCTAATATCGATGTTAGTATGGTAAGTTAAAGTCATCTTCAACAATTATAAGAAAAAAAAAGGAAAAAACTACATTCGAATATTATTCTCATTTTGAGATAGATATAATCATTATTTAGAGGAGTACTTAGTATTTTAGTTACAGTTATTTATGTCGTTATCATGTCTATATTAGAGAAAAAAAACGTACGCACGAACAGGTAAGTAGCAAAATTATCATAAAAAAAGAAAAAGAATATTTTCTATAGAATATTTATGCATGAAGAACAAAAAATAAAAGAGGAAAACTAATGATACTACACAACATCGTTATTTTTTGTTTCGTTCTATATGATCATTTAAGATTAGTATTTAGATTTTTTCCGCTTTATAATTAGCCATCATTCGTTCTAACAAAAAAAAAGAAAAGAATATGATAGACATGCAAAAAAAAAATATACATCTATACCTGTCAATCGGCTATGAAAGCATTCATGTCATTTAAGAATATGGAAATGAGAAATAGTCTCATATGAATTCTCAAATAGCATTTATTATTCATCTTTATAAATTTCTCGTTGAAATGTCTATAAAAGATAGAGTTCGAAAAAGATAAATAAATAAAAAAATTATATTTTTAGGCTATGGATTATTTTTCTGTTTCAATGTTAACAAATGAATCTTCAAATAATAATAATGCAGAATCTATTTTAACAGAAAATGAATCAGCATCTATGGATATGATGCCTATGGCAGATGATAATAATAATAATAATCGTCGACAATCAAGCCGTTCGCGTCAAAAAAATTCCGAATCATGGGCACGTAAACGAGCATTAATGCAACGAGATTATGAATGGACTATGACATTAGATAGAGAACAATCAATCAAAGTTAATAATCCAACAACAGATCATGTTCTTTTAAATAATATGAAATCATTACCAACAACTATAACGAATACTTTAACATATACAAATCAACAAGAAGATATATCAGTATCTCCAAGATCTGTTTCACCTAATCCAATTCCAAGTGATTTATATCGTCGACGACGTTCATCACGTCGTCTACCAGAAATACCTAATGATACTCCAACACATATAAATTCATCGAATGAAGATACAATTACAGATGATTTATCAAGAACACCATTATCATATTCACCAACTTCATATGCACATCAACCATTACGAGAAAATTCATTTAGTAATCGTTCAACTCGTTCAAAAAGTATTGATTCTGAATCATCATTAAAAAGTCGTTCATTACATTCGAAATTATCCTATACACATCAAACACAAAATGCTAAATCAGTTGATATATCAAATTTAGCACGACGAAAATCATTATTTATTGTTAATAATAGTTTTTTACCACAACGTTCACTTGATTATCCATGTATTGTACGTAAAGGACAAGATCTATCTGATATTGTTCGAAGACGAATGTTATATGCAAAAATAAATAAACAACAACAAGGAAATAATTTTTCAATAAGTCTTGAACGTGAACACATACCAAAAGTACCAAGAAAAATTATTATACGTCAAGATAATAGTATTGAAATTGCATTAAGGTAATTTAGAACAAATATAAGAATATTTCTATTTTTTGTCTTTCAAATATTTTAAAGTAAACCACCTAAACTTCGACGACAAACTCTATCGGAAGATTATTATTATGGTTGTAATAATGAAGGTGAATTTGCTGTAACACAAATACCAAATGGTTCATCAACACTTGGTTTACCAAATGCATCATCTATAATAAATTCAACAAGTGGTGATCGACGTAAAACAATTGAAACATGTGAAAATATTTATTTACATGCTGAGGAAAGTTCTAAATTGCGTGCACGTACACCACCATCAAATCCACATAGAATTTTACTTCATCGAGATAAAAATGATACATCAATACGTACAAATGGTCTTGGAATGCGTATTGTTGGTGGACAAGAATGTGAAGATGGTAGTCTTGGTTCGTAGAATAGACAAAAAAAATGACTTCATTAAAGATTAAATATTGATATATTCCTTTTTCAGGATGTTTTGTAACAAATATTTTATCCGGTGGTCCAGCTGATGTTCAAGGAAATATTGAAGTTGGTGATCAAATTCTTGAATTTAATGGACATTCATTAATTGATTCGACTTATGAAGAAGTTCGAATTCTACAAGATCATTGTGGTGATATTGTACAATTAGTTGTTCAACATAATAATGTTCGATTACAAATTAATGGCGGACAAACATTATCATCTATAGAAGTTTCAAGACATTTTGAAACAGTTCCACGTTTATCATCATCATTAACACGAAAACGACGTAATTTACCACCATTACCACCATCATTATCATCTTCATTTCCTAAACAACCAAAACGACAATTATATGAAACAGTTGAAACACTTGAAGTACCCAATGTTAAAGAACTTAAGCCAATATTAATCAATCGTGGACGTTTATTAGGTAATTTATCAAGTTTCTTTTAATTAAAACATTCCATAGAATAAATATGTGTCATGAATAAATAAATCCCTTTTTATCTTTTATAGAATTTCCTTTAGTTTTTATCGAGGCAAAAAAAAAAGAAAAGAAAAGAAATGAGATGTTAAGGTAAACGGATTATCTTTTAATCTACTTATTCATAATTCCTTTTAACAGTTTATTATGTGTAAATTCTGTTTGACAAACGATATTTACAGAGTGTAATTTAAATAGATTTCTTTTCTTTTTTTTTTCTTCAAAACTTATTATCTTCTTAAGGACTTTTATTAAATTTACCGATGAATTCTTTTCATTTCAAGCGTATATCCTAATTAGAAAGGGCAAATAATATAATCTGAGCTTTTTTATCTTCTTCTTATCAACCTAAATTGAACCAAATCTAAATGACAAAAAGCTATCGAGCATAAAAGAAAGATGCTTATTATTAATATGTCAACCAAATTATATGTCTGTCAAGTGATATTCAATTTCATATCCTGTTAAAGAGTAGTTCATAAAATTCAATGATATTTTCTTTATGTCAGTATTAATAGAAATTATCTTGTCGATTTTCTTCTTTTTTCTTTTTAAGCTCAAATTTGGCATGATGTTGAAGACATGAAATTAGCATTGACAATTATTCAAGCAGGTAATCTTCCATTACGATCAAATGGTGATCAACCATATGCATATATAACTGGTAAAATGTTATTTGAAGATCGAGGTTTTGATATGTTTGAAACAAAAGTAATTCATTCATCGAATCCAACATATAATGAAACATTTGTTTTTCATGAAGTTGAAACTGTTGATGTACTTCTTCTTGAAGTTTTACTTTGGGATAAAAAACAACCGACACAAACTAGTAAAGATAAGAATAGTAGTATTGATGATCCAGATGAATTTATTGGTATGGTACAATTACCATTAGATGAAGCTAATATTGAAGATGAACCACGTTGGTATGAATTACGTGATAGACAAACACGTAAAACATCAGCATCAAGTGTAACATTTAAATCATCATCAGCTGAAAGTAGTGAAAGTTTTCGTAAAATGCCGCCATTATTAAAATCACTTAAACAACAAGAACGTACAAAATCATCAACAGATTTATTAATACGTGCATTAAATCGTTCGGCAACAAATAAACGTGATATAAAAACTGAATCACCAGCAACAAAACGAAAACATTCAGTTGTACAAATTATGAGTCCATCATCGAATAGAAAAAATTTACATCGTGCAAGTATAGCTGGTCCATTAGGAACATCAGGTTTACTATCAAATAATGATCATCATAATAATGATGATGATGAAAATGATAAGAAAGAAAATAATCATCAAGAACCAAGACGTCAATCAATAATAACTATACAATCAGAAAAACTTAAACGTCGAATATCAAAAGGTATATTAAAATTATTTGATTCTCATACAAAACATTCAACTGAATCAATATCAAAATCACCACCACAAAGTCCAACAGGATTAAGAAAATTATCTATACACATGCCTGCACAGATGGATAGTGAAGATGATACGGAATTACCTACTAATATTAATATTGATAGTTCATCTATTATCATTAATAGATCACCTCGACATAGTGTTGTATCAACAACACATCAAGATGATCAATCACCATTAATACGTCCAATACCATTACAACAAATGCCTATTGGACAATTAATGTTACCTTATATTCCAACATCACGACATTCATCTATATCAGGTTCAAGAAAATCTTCAGCTTGTTCTTATTGTGATGAAGATGAAGATATTGATAGATATTTTACATTTTCCGACCAAGCACAAGGAGAGGATACGAATGAAAATAATAATGTTCAAACACATACAGTTGGTCCTGGACAAGTTACACCAAGAAATTATGATAATATGATTAATGATTTAATACATATGGGACAAATACAACTTGGTTTAATTGTTACAAAAGGTCTCCTAGAAATTGATATTATTTGTGCAAGAGGTTTACAAAGAGTTATTGATGATAATAATACAAATACAACAATTACCGAAGATAATCCACCGGATACTTATGTTAAAACGTAATTATTATTCCATTCTTCTAATAGAAGAAGTTCGACTAATAACTATGAATAGATCCATAAGAAATAAAATAGCAGCTAATATTCAGAGTTTTCTTTTAATTGAGCTATTTAAATAATTTGAATATATTCATTCATGCGGATAATATAATCTAAGTAATTAGTTGAACATTCTATAATAATCTAGACATGTATTGAAATAGTTGTCTATAGGCTTAAAATAAATCCTTTTCTATAATAGATATCTTCGAACTGGTACACGTCGTGTACAAAAACGTAAAACAGCTACAATAAAAGCTAGTTATAATCCTGACTATCATGGAAAATTAACATACAATGCTTGTAATGTTATGGGTAATCAAACATTTTTTTCTTTTAAGTTTATTTTTAATAAATCTTTTTTTGCGTAGGTCGTCGTTTGCAAGTAACTGTTTGGCAACGTGCACGTAAATTTGAAAAAAATCAATGTATTGGTGAAGCATTTATTCAACTTGATAATCTAACATTAACACAATTAACATTAGCTTGGTATAAATTATTTCGAGAAAAATTAGTCGAAAGCGAATTTTATGATTCAAGTTAAATGTCAGATTATCATTCATTTATCTCTATTTATATATACAATGTGATGATATATATATATATATAAACAAAAATTAAATCCGAAGACAAATTGTCCTTTTTTATGATGACAGGTTTCATCTCGTTCTTCCTTATATAGAGGGAGTTATTCTATTTTAATAAAAAGATTCATGTACAAATATTCGTTTTTTTTGTTGTCTTTTTTATTAAATACAAAACAAAATACTTCAACAGAAGAAAAAAAGCGAGATTAGATAGATACATATCACAAAGATTATTTGATATATATCGACTAGATCCAAATAAAATCTTGGTTTTTAATTAAAACGAACAATTGATTGTTGAGTCAATAAAATATTTGGATCAACATTCATTTCTTTAACAAGAACACTAAGTAAATTATTCATTTGTCGATCTAGATCATTAGTTAAGTTCGTTAATGATGAATAATCTGTTCGTTGGAGATCATATAATGAACGTGCAAAATCTAAAACTGTATCCTAAATATCCAAAGAAGAAAACAATGTTTATTTCAAGAAGATTATTAAATAAAATTTTTACTTTAATAAATGTACACATTGATTTAACAGGACTATCCGGACCAAGAATTCCCCAAGCAAAAATCGGTGTCATATCTTCAATTAATGTTAAAAATGTTGTTAAAAATCCTTCTTGATGCTAAAAAGAAAAGTCTAAAATTTATCTGAAGAAAAAAAACTTATTATCATGATTTACTTTTGCGGTTGCTCGTCGAACTCTAAGAGCACATGAAACAGCTTTATTTAATGCTTGCTCACGGAATGTTTCTGAAAACCAACGATTTTGTAATATTGTTCGCATAGCAGATGGTGGAGCGTCTATATTAATAAATAACATGTGAATGCATGTAAAAGATAAATTCTAATGTTTTACCTAAAATTTCAAAACCTTCTAATAACATAAAATCAATTCCGACATTATAAACTGTTGGAGATTTAATCTAAATATTTCGAAAAGAAAATATTAATAAAAAAAAACTTTTAAAATTTCTTTTACTCCTGCTGATGCAAGTTCTTCACTAATCATAGGCCAATTATGATCATTAGCTAGAAGAATATTCATTTGTTCAAAAGCACGAACAAAACGTGTTTTATCCTAGAATAACAAAAATAATTCTTTTTTTTCTCCTTAATTACTATTTTCATAACATTTATTATTATATTTAATTGTCCTCATATGAGAATAAAAGCAATGAAAATAACCTAAAGACACGTTCAGTTTTTTCTCTAATATAATAATCACGAGATATTTAGTTTTAGTCAGGCAATGATTAAGTTTTAGTTAGTCTTAAGGATAAATATATAATCTTGCTAATTATACAAATAGCTTTAGTTATCAAGAAGAATTATTATGATCGATTAATTTTTGAAATATGAAAGCGAATGATATAGTTGACAGAAATATGATTAAAAATTCTAACATACTTTCGATGCTTTTTCAAGAAAACGTTCGCAAATAGCTCTTGATACGCGTTTTAAATAATCTTTTTTTTCGTCACTTCCAAGTAATTCCTTTGAAATAAAATAAAAATATATTCATTATTATTATCATATAATATCAACTAACATCACAAGCTGTTCGTATGCATGATAATTTAGCTAAATAATCTGTATCTGAAGAACAATGAAGTAATTTTGTTCGTAATTTTTTATATTGTACTTGATTTTTTTCTGCTAAACGAAGTCCATAGACATAATAAGGTGGTAATGAATAATATGGTGATGATGGATCAAATATAAGATCACCTGTATCAAGCCATTCAGCATCCTAGAAAAAATTTTCATTAAATAAAAAAAAAACGACTAGAAGATTTCGTATTTACATCAGGACAACTTTCAAAACTATCATTTGAACGTATCGATCGAAGTGAACGACGATCATTAAATGTTGATAAATCTGATTTTACACTTAATATTGTTTGTAATTCTTGTTGAACACGAATTGAATCACTACGATTTAATATTACTAAACTATTATCAGTTAAACTATTCGTTAAAGGTAATGTATCATATGTGGATTGAATTTGTTGTTGTTGTTCTTTTTCTTGTTCTAATAGTAATGCTAATTCATTTGCATTTGAATTAACATCAATTTTATTTAATAAAAATTGTATTTTGTTTCTTAATGTATTTAAATGATTAGAATTTGATGTTTCATCATTTTGTATTAAATCAGATTGATTTGGTAAACTAAGATCAATTATTGTTAATGCACGTTGCCAATAATCTATGGATATATTAAGATGTTCAAGACCATGTTTATAAAGTTGTTGAGGTGTTGGAAGACTTTCTTTTACTGGTGTATCTGTTGCATTTTCCCATTCTATTTAGATCAGAAGATTTAAAATAGAAATATTGTTTAGATTTATTCATTGAAACTAACCATCGGTTGAAGGTACTCTTGTAAATGTCGGTTGATTTTGTGATGCATTTGACCGAGGTACTTTTGGTTGACGATTGAATACTTTCCAGATTATATAAGCTAAGCCTAAAAGATAATAAATATTAGCTTGTTTGCTTTTCAAACAATGTTTTATAGTAGTGAAAAAACGATGATGTTAGAAGTTATATTACAAAAGATTTCGATAAGATAATTATAGAGTTGTACTGTCAAAATGAAACAAGCAACACCTGAGAAATTTATTTATTTTTCCTATTTCGCATGGAGTTTTTTGTTATAGTAAATGACACTCTTATATCAACTACTCCTATACGACTGAATATTAACTAGCATGTATCAAATTTTTGTTTCAGATCTGGAAAAAAAGTGATTATGTTAAAATTTCTCAAGTACTTAGAAGATCTACAAAATCATTATTAAATCTTAAAATGTCTTTTTTTCAATGTAGTTTTATGGTTTTTCATGTGTCTTGAAAAGAGAATGAGTCACATTTACTTACCAATGGCTGCAACTGTTGTTGTCGAAAGAATTGTAACTCTACGCATCTGGCTATTACTACTAATAAATGACATAATTATCCAACAAAATCTATAGAAAAATAAATCATATCACAATAAAATTTATAGAATAAAAATAATAACAAAAATTCGGTTTATTTTAAATTAAAAATATATATATTTCATTTCAAATTTTTAATACGGATGGTAATGGACCATCTTTTTTTTCAAATAATTGTTGTTGAATTTGTTTTTGTCGAATTAAACTTATTTGTTCACTAAGATAACGTGCTTTTTCTAAATTTTTAACAATACTCTAAAGATAAAAACAAAACATGAATAGAGAAATTTTCGTTTTTTATATAATAATTTACATCAACATGTTCAACACTAGTTCCAACATCTTTAACAGCATCCATACTATATTCAATATCGAAAACAAGGCCATTCATTTGTTCCTTTAAATTCTCAAGTTCATTTCGTTTTTGTATCATTGTTGGTAACATTTTTTGTACATGTTCCTTAATAGAAAAAGAAAATTTTCTATAAAAAACATTATTTAAGCTTATTTTACTTGGATTCGATAAAAAGCTAATGATGGTTCATTGGCATTATATTGAATTGTTTCATTTAGAAAACGTATTGTTGAACGTACTTTAATATCAGTATCTTGATCAAAACGATTCATTGGAAATTATTAATTTTTAAATATCGTTTGAATGAATAAATACGCGTAACTGTTGTTTCAGAAGTAAAGATTTATTTATTTATTCTCCAATAAAAATAAATTTACATTCTAACGACATCTATGATTATCGATAAAATATATATATTATCTATCATTCTTTAAAAGAATTTATTTCATTAATCATGACACAAAAATCATCAACCGAACAGTTTTTACTTCATCCGATTGAAAATAATCGAAATAAATATAAAATTCCAAAACATTCTATTACAAATTTAGTTTCAACACAAAATCATATTGGAACGAATACAGAACAAATTCAACTTGATCATGGAAATGATGGAGAAGAAATTGTTCAAGGTATATATAGAGTAGGAGAAATAAACTAGTATATGGAATAGAGATGAATATATAAAGGTTTTTTTAAACATAATGATCAACAAAGTCTATCGTTTGTAATAAAATATATTTGACATTATTCGTTTGTTGTAAAATGATACCAAACGTACTAACGGTTGTTCTCGAAAAAAAATAACTGTCTTGTTTTTAATGAAAAGATTATAACTCAATTTAGTGAAATATGAGTAGATTTTTACGCAAAACAAGGCACTCAATGATAACTGTTTATCTATTTTATAACATAGTCGAAACATCGGAATCTTATTGGAAATTAATAACTGAACAACGACAACAAGCAATTGAAAAAGCTAATACTGAAAATCAACAAGTAAGTATGATAATATATAATTTACTATCGAAATTATCTTTCTTTTTTTTAGTTACATACTCTTATCGATGATATAAGTAAAGAAAATGATAAACTTCGTATAATAGCTAATCATTGTGATTATCTACAAAATATTCTTGAAGTAAATTATATTTTTATTCAATTGATGATATAAAAAATTTCATTCTTTCTATTAGACTGTAAATGCTCAAAATATTAGTCATCTAAATGAAACAAATACAACTGATAATTCATTAAATTAACATTTATATCTATGCTTGTTTTTATATATAATTTATTATTAGTATTATGACTGTCTTCCTAGAATATGTATCAAACTTCAGAGTAGTTATTCTTTGTCAGATAGAGAAAAAAAACCGTTTTGTTTTTCTACCTATGTTATTTTTGTCTTTCCGTTATTTTCAAATATAATCTAAAAGAAAAACCTCGAATATTCATTTTTATTGTCAGTATCGACGTAAAATAGATATATACATATATTATCAAACGTCAATAGTGTAGGTGTCTAAGTGTGAATGTAAAACATAAAGACGAACACCTGTTACAAAATCCCCTTGATTATCTACATATATATATAGTCGTTGAATTTGTTATTATTTTCAACAGAAATGTTTTATATACTAATCGGTATAACACTGGTCATTGGAGGTATATCATCAATCCCCACTGATGATTTATCTCAGAGTCGAAATGTAGCATTTCAATTTCGAGAAATGATTACAGCAGTAACTGGTCGTTCAGCTTTTGATTATCTTGGTTATGGATGTCATTGTGGTCTTGGTGGTAAAGGAAAAACAGTCGATGGAGTTGATATGTGTTGTAAAATTCATGATCAATGTTATGCTGATACTTCCACGTATCTTCAATTTTGGAATTTATGTTCCCCACATTTAGTTGGTTTTTCATGGAAAAATGATAATGGTGTCTTGTCGTGTTCTGATAAACCAGATACATGTGCATATAAAACATGTATGTGTGATAAACAAGTTGCTGAATGTTTTGCTCAAAACACCTATAATGATCATCATAAAGGATACAGTAAAAGTCAATGCTCATAAATGAAAAAATTATCTTATTTTATTTATTAAATTGATGTATTCTTTATTATATTTCCTGAAGTAAAATAATATAAAATCAATATATATGTTTTTTCTTCTATTTGATAATTATCATAGCTGAATTGAGATATCTTTATATAAAGGTTAGTGTATCAGTGATAATAGAAGTCAAATTTAATACTTGTTTCTTTATCACTCGAATATTAGTTATCAATACAAAGTTCTGAAAAGAAATAACTTTATTAACATCATTTGATGGTAAGATAAATGTGCAATAATACCGAATTAATGTTGGAGTTGTTTTTACTAGTTTTTACTTTTTCGACGTACATATTCAAAGTTGTCATTTTATGTCACGATTATCTGAGGAACGGAACATCAGAAGATATTCGTTTAAACACAAGATGAATATATCAAAATCGAACTGATACCATTCGTTTTTCGATTTTGACTTTGGACTTTGTTTTTTTTACATTTCGAGATTTGTGATAGAATATTCATACTTATATATCATATTATGGCTACCAGTGTTAATTAGATCTTACTGTAAAACTCATCTAACTTTACAGCAATTTTGTACTTTAAACAATCGAATCACAAATACTTTTTATTTAAATAACAGATTATTTCACTTTACTTAAATTTAAGTGCTTCTTTTCATACGTTATATCAAATATCACATAAATCAATAAATAAAAAACATTCAAAGAAATTTAAATAGCAGATCATTTTATTTTTTATGATGGTATTGTTTTAATGAATGTTATTGAATTACAAGAAAATAAACAGTGGTTTACCAGTTTAGAGGGTGGGTGTGGATGAGGATTGGTATGCAGACAAAAAGAAGATGCATCTACAGACTCGCCCACATCTACCCTCAAGTGGATGCACATGATCGAGATTATCTTGAACAATTATTACTTAATAGTAATGAACTTATTGTAAATAATTTCTCTTTTATTTCGTATTCCAAAACAAAAAAATAGTTTATTTTAGTTTCTAAATGATCATCATATCCGTTTCTTTCTATTAACAAAACAATTATCTTTGCCACCATATTCTACATTTCATTCTATGAGTTTAACTACAGGACATTTGGAAAAACATTTGTTTCAATGATATAAGACATCAGTTATGCCTTCTTTAGTGGTGTAGTTAAATATAAACTATTTTTTTCAATCAAAACTTATTCTACTTTAATCGAATAATTGATAACATCTGATGAATGAGATCATGAAAAAAACATTTACTGAAATGACAATCACAACTTTACACATTATCAGTAAAATAGTATTCAAGATGGGTAACTCAACAAATGGAACATATAAGACACTATCAGAATCTGAATATTTTAGGATAGATCTAGTGTTGATATATTCATTTTAATTATTAAGAAACTCTATCAATGGAATCTAGCTGTTTTTTTCTTATTTATTCAATATTTCAAAAATCCTCCATGAATATTTCATAAATCATGTTGTTTCTTTGAATCACTTAGCTAAAGCATAATTGCTTTAAGTATTAAGTACATCGTAAAAAACCATATAAATTTTGAGAAAAACGAAAAGTATAACTAGAATGAATGAAATTAGAAAAAAAGACGATTTTATTTTCATAATACGTAAAATTACTTTGATGTTCCTGTGAAGGTATACATTAATAGTTCATGAATAGAAAGAAACTTTTTATTTAGTTTGATTATTATATCAATTAATTACAAGAATATGTAACCTATTACGCAAATGACGACTGGCGATGCAGCTTGTGGAAATAATTACATTGTACAATTAAACACATATTTAAAAATATAATCTTTTTTTCAGTACCAAGACGTCAGAAATTGATTTAACTTTGAGAAATAACTTTTTAATTGCATATTACTTTTTACATGTAATTCTAATTAAATTAGTATTTAATAAGAAATATCCATCTCGTCCAGCAATGTCAATCTTATATCAAAACAAAATGTTATCTATATGGAATAGTTTAAAGGCATTAAATAAATAAAATATATGTAAGCCACCGATGTCGATCACACGGTTAACCCTCCTAGGGCGACTATTTTCAGAGTAAGATTGCGTCGGAAACGTGCTCAAAAATATGATTGCGTCTCAGACGTAACTGAAAAAAAACCTAAGACGCGTTTGAAAGTAGTTACTTAAAACAAATGCGTTTAAACGCGTTACGAAATTTTTTCTAATCGCGCATTTCAACGCATAAATTTTGCGTTTCGTGTTAACATGGGCGGTAGTGTTGAATAGAAGAGAATGAAATTTCACAAAAATGAATATTCCAACGCAATGAAAGAAAGGAAGTTAGCGCATATATTGACTCATATTCAAAACAGAAAAAATATATTTCGAAACAAACACGTCATAAGAAAGTTCAGAACGAAAGAAAAAAAAAATACGTCAATAAAAACTTTTTAAATAAAGTTGGAGAACAAAAGTTTATTTTATGCAATTTTCTTTAGTTTTAAACCTACATACTCAGGTTGGTTAATTTATTGTTGTGTAACATTCGAGACCTATCAACTGTCGGTTCAAATTTGGCATTAGTTTGGCTCAATTTAATTGTTTGAAATGAGTGGTGGTGGTAACAGTAACGGTGAAATTATGGATTCTCCATCAAGAGGAAAAGATTTAAATGAAACTGTACTTGATTTGGTTGATATAGCTCAGCCTTTTATACAGGCTTTTTATGGCAACCTTTTTCGAGGTTGTTTGTTTGCGTTCAAAGCAGAAAAGAATGGCGTTGAGCGTTTGGAACTCTCAAAAGTGCTAGGTAGTATATTAAGAATTGCTGGCCTCACTGGGCAAAATCCAACAGCTATGGATTATTCGAGAATTAAACATTATACAACTTCGAAAGAAATTGGCGAAAATAAGAGAAATTTTATGAATAGAATATTTAATCTAATGATTTATGGTGTTGACACAGGCAAAGACAATAATATAGAATCCACTGTGGCTAGACTTGGTTACGATAAAAATGACTTATTTCAATCTGCTAAATTATCTGTTTTATTGAAAAGAAATGCTTTAATCTTTTTTTACTCATTTTTTTCACAACTTGAAACTATCGAAATCACAGGATATATGCATCCAAAACGATCTCGATCGAATTCGTGAAAGGAATAAATCTGAATTAAAGTTAAATATGATCTCATGATTAAATTTTGTAAATAAGCATTAATGAGGAGAGATTTCGTCATATTCATTTTTTCAGCATACAATTTAGTTCGATCTTATAAGAAAAACTATACATGTTTTTCATTTATACATGTAATTTTATATGTGAAATTGGAATCAAATAAATGTTATTGTAATATCGTCATTTCTTATGATGGATATTGATTATTTTAAAAAAATGTAAAATTATGTCGTTTAGATATGCCTTTTTCTCTTCACTCTATTGTTAAAAACAGAAGTAAAGTTCATTAATTATAATCAATATATTAGTAATTGCTTTTGAATTTCGTTGTTATAATGCTAAATCAAATAAAAGTTGAAATAATGCATTAGATGAATTTATTTTATCCATTTAGATCAAAAAAGAAAATAGTTAATTCTATAGATTTTACTGATTGTATAAACTTTGTCAGAATCTGAATAATCATTGAAACTACAATTCAGTCCGCTAGTTCAATTGACATCGAATAAATTCAGATCGGCAAGACTAATCTCATCTTGATTTCGATTTATTCTTGAGAGTGTAGGTAGGTCTTGATACCATATTATTAATTTTACTCGAATCTTCAAAATTTGAGTGTATCACTTTCGTTTCAGAGCACGATTCATTAACCAAATATTTACTTGTATCACTATACTAATTATTTACGGGTGTGTTCTTCATAATAAGAGAATTCAGACCATGCGTTCACGACATATCCATATATATATCACAACTTTCTCACTTTTTCTTCATCATATGAGGCTTTCTCCAACGTTATTACAATTCAATTCCATATAAATTATTCATTTTCTTCTTTTATAACAGGAAACACTCTCGTAAAGAATTAGAAATGTTAATATGTCTGAGACTGTCATTTATACACATACGTATATATACGTATTATTCCATCGGTCGGCTTTGTCAACTACGTTTTTATTATTTACAGAATTGTTCTCTGTACGTGTGTGCGAGTTACTGAAAAATAGAATTAATTCAAAAAATAAGTGAACAAAACATTCTTTTATTTATTTATTCAATTTTCTTCATAATTTCCTTTTTACAATTTCAATATTCTCTTTTACATCTTTAATATTAGAATGAGTTGGCGGTAATGCACGCTGTAATATGTCCAGAGCACGTTCCAAATACGAAAGTGCTTTCACATAGTCGTTCATATTTTCATGCACACTACCCATGCACCAATATGAAGTAGCCAATGAAGGATGATTTGAAGGAAGAGTATTTTGAAAGATTTCAACTGCTTTTTCGTAATATGAAAATGCTTTTGAGTACTCTCCTATGTTGTCATACACCAAACCGATGTTGTTGTACGAAGTAGCCAAATTAGGATGATTTGAAGCAAGAGTTTTTTCCCAAATTTCAAGTGCTTTTTCGTAAATTAAAAGTGCTTTTGAGTACTCTCCCATGCTGTTATACACACTACCGATGTTGTTGTATGAAGCAGCCAAATCAGGATGATTTGAAGCAAGAGTTTTTTCTCGAATTTCAAGTGCTTTTTCGTGATATAAAAGTGCTTTCGAGTACTGTCCCATCTTCTTATACATCATACCGATGTTGTTATATGAAGTAGCCAATGAAGGATGATTTGAAGGAAGAGTATTTTGAAAGATTTCAAGTGCTTTTTCATAAATTGAAAGTGCTTTTGAGTGCTCTCCTATGTTGTCATACACCAAACCGATGTTGTTGTATGAAGTAGCCAAATTAGGATGATTTGAAGCAAGAGTTTTTTCCCAAATTTCAAGTGCTTTTTCGTAAATTAAAAGTGCTTTTGAGTACTCTCCCATGCTGTTATACACACTACCGATATTGTTGTATGAAGTAACAAAATCAGGATGATTTGAAGGAAGAGTATTTTGTTGAATTTCAAGTGCTTTTTCAAGAGATGAAAGTGCTTTCGAATACTGTCCCGTTTTCTTATACACAATACCGATGTTGTTGTATGACTGCGTCAAATGAGGATGATTTGAAGGAAGAGTTTTTTGCCGAACTTCAAGTGCTTTTTCGTGAGATGAAAGCGCTTTCGAGTACTCTCCCATGTTGTCATACATCGAACCGATGTTGTTGTATGAGGTAGCTAACAAAGGATGATTTGTAGGAAGCGTCTTTTGATCAATTTCCAGTGCTTTTTCGTGATATGAAAGTGCTTTCGAGTGCTCTCCCATATTGTCATACACTCTACCGATGTTGTTGTATGAAACAGCCAAATTAGGATGATTTGAAAGAAGAGTTTTTTGTTGAATTTCAAGATCTTTCTCATAAAATGAAAGTGCTTTCGAGTACTCTCCCATCTTGTTATACACTCTACCGATATTGTTGTATGAAGTAGCTGAATCAGGATGATTTGGAGGAAGATTTTTTTCTCGAATTTCAACTGCTTTTTCGTGATATGAAAGTGCTTTTGAGTAGTCCTCCATGCTGGCATACACCATACCGATGTTGTTGTATGAGGTAGCTAACAAAGGATGATTTGTAGGAAGCGTCTTTTGATCAATTTCCAGTGCTTTTTCATAAATTGAAAGTGCTTTCGAGTACTCTCTCATATTGTCATACACAGTACCGATGTTGTTGTATAAAGTAGCAAAATCAAGATGATTTGAAGGAAGAGTATTTTGAAAGATTTCAAGTGCTTTTTCGTAATATGAAAGTGCTTTCGAGTACTCTCCCATGTTATCATACACACTACCGATGTTGTTGTATGAAGTAGCCAACAAAGGATCATTTGAAAGAAGAGTTTTTTGGTTAATTTCAAGTCCTTGCTCGTAATACCAGATTGCCTTTTCATAATCACCCTGGTTACGTTTGATATATCCCAGCTGATTATAATCAAGCGCTTTTTCATCCTCATCAGATGTCTGTTCGAGTAACACGTTATAAAGTTCTTCAGCTTTATGAAACTGACCAATTGTAAGCAATAATTTACCCAATCTTTTCCATCCAGTATTACTACCAGTTTCTTCTCGTATTCGATCAGTAAGTGATCGTAGTTGTTGATCATCATCCGATGTTAATTCTAATTCGATTTGATAAAGTTCATTTTTATTGCCCGTTTGTTTAACTGCATTCACTCGAAAGACGGTATGCATTGAGAAGAGAATTTCATCTTCTTCCTTAAAATAACTTTCCTCTTTGATGGAGGCAAATGGTGTTGATTTCAAGCAAGGATCAATGGACATTATAAAGAGAATGCCCACCGTATCCGGTATTGCCGAAGCACAATCAGCAAATTGGAGAGATACTGCTTTATCTGTGCTAGTGGACAAGAAATTATTAAATGACATAAGTCCACCTTTTAATTTCTGAAGCTTTTCGAAGTCTGATTTCATAAGACCTTGTCCCCGGTAAACTATGAATGGTTCGCCATGATCAGTATCAAACTGTTGTTGGTGTAGCTGTTGGATTTGTTGATGCAGACGACACATAAAAAAACCCATAGTAATAATTGCATCAGCGTCGAGTGTTCGAAGAGCATAATTGAGCATAGAATAGATATTGAATGAAGTATACCACCAAATAGCGGACTGAGCCTGGTAGTTTTTCTCAAAACGATCAATATTGATTGGTGACATACTGTTATTTTTTCGACAATAATTAATAAACTGTTTGATCGCCTGTTCATCATGTTTCATATCAAGAAGAATATCCTTGAATATTTGAGTATACATAAATGTTGGTTCTAATTGATTCAAATTATCAGTTGATGCCATTTCATTTACCGTAATAAAACTCATGGCAATCGAATCTTGATTGAATTGCTTGATACCGATTTTTAATGATTGGCATAAGTCATCGATGTTAGTATGAACGCTCTTGATTTTTTGCCATTTTGTTGTCCATTCTTCATGCTGGGATTTATTGTTACTGAAGATATAAACACTACACAATTCAGGGATATCATTAATCAGGGGCATTATTTGTTGAACCATAGTATTCTTGACAATCAGAAAAGACTTGATATTTTCTTCAGCATCTGTAAGAAAGTCGATACACTCGTCTCGTTGCCTAAAGATATCGGCATTGTCAGTATTGGTTTGTAATTGTGTGAAAAGACTTTGATATTCTTGGTTCGTTTCATCCATACACTCATCCAAACAGAGAAGCGAATAATTTCGAACCATTCGTCGCCTTTGTGGAATAGTATCCGATGGTATTATGGTCGTGTTGTTGTTATTCATGGGCACGTTTGATGATAAATAAGCTCTTGAATTGGATCTTGATTCACTCGTTCGGTCCTTTTTATACTTTGATGTTGAATATAAACTCAGCAATGGCGTATTTTTTCAGTCTTTTTTAACATGCAAAATGTGTGTATATTTTTCTCAAGGCTCAATAAGAAACTTCAACTAGTTACTTTTTAAAATACTGTTGTGAAGAACAAGAGATAGATTAGTACAAATAAATTTCTTAACAACATTTGCGATCGAACGAAATCATTTCGTTTTATAGTTACTCTCTCCAACTTTTTTAGTCTTATCTATACAATTATTTCAGTAATTCAATATACCACCTATATTTTATCATTGAAATGAAATAGAAATACAAACATGATTCTTTTAGTAAATGTTGCTTCTCTTTGTCGTACATCATTTGTTAGAACAAAAGAACTGCATCAGAGAACGAGATATAGCTATTGATTGTGGAATATCGTAAGAGCTTTGTTGTTTTCTGTTCGAAAAAGAAATGTATTTCATACAAACATATTGAAAATAGTTTTTAAAAACTACAAAATTGTTAGACCTAAAGGTGTTAAAAAGCTTGTTGATAGATGGTAATGTGGTATATTATCTATCAAATTTGATAATTCGAGTCTTATTATTTTAACTTAGAATATTATTTATGTACGGAGAACAAAATTATCACACATTCATAATGGTAAAAATAACTGAATATAAACGTATTATCGGTCTTATCGTATTGTTAATAATAGTTGAAAAATGAGCTTGCTTACAAGAGAGAAACGGCCGAAAGTTTATTGAATTGTCTATGAAACGATGTTGTTATTTGAACAGGAGCAAACCTTTTCTGTGCGGTATTCCAATGAAAGTTTGTTTTACCATTAGAGTGATTAATTTATAAAATGATTTTTTATTATTAAATCGTTTACTGTTTATTCTTTTATATATCAGTACAACTATTTTAACATAATATGGATGATCTTGTTGTGATAAACGGAATAGTGTGTATATATAGTAATAGAGATCACCAAAAGTGAATGAGAATGAAATTCACAAGATTTTATTTAGTCAAACACATCATAAAAGAGTAATTAATAACGCTTTCGAACCATACAGAATTCATGCAAAACTTTGCATCATCGAGTGTGTGGGTGTGCGTGTGGGTAGACGTGAGTATTATGTCCATCTCACACCTACACCCACACTCATATCCACACCGACCCACACTCTTAAGAACTTGATTCTTCGCTCAACAGATTTGTCGTCATAAGTACTATTATAATTATGCAAATTATATTTTTCTTATTTTATTATATTTTCAAGGATCTTTTGAAATGAATAAATGATGTAGATGTTAATTAAAACTAGTCATCTATAAGTGATTGTCAATATATATATATTGATTAGCAGATGAAAATAATACAAACAATACAATTTCCAAGTAATCGACAGATTAATAAAGAATAATATTAATATACACCTACTTATAATTATGTGAGATATTTATTTACCATTAACAATCAATTTCATGAAAATAAATCAGAAATATCTATCAATGATTATATTCAGAGATCTTTCTCAATTTTATAATTATTTCTGATCGACAAGATTTCATTCATTTCAGAACATAAAATTTGTAGGTTGTTGAATTCTATAACTCTTTATGGAAGCTATTATTTACAGTGCTGATACTCTAACACAGACCTTTGAAAAAAAGAATAGCTTTTTCAAAAACTATTCTTCTTTAATTACCGTAATATTATCATCTAACGACATATATCGCAATGTTGCTCCGAAAGAATATGAGAGAGATATATATCCAAGTATCGTAAATCTTATCTACAATAACAAATATCGTGTCTTTCCGCGAAAAAGAAATGTTAAAATAATGTAGTTGATTGTTATAGTTATATAGGCTATTTCTTTTTCATCCTTTTATTTGATATTGATAAAAGTACATTTGTTTTTGAATTTCCAACATCTACGAATGCATTCAAGTCCTGTATATTCAATAATTCTATGTCTGTTCTGTATGTGGCAATCACATATAGAATTAATTATTACACGATCTATCAACTCAAATAACTTTTCAATAATAACTTGCATAGATTATTTAAATCATACATACATACACTATTAATGACAATCCTAATCTTGATATTAAAATTGTAAGCAAGGGAAAACTTGTTAGATGAGCATCGAGACTTTATTTTGAACAACCCAGTGCGTATCTATTATTTTGACCAGAAGACTTTAATCAACTTCAAATATCCAGAATAGCAGCTTGTAGATGAGTGGATTTCGAGTCATAAATCAAAATTATCTAGTATGATATGTAGTTTACTGATGTCACTCAGAATTTTTCAATACTCCATAGAATTCTTATCATGAATCTCTCAACAGAAATCATTATTAAAATCCAAATTGAAATTCTGAGATATTAGATATCAAAAATGAAAATCTGTCATTTTAGGATCATTTTCTCTAAGCACAGTGTGAATTAAAAAAAGAACAAAACTAAACAAGATACAATGTCATTTCTATCTCTACCACACCATATTAATGAATTTTTCAAAAGTTTAAAAATTTATCATGAAGCAAGTTGAGTTTTGAACATTTTTACTCGAATATGCTTATAAATGTGTGTTGAAAGTGGATTTATGTAAAATAAAACTATATTATTGCAACTATAGGATTTTCTTTTCATCATGTATATTTCATCATAGTATATTCAATATGAACATATTATTGCTTACTTGTATTGCTTTTTCTAAAAGATTATTACTATTCAATATTGCTAACAATTATTTGTTGATTCTAATGAAGAATTCAATCATAAATTAGTTACTCAGGAATTAGTAAAAGATTCTATGACTAATTTTGTGTTTCGAGATAATTAAAACAACAAAAAAAGAATAAGTTAGGCGTCACTTCTTTCTAACAAGTGTTTTACAGTTGATAACAGATAATGAATCATCAGTGTTCTTTCAACATATGATAGTTTGAATTCTCGATTTCAATAATATAAATTTGATTTTATTCTACTATAATGGTGAATGTTGAGAACTTTTTGAAAACCTGAAAGTCGTTATTTTGAAATCAAGCTTCGCATCGTACTTCGTAGACGAGTCGAGACTCGTGTGTCATCTAGTTTTATATTCACTGTTTTCTTTTATTATCTAATCAATTCATACTCAATGTTAATAAAAAAAATTTATGATGTATTCTTTTTTTGAAGACAATTGATAATTTATTATTTCACCCGCTTTAAATATCTAAAAATCAAACTAGATTATTATTTTTTTTCCTATTTTCTTTACAAATGGTACCAATAAAAAAAGCAGCAAGTGATACACATTTACATCATCATAAATCAATATCAGTATTATTACCATTAGATCCTAATTTATCCAGAAACTCAAATAATATATCATCAAGACAAAAAAGTCATAATTATTCGTTTGAAAAATCAATTGATGATAAATATGAAATATTCTCGAATAATAATTTAATAAGTACACATTTTCCAATAGCAAATATACAGCAAGGTAAATCGGAAATATATTAGAAAATTATACAAATTTATTTTATTCTAAGATACGATAGTGGTTAGTAAAACATCATCATCATCTCAATTACCAACAGTACCTAAACAAGCAGGTACATTTATTCATCGTCTTGTTAATAAACTTTTTTCCATAAGTAATACAAATCAAAGTAAAAAAAATGTATCTCGTTTGAAACGAATACAACATGTACAAACGAATACGAATATATTAAATACGAGAAATATATCGGATGATAGTCATACATATTTAAATATTTCATCGAAAAAAAGAAAACGACGACAACAACAATGTTCAAAACCAATGACTAATAATAAAAATTGTGCTGTATGCCGAAAATATCGAAATCATTTTGCATCTTCATCCATCAGTAAAATACAATCTTTACCTAAACATTCTTCTGATTGTACATCTCAATCACCTGTAATATTTAATAGTAATGCAACAACAACTCAAAATCATCAATTAACTTTAACCACTGAACCATCTGTAACATTAATTAAAACACAATTAGAAAAAAAACAAACTTCATTGAACAGATCACAATGTCAAGTAATTGCTTCAGCAGTCGAACTCATATTTGATACATTAATATCAAATTATCAATAAATGTTATATTTTTGCATATTTAGTACTATTGTCCTTGAATCAAACGAGATGACATTTTCTTCTGAAGATAGAAAAATAATGCATAGTCTATTTACACACAAACAATCGGAAAACTTTTATTTGTTATACCGGAGGGCATCATAAAGATTTAACTATATTACGATCGTATATCTCTGTGCTCTAACAAACATATAATCATTTCGCTATATACTTTTAAAGTTCAGACAGAAGTGGCACATAATAACTGATTTTGCAAACTCATAAAATTTCATTCGATAGACTTTGGTTATAATATATATATATTCGAATATTGTAATAAAACGATTTTTTAATATCACCAAAAAAGAATTTCAAATATGTTTCATTCAATCCAATGACCAATAGATGAACTATAATGTGTATATTCATTCCACGTATAACGAACAAATAGACGTACAACAATTAAGAAACAAAAAGAAAAAATATTCGTTTATATGATAATAGATAAAAGGAAGTGAGAGTTAGAGATTCATTCAATATGTCACAACGGAAATAAAATGGAATATATATGTGAATCTGACACGAACAAAAAACAAAAAAAAGAAAGAAAGAAAAAGAAGAAGACAAAGAAATCATACTCAAAGAACGATACAAGCGGCTGATTTCGTTGGTTCAACATTTGAATCATAATGATAATTCTCAATAGGTGAATTTATATCTGAATGAGTACCATTAATTGTTATATTGTTATTTGGTTTTATACTGTTCTTTTTTTCAACAACTGGTGCAGATTCTAAATAGAAAAATATATCGAATATTATTGTTATTATTTCAAATATTTCTATTTTACATGCAATAGCTCTACAAAAGATAATATAATAAACTAAATATGCGAAAGTAAATAATGGCATAGGAACGAATAACGCAGAAAGATATATATATATATATGTATATAGACGGGATATGTGAGTATTAACGAAAGTGTAAAAAAAAGATAGAAAGAAGACATATAATTTACTCACAATAAACTTATTTTATTCTAAATAATGTAAATGATAAAATTTAATAAAAACAAATTTTTATCTTACTTTTATTAATTGTTTGTTGTTCCGCTTCAATTTGTTGTTTAGCATCAGCAAGAATTGTTTTTATTTGTTCAGGAGTAAAATCTTGTGTTGAGATTCGTGTTGCTGAAAAATCCATTTTTATACGATTAACTATAAGTAACAATATTTATAGAAATAATAAGATTAATTTATTATATACCATTTGGTGGTGCTATAACAACTGGATAAAGACCACCAACAGGTTGATAAAGTACTCGTACATAACCAACTGTGCGATTAACAGTTAAATAACAGATTATTAATTGTTCATTGTTTTTTCTAGATTTACTATCTTCATCCTGAGGAAATAAAACACCCCAACCAATTTTATCACCTTGTTTCAAATATTTTGCAGCTTAAAATAAAGAAAAATTTAAAAAATAATTTATTTTTGAAATATTTCTAATACCATCTCCTGTTGGCCAAAAACGTAAGTAATCCTGTTTAAATTGAGATACTGGTGGTGGATCAAGTGGTGAAGCCGTACATAAAGCAATTGCTAAAGAAATTACAATCAAAATAATTTAAGATTTTAGAATAAATTTACCTGGTGGTGGTTCATTATCACTAAATTTGTCCGAAAGTACAATTTCAAAATGGTTATATTCTATAAAAAATAGAAAATGGTAATTTATTAAAATATATATATACATTGTTATTAGTTTTTGTTTTCATTTAGAGGAATCAATATATTCCATTTATGTCAATTAGTAATCTGAAGAATTAATGAAGATAGTCTTTGACACTGACATTAATCAATTTTGTCATGCATCAAAAATAAAACTCGACATTTCTTTTCTTTTCATGTCTAGAGGAATGCACCGGAAAAATATGTTTTGACATATGACGTGCCTCGAATAATATTAAATTACACTGTTTAGTAAAGATGTATAGATCAAAGAAGTTCCATCTTTGATCTATGATTTAAGAGTAACAATACAGGATATTATTAGAGATTGAGTGTAAGACTTAATTAGTATTTTTTTTCGATATATGATAAGTAAGACGTTCTGAAATATATCTTATATTTATCAAATCGTAGGAGGAAAAAATGTTTTTTTGAGGTCAAATTGTTTAGCTCTTGGATATACACATATGTGTTATGATAAAAGAAGATTAACACGCTAGCAGGAATGCGGAAAAATCAATTAATCTGGTATCCACATGTCACTATCTATCTTAGTTTTTATATAAAAATAAAACTTACTTTTGTGTAAACTATAAGGAGCTTGAAGACATAAAGATCGATCATAATGTTGTGGTAAAATAAAAGATTTTTCTTTTAAATCAATCTTTGTTCCTTCCGGTAAACACCAATCTTCTGGATTTCTCTAAAATTCAAAAAAAAATTCGATTTAAAAAAGATTTTAATCCTATTAAACTAACCACACTATAATGTGGTGGTACAGAAACTCTTGTTTGCCAATGGACTAATAATTCAACTGGATCACCAGCACTTTCAATAAATATTGTTGGATAAAATTGTGTATGATCACGTAATGTTATATAACGTGTACCAATTGGTCGAAAATTTTTACTGAACAATACAACACTCATTTCTTTTTCAAATGCTTCTATTTCAAGACCAATTGTATCACCTTGTTCACATCGATGACCACGCATATTACCAACATCTTTTCGATTTGAATATAATTTTCCTGTATGTGTATTATAACCAACTGTATTATCAGTAAAACCTGGTGCTTCTGTTAGATTATGTTGAGATGAGCAAATACCAATTGTTACTTGACATTGTTGACCTAAAATATATTCATATAGAAACAAAAGAAGAAATTTTAATAGAAAATAAATTTACTAATATTTTCTAATTCAACGAAAAAGAAACGTCGTTCCGATGTTAACGGTCGACGAAATTGAACATAATGAATTGTATTTTCAGTTTTTGGTATTGTTACACGACATGATTGATCAGTAATATTTAATAAAACTTGATCACTTTTTCGAAAAAAACTTCCAGTTAAATCTTAAAAAAAAGAGTTTTGTTTTTCTATCAATTATTTTCTTCTCTCTTTTACCTCGTTCAGCTTTATCTTTTCGATAAATATCAATAGCTGGTCGTAACATTTGTTTATAGAGTCCTTGAAGTTTTGTTACTTCATCTGCTGTTAACATATTCTTTTTTGTAATTGAAACTTTTGTTGCTAGAATAAAACGAAAATTATTTCTCAAGAATTTTCATATTCATTCCGTCATTACCATATGGTTGAAGTAAAACAATAGGAACAAAACCGCCTTCTGGTTGTAAAACAAAAAGAACATCAACAATTAATTTATTAAACATAACATAAACTAAACATAATTGTTCAGCTTTATCATCTTCACAATTATCATCATAATAAACTCCCCAACCAATTGTATTTCCAACTTGCACTAAATTTAAATATGAAAATATCAGTTAGATGATTTATTTTCTATTACTTTTCATCTTGGCAAACCATGTATAATAATCTTTCATCAATGTACATGTTGGTGTTGGTTTTAATGGCTAAGAAAAATAATGATTTATTTGTAATTTTGTATTTAATTTTTTTTTTCTTACAGAATAAGTAGCTAATCCAACACTGGCACCTTTCCCATCGGTTTGTGATACTTCTTGTTGTGTAACAACAAAATAACGAAAAGTTTTTCCTAAAGGTACAGGAGATTGAACTGGTAGATCTTCTAATCTAGAAGGATTTTCAAAAAATCCTGTTTGTGTATCATATGTGCCCATTGGTGCTCGAATCCATTGAGAAACTGGAATCTATAAAACAAAACAAAAACAGATTTTTTCTTTAATTGAAAAGAAAAAAGTATAATAGATACATCAGTAATAGCTGGTAATTGTTCAACAGCTTCCGGCCAAAGAACTGCAACTTCAACACGACCACCAGAAAATGTTAATGTTGGAAGAAAACGTTCTTTATTTGCTTCAAAATGATATCTAATTAAATAGAAAAGAAATAAATTCAATGATATTATTCTCAATGCATTCTACGGAGAAATGTAGATAATAATTTCCTAAGAGACCATTAATCTTGTGTAAAAGCCTGTTCTCAGAGTGCATTTTACTATCATTATGTCTATGATACTCAATAATATCTGGCATGTCTTTATAATTTATCATATTTCTATAAAACTAAATTAACTAACATCTAGATCAAACCATTTTCATGATTTTTATAGAAATAAAAAAACTAATCCTTCTTTTTTCATCATTAATTCCTGTCGTCATTTACAATTGTGAATAAATGAAAAACAAAGTGTCAATATTACATCAATTAAATAAATGTATCAAAAATATGAACTCTATTAATAAAACTATTTTTTTGTTTTCGTCGGACAACTTATTTTTCAAAAAAATATAATCTGACGTGACCAATTAAAATACCTTGTTGCAACAGGAAAATCATCATAATAAAGAAGTGCTGTTGATAGATGTTCACCGAAATACGTTACATAGATTGCAACAGTATTACCTAAATAAATTCAATCATTAGATTATGTATAAAAACTAATTTTGGTCATTTACCCTTTCCATACTGAAGTCCAAGTGTATTTGCATGTACTTTCCATGATGTATAGACTCGTCCAGTATTATTGTGATAACCAAGAGAATTATTATATTGTCCCGTATGTGAATTGATATCTAAGGGAGCAATACCAATTGCTAATACTGCATCTGGATCTAAAAATATTATTCTTATGTATAACTTAAAATTCTATTGCTTTATTTCATACCACATTTATAAACTTCAACAATAAAATAAGGTGATTCAGGTGTAAGTGGTTGACGTGATTGAATAATTGAAACAGTTTCAAAATCCGTTGTTTTCTTACTTCCATAAGATATATCAATTTTTTTTCCTTTAATTAATCCATGTGTTGTTGTTGATTTACCTCGAATTGTTATATCACCAACAATACGAAAACGTTGATCTAGTGTTGTCATATTATTTCTGTAATAAAAAGAAATGAAACGAAATCATTGCGCATAGTTACAATATACATCGATAATACGTATGTCAATAATAAACGTGCAAAATCTCTTTGACGATCGAATTGGCTAGTTAACAAAATATAAATCAACAAAAAGAAAAAAAAGAACACACGAAAAAGAAAATTTTTTTCTTATTAATAGATTGATCTTCAATTTTTAAACTATAAATTAAATAAACAATTCATATTTAAGTGAAGCATTAAAATAAAAACGTGCTTTTACTATAAGAAAAGAAATATGTAATTTAAATTCATTTGATAGAAGAAAACATGAAAGGAGAAGAATAATATTAGAGGAACAAAAAAAAACGTTGAGTGTGGGAAAGACGAAGAAAAATAGAACGATCTATTATTGATGTCTATAGAGAAGAAGAAGAAGAAGTTGGCATACTTTTTTTTTGTTCTCACGAATGAAAAAAGAAAGATGACAGTTGTGATTCATCGTATTTATATGTATTGGCTATTCTTTATAAGCAAAGGATACAGATCAAAAAGAGATGTCGTTCAAAACTGACTCATCCGATGTTTTTTTTCTTCTTTTCTATTCATTTTAGATATAAAGATAAATCCTATAGTATCCAATTTCGAATTGTATCAAAAGCGATTTGATCCGTTTACCTGATTTTATTCCGCCTTGATGAAATAATAATAAGATTTCGTCTACTAGTGAAAATCTTTTCGAAAAGTAATACTGTATGTAAAGCATATTAATAATATAAATATTTCTTTAGAAATCGTTTACGGTAAATTAAGAATTTTTTGAAGCTTTAAAAATAAAAGAAAAATGATCCTGAAGGTGTATGTGAATTGTTGAATGAAATATTACTATACTCAAATTGCTTTTATCGTGAGTCTTATAAAAAAAAAGTGTATTGTTTGAATTTATAAGGAATAATAACGACGAGACATAATAACAAAAAAAACATTCATTATAAATTTGTTAACTTTTCAAATCTAGTTAAGTGACCGACATTTTAAAATATGTTTAAACAACCAAAATAATACTTAACTATACTGTTTTCTTTTAAAAGTAAATGGAAGTCTCTCTTTTTATGTCTACAGTCAATTATGATCTATTATGAATCAAAGTTTTACTAAATGAACAATTTCTTTTTTTTTCCTATTCTTCACATTTGAGAATGACATTTGTTCTTCATTCAATATATCGTATTGCACCGTTGAATTAATCACCTGTAAAACATATTCCTCCGTGTTCAATACAAAGTGTTATATAATATACGCAATAAACTGAACTATATTATATAATCGTTATTGAAAAAAAGATATAAACTACTTTCTATGTAAATTTTATTAAATGAGGAAAAAATAGTATAATTCATTAATAATCATCTCAGCTTGCTTATCATTTCGTACATGTTTTCATTAAAGAAAAAACAAAAAAATTGTTTTGCATTATTTACTAACATTGATAATAAATACAAATAAAATATACTATCATGCAGTTATTTTTCATATTTCAAAAATCTATATTGATGATCATTTTCAAGCAAACACAGAAAATATATATTTATATAAATAAGAAAAAGAAAAAAGAAAAAGAATAAATTATAATTTAATACATCAATTATTCTGCTTCAATATTTTGTTGATCGATAGCACCAGTTTTATTATTTATTGAATCACCAATTACATTAGTTTCACCTGCAAAGCCTGATATATAATTTCCTTTGACTTTAAATAATTGCATATAATGAGTTTTACAATAAACTTTACCATCATTTGATGTAAAATTACCCGGTCTAAACAAAAAAAAAAGAGAAACAGGTATTGATATTCTTACAAAATAATTTTAAGATATTTATTTTTGTTGTTGTTCGTAATTGTTAAAACTCACTTTAGAACTGATTTGCAATGTAAACATCGAAAACATGGCTTATGATATGCTTTACCATTAACCATTATTCTTTCTGTTGCATACGCAGTTTTTTCGCAAACAGCACATTTTGGATCCATTTCAATATTTGTTAGAAAAATAAAGCTTTGACGTAATTATCGATAGATATATGTTTTTTTTTCGTTCCAAATGACGTTCTCTATACACAATTGCGCAGTCAGAAGACGATAAATAAGATATATGTAGAATTCCTTCAGTGTTGTTCTGACGTTACAAGCGTTCCTGTCTTAGGCTTTTTTGTCATACACAAGCACTATTTCTAGAATTATTCTTTGCCTTTCTTATGTACGTACGTACTTTCCTACGATCGATATAGAACCAATGGTTGGCTATTAAATTTCGGAATTCTTTATCGATAGATAGAGCAAAAAGTCGGGAATATATATATTTATTCTTCGAAATTAATTTTTTAAGAAAAAAGAATATCACATTTATGCCTATCAAATATTAATCATACCATCGAGAAGTATAGAGTTTATATATTATTTTTATTTTTTAAAATTATATATAAAAGTAATAATATGAAACGATACAAAACAAGTCGTTTTTTTTTAATAAATAATAGGATAAATCAGAAGAAAATGTAATGATTATATGTGTATGTCATTCGTCAAATGTTAACAAGTTTTTAATGTAAATGCTAAGCAAATAATCACTAAGATGAGCATAACAAATTCTTGTTGATAATAATCAGTCAATCATAGAAATAGACTTATAACAAAATGTGTAAGTGAATGATAGAATCATTATATTTGTTATGTATGAATATCAAAAGATCTTACTAACAAATAATAATAAAAGAAAAAAGAAAAAAAATCTAGGCGTAAGTGCTAGAATAGAAGTAGTATGTATATCGCTCGTTTGTGATGAATGGATCGTACGGCGAAAGAATAAAAAACTAATTTGTTGATAGCAAAAAAAAATACAAAATTTGCTCATCGTAAATGTATCCCTTGAGAACTATTGGGTCATATTTATAAAAAAAGAAAAAAGGACAAAGATGAAAGAATAATTTATCACTTCTTTCTCTTTGAATTATTCGTCAGTAAATTTTTTTCTATTCCCAAAAGAGATCTAAACCATACTAAATATATCCGGGTTTTTTCTATACAATCATTTCGTATGCAGAAAAAGATTTCCGTACATTAATCAATATATATATATACGTATATCAACAACATAGAGTCTTACCTTGTAATTGTTCATGTTAATATATGATTAAATAGAAAGTCTATCAATAACAGCATGTGATGATGTATGAATAGGTTGTGATGATGGTTGTGCAAGATGAAGTTTTACTAATAATCGATGCCATAACATCTGAAGAGTATTTGTACGATAAAAATTTCCATAAAGTAGCACAAACATAACACTGAACATAAAGAAAATACCACCAATATATCTTGATTCAAATGGACTTTTTACATATTTTGCATGGGTAGTTCGTACTGTAGTTGTTGTTGTTGTTGTTGAAAATGTATCATTATCAAACATAATTATCGTAATAGTAATGGAAGAAAAAACTAAATATATGCTGTTTTTTTGATCTGATAGAAAAATACTGATTGATTTCAATGTAGTGATTCTTAATCGATGTCGAGAGTATGAAGGGAAAGAAAAGAAATGACAACAAGTTGTTATCACGCTTATGTACCCTTTGTCTCTATTTTTTTTTATTCTCGTTCTCTATTCGTATTGACTAATGCACTTCTCAAAGAATATGTCGGATAAGCGTGTAAATTTTTACGGAAGTTCAGTAATTTGGTATTGCAATATAAAAATAAAAAATTTATAGATGTTCGGTCAGTCATGCGTTTGTTTGTTCAATTGTCAACAAATAAATATATAGAATTGTAACAATATAGATTCAACATAGCAAAAAAATCTGTCAACATGATAAATGAAAAAAAAAAAAAATTTTTTTTTCTCTATCCATATTTCATAATTTATATTGTTAATATTATTATTTAATTAACATCGGAAAAGAAATAGAAAATGAATATGTATGGAAAATAGTTGCAATACTTGATCATCATAAACGATAGCATGATTTGTAGTGCTTTTTTTATTATATGACAGCCCTATTAGTTATCTGATCGACGTCATTTAGTAAATGAGTAATGCATAATCACGGACTATAGAAGGTAAAATAGTTGTTATACATATGGAATTTTGACATTGTTTATATAAAGCAATCAATCAATTAGACCCTTTCTTCTTTTTTATTAAATGGTATGCTTTGATTTTAAGTAAACATTTTTACATTTTCTGAATATTAATATATATATGTACGTCTTTAAGCCACTCATTAGATGAAATGCATAAGATCGAGTATTTGTCTTTTAGTAAAATAAATTAGGTTTGTTATAGTGTGTGAGTGGAAATCCCCAAAGGCAAATTTTCTTTTCTATCTACTTATCATGGGAAATTCACGATTAATTAGTAATAGTATGTAGGTGCATTGTAATCCTATAGAAAAATTCATCTTCTCATACTATAACATGACGGATTGATTTGATAATAACACATAATATTTTTTTGTCATTTAGCTTCCTCTTTTTTTTTCTCCTCTGTAAAAATTAATATAAATAATTCTAGATTTTTAATGAGTTATTTTCTCTTTTATCACACATAATTAATACCAGTAGTTCTATAACGTCGACAAAAACAGAAGATGCAATGAAGTAAAAAAAAAAAGGAAAACAACATTTATATTACAAAAAAAATTCTTGTCTGTTTTTGGGATTATGATTACGTAACAAAGTAAAAATTACAAAGAAGAATGTTACTTTATCTTTTGACTATTGAAAGAAGAAAAGAAAATGAAGAATATTATAAGAATTAAATTAACTTATATGCACACATATGTTTCATGTTTTGTTTTTGGTTTCAACTAATTCAAGAAATACAAGTTGATCAACAAGAAAACAATCACTGGGTTTTTTAACAAAAGCTGTAAGACCATCAGTAATTTTGCTATCATCTAATGTTGTATCTGTTCGTTGTCTAGTACGTTGTTTAATTAAATAATTATGAACTTTTTCAAATGTTGCTTCACCTAATGCTTCAATTGCTTTACTATATACATACATAGGTAAATTTTTCACTGAAGAAAAAATTAAACTTACGTTCGTATTGAACTAATCTTTTTATTTTTTGCAAGTGGACCAAATGCATCATGAGTTGGATTATCTTTCAACGTAATATTATTTTCATCGATTGTTGTATTAGATGATAAAGGTTTTTTTTTCGTTCCACTAGCAATTGTTCTTGATGAAGTAACATATTTTGATTGTCGAATAGGATTTGGTGCATAATGTGGATTGATTGTTCTACTCATAGAATTTATAGTTGAACGTTGTGATGCAGACATTGATCGATTCAATTTTAGTGTTGTACCTTGACCATTAAAACTACGACAGACTTGATCATGAAATTCTTTTTCATGTTTTTCACGTGTTGGACTAAAATCATCTTCTTTTTCAAAATCATTATAAACTTCATAATATTGATTTGTTAAATTTGGATCAGTTGGTAAACCATCTTCATCACCAAATTTATCAGCAATTTGTCTATAGGTTCCACGCATTGGTGTTATTGGTCGATCATCATTAAGACTACGAATAGGTTTTTTAAAAGTTTTAAAATCATCTGGATTTGTACGAACAGTATAAGTTTCTTCATTAGAAAATTGATTCGTATCTATGAAAAAACAAAGATTTTGATAGGATTTAAAACTAGTTTTGATTTACGATATTATTAACTTACTGCGAGTACGATTATTAACAGTTTGTGATAATTTTGGACGTGTTTGTTCTTTGATTTCTGCATCATTTAAAGATGGCCATGGTTGTTTCATCTGCGTTAATAAATAATAATCGGTTGAAGAATAAAAATTTTTTTATTAACTTACACTTCCGATAATAGTACTTTCACGCATCATTTGTCGATTTTGAGCAGCTCCTAATGTATTTAATCGAGCCGCCTGACTAAAAAAAATCATTTGAATGTAATTAATTGATATACATATACATATACTTACGTAAAAACTTGTCCGCGTGCATCAGCTTCATGTAGTTTTCGTTCGATCATTGTTTGTCTAGCTGTTTTGTATGTATATGTGTCTTTTAAAGTTTGTTGTTCGTCGTGTTCGTCTACTCTTGAACTACGTTTAAAAAATGTATTATTTCCAAGTTGAACATCATCATCATCATCATCATCATTATTATTATTCGTATTATTATCATCGTCATTATCAACAATAGCTTGGTTTTGACTACCTAATGACCAACTTTGTTTTTGCATATCACCAAAACTTATCGGATTTTGTCTATAGAATAATATAAAAAATTGATATAAAATCTCGAAAGTTTTCTATATTTACAAACGCGTATGAAGTTCTTTCAAACGACGATTACCACTAATTGTATTTTCTAATGGATCATTCATTTGAATTCTCTAAATAAATTGAAAACAATCTGCAAACTTATAATTCTTTTTTCTATATTATTATACTTGACGATGCTGTAGAATAAATGGATCATTCAGTAATTCAACAGCGCTAGGTCGTTGTTTGGGTTCTTTAGTAAACATTCTAGTCAAATGAAAAGTATTAATATTTTTATAACAATGTGAACAATTTAGTTTGAAACCATCGTACAAAATTGTTTTTAATCAAAATGAACATTAATTTAGTCAATAAATTTTATCGAATATATCAAAACTAATTTATATTATCGATGAGGAAAATATGATTTTATAAGATTTATCATCAATAGGAATAAGTCAAAACTAATTTATACTTACTTCTTCAAAATATCATTAAGTTCTTTTGAATATGTTGTGGGTAATTCTGGTGGTTGTCCTTCAACGACTTTATATATAACATTCATTAAACCTTTACCATTAAAAGCATGTTCATAAGTACACATTTCATATAATAAACAACCAACTGACCTAAATAAAAAATCTTTTATGGAATCTTACATATTATTTTCTCTTACCAAATATCCGATTTTGATTCATATCCATCATGTTTCATTACTTCTGGTGACATATAATATCTTTAATAACCAAAAATTTCAATTTTGTTTTTACCAAAAAAACACTTACGGTGTTCCAGTAAATGTACTTGCAACATCCATTGTTCCAACTAGAATTCTACTAATACCAAAATCACCAATTTTAACTTTTTCTGATCTAAGAAATATATTTCTCGCTTTTAAATCTCTATGTAATATTCTTGATTTATGCATATATTGTACAGCAATTAATATTTGTATAAGCCATTCAACAATTTGTTCTTCATCTAATACACGATTTTGTTTTTTTAATTCTTTAAAACGTTGATCAAGATCACCGCCTTCACAAAATTCAGTAACAATACATAAACAATCATTTTCAAGAAAACTTTCATAAAACTATAAAGAAAAAATTTGGAAAAAAAAATGAATTAAATTGATTTTTTTTCCTACTTTAACAATATGTTCATTATGTAAATTTGATAATAATTCAGCTTCATGAACTGAATCAACAGTTTGATCAGAATCCATTTCACCTAATCGAACGACTTTAAGTACTTTCCTAAAAGAAAGAAATTTATATATTATTTAATATCAACAAAATTCTTCTCTTACGATTCATTTTTCGCTTTAAGATCAGTGACAAGATAAGCAGTACCAAAATTTCCCGCTCCTAATTTTTTGATAATTTTATAACGTTTTTTAAACACTTGTGGTTCATCAGTTTCAGTCATTCTTTTACAAAATAATCTAAAATAAATTTTATTTATAGACACACACACGAGAAAAACTAATAAGAAAATTATTTAAGAGTTTTTTGTTCGTTCATTTATATCATTTAAACATTCATGTAATACAAGTTCATTTATTAATTTACATGCATAAGAATTTGAACATAAAGTTTCAAGACCAGATAAAAGTATATCATCTGTACATCTTGGATCTTTCGATTGTTTTTCACGTTGATCATGTAAATAATTATAACATTGTGTAAAATTTTCTGAACCAACTAATTGTTGGGCTTTACTAAAGGAAAATCATATATATATATATATGTATTATTTTGTAAGAATTTACCTTCGATAATGATCAGTTTTAATTTCTTTTGCTGTTGAACTAAATGGATCAAAGTTATCATTTGTTTCTTGAACATCATCTAAAAATAAAAATTCCATAAGTTTATTGGCCAAGATATGTCTGAAATGATGTAAACCTGCTGGATTATTTTCAAATGAATCAACAGAATCCATTGATGATGACGAATGAATTGGTGATGATGGAACTTGTAATGAACTACGAATATGTTTATTTATCAGTGGACTGTTACTAAATGAACGACGAAATTCTGGATGTGATAGTTCTAAAAAGAGAATTGCATGTGTTTAATTTAACTTCTCAGATTATATATGGGTAATAATCTATCATAAGGGCAACGGTGATTTTAAAAAACTAAATAAACGATTTCCTTAAGAATCTATTCAATATATTTACTACAGTGAATACATTTAATTTACTAGATTCAGCATCTGAAGTTGATGATTGCGTAGAAAATTTTTGTTTATCAGTTGGTTTTAATTCAATCTAAAAAAAACAATTTTTTTTATTTCAAAATAGATATTCTTTTTTTCAAAAAGACAACATACATGACTAAATTCTTCTAAGAGTTCTGCTGCTGTTTGTCGATGTTCTGGTTCTTTTGAAAGCATTCTAAATAATAAATTTTTAGAAAAACTAAATGATATATATTTTGTTTTCTTTTCAATTCTATACTGTAAATAAAGTTGTTGTACTTTAACTGGAAATCTTTCTGGTAATAATGGTGGAGATTCTCGTAGAATAGCTTCCATTGTTTGTAAAATATTTGATCGTTCAAAAGCACGTTTACAAACACTTAATTCATAAAGTACACAACCTAATGACCTACACAAAAAAAAAAGTAAACACTCGATTGATTAATTTTCTAACCAAATATCTGATTTCATATTATATCCATCGAATCGTAATGTTTCTGGACTCATATAATAGGGTGTACCAATAAATGTTGATGCTTTATCTAATGTATTCATCATTAAACGTGATATACCAAAATCTCCAAGTTTAATATGATTTCGTTTTAAAAAAATATTACTCGTTTTTATATCACGATGAAGAATTTTTTTTGAATGTAAAAAATTAATTGCAGATACAAGTTGAATAAATAAATCAATAACTTGATCCATTTGTAAACGACTACGTTGTTTACGTAAAGATTTTAAATATTGATCAAGATCACCATCCTTCCAAAAAAAAACAGATATGTACATTTATCAATAGAAGATTTATATTCTTACTTCACAATATTCTGTTACAATACAAAAATGATTTGCATCCATAAAACTATCATAAAATCGAACAATATTTGGATGACGAAGTCGTGCTAAAATTGATGCTTCATGTTCAGCATCTAATGATTCATTTGGAGAAACATCTTCAATGAAAATAGCTTTTAAAACTTTTCTTAAGAGAAAAAAAAATATGATTTGATTATTAAAAGTCAGGCTTTTTTGCTTATCATACTTTTCATGTTTAGATTTTGTATCATGCACTAAATAAGCTGTACCAAAACTTCCTTGACCAAGCTTTTTTATCTGTTGATATCGATTAGCATACATAGTATGTTGAACTGCTTCGTCAGGTGTACACATGGTTCTCTTTTTTTTACTGTTGTTGATTTATTGAACGAGAAGAATTTTGAAATGAGTCACATCGTTGAATTTTAGTTTATATAGTCTCGGTAGACATGAAAGAAAAGTTAAATGCAGGCATTTTCAGTAGTGTCGTCTATAACAGACCCTTTTGTATTATTCTTGAAATTTTCTTATAGATGACTCTTGTTGTTGATGTGAATTTGTCGTGAAATAAATCATTCATATTTAATTATGTCAAAATGATATTCTTATATTATCATATTGAAGTATCTGATGAAAATATTTTTAATTAGTTATTTGATGGTATTCAATATAATGCAAATCTATTCCTGTTAGAAAGATCCTAGTTTTATACAGCATAGACTAAATGTTTTATGATGATTGTTTAGATTACGGACCTTTCTATAGGAAAACAATGAATCTAGTTCGATATTAAAAAAATACATCAAATAATCCTTGAGCAAATGAATCTCTTATATAAACCGGTTTTCTAGATATTCTTGAATAGATTCTACAATTCAGGCACATTTACTCTAATATATATAAATATGAAATCACAAATCTATTATACTATCGACTATTTTCTATTTTCTTTTTTAATGTTCTAGTAAATGTCAGATTAATTTGATTAATTAAAAAGATGGATTTACTGCTAATCTGCAGTGACATCTATCATCCTAACTATCTGTTTCTCGTTTCGTAATCACTTAAAAAATGAACAGACGAATATCCAATTAGTTCTTTTATTCCAGGGGATATTTTTATATATTTTATCTTGAAAATCTTTGAACAAATATATGTCAACAATTCTTACTCAATCAAATCAATAATTCATTGATTTCCAATTTCCAATCATTTGCTTTTATCATACTATTCTCTCATAATCACAACAATTGAATTTAAATTAAAAACATTTTTTTCCAACAAATGTTAAATTTATCAAAAATAAACCAAGCAAAATATAAAACTTATGGATTGAAATTTCATTGAATTTCAAAAACAAAATATTATTATATTTTGGTAATATTTTTTTTATATTTATCTTAACAATCTAATGAAAAAAAAACATTTTATTTTAGTTTTTCCGGATGATTAGTTCGAAAAACAGTCGAACAATATGTATCACTGAAAAAAAATATTCATTTTTATTTATTTTAGTGACCTATTGACCCGTTTGTTTTTTTTTTTTGGCAAAAATTTATCGAGACTCACTGAAGTTAGTACAGTATTATTAGTTTATTACAATGGCTGAGAAGTTTCTATGAATGAAATGTGATAAAAACATCACGTAGACAAGACGCCTTTTTCGTGCTTCCTATAAAATAACGATCTTTTTCTCGGAAGTAAGGAAAAACATCTGCACTGCAGACTTACTACGTCGATGATATTATGATGAAAAGAAAAAAAACAAATTCTTATCAAGCAAGTGATTCTCTACTCATCAGCAAGATTGCGCTAAGTTAGAAGAAAATCGATGAAGGCGTTGCGTGGTAGTATAGAAACAAAATTCATCAATCACAAATTAGGATTAGTTAAAGGCTAAATCATTCAATGCTATCTAGTTTAGTAAGATCTTTATCTTTACTTTCTGGATTAAATAATAATCTATCCTTTTCTAATAAGAATTTCGATTCACTATATTCATAAACGCTATACTGATAAAATCAGTACTACCTTACACTATTGTTTTGATATATTTTACGATTATTTATTATGAAATTTTAGATTATAATTCAGATAATCTTAGTATTGTATATTGAAAATAATGCGTTTAACTCGAATACTTTCCAATTTAACTAGTCATATTGAATATTATTCGAAATTTCAACCAACATCATTTACTTTGAAAAGTCTTATTGATTTTGGTTTGTGAAGGAAAACATAATAAAAAAATCATAATCTATTAATATTTATAGCTCGTGAAGGTGATATTAAACAATCCTATAAATTTTTACGTGTTGAATTACTTATACGATGGTCTCATATGCATAAAGAAATGAATTTTCTACCACCAAAGTAAATCTTATCCATTAATCAAATAAAAAAAAATCATTTTCGTTTATTTTTATATTAGATTACTTGAAATGCCAAGTTTTAAATTAGTTAGTTCATGGTATGATCAAAGTTATTCTGAAGTACTTGAATTTAAAGATGCTGAACCTAATTCAACAACATTACGCAAGTATTGTATTAGAACTCTATTTTGTATATTTTATCTAAATAAAATATCAAAATTAGATTTACAGAAACATTAATTGATATTCGACGACGTCATGCTGATGTCGTACCAACAATGGCTCAGGTTACTTTTTTTTATATTATAATTAATATTTTTATATAATACATTTGAATTGTTTTTCTAGGCATATATAGAATTAGAAAAAGTTGGTTCAATTGGTATAATAGAAAAAAATAAAATCCAATATTTTTATGATCGATTTTTTATGAATCGAATTGGTGTTAGAACATTAATCTATCAACATAGTATATCAAAATAATTTCATTTTATTTTTAAAACGTATATTATTTTCTAGCACTTCTATTTGGTGATGAATTTCCTCAACATACCCAACAAGCAGGTATTATTGATCCATCAGTTGATGTTGCTGCAGTTGTTAACGGTAAATTGCTTTTTTTTTCATTCTTACATTTAAACTTTATTATTTATAATAACAAAATGAAATGACGAAGAAAAAAACAATACTATTTTCTTATGATTCTGTTATGTCAAATAATAATTGTTTTGTATGCGTAGAAGAAGTAAAGAATGAAAAAATATTTTTGTTCTTTTATTTTTAACCGAGTTTTAATGAATATTATATGAACTTTATATGTCACGAGACCGAATTGCTTTAAAAAGTACGATTATTATTTATTTATTATATAGATGCGTATTCAACAGCAAAATTTCTATTTGAACAAGCATCTTATCAAGTACCTAAAATTGAGATATCATCTCACAATAGTAAATATAATTCGAAAGAAGAATTTGTATTTTCTAATACTATGTTTGTTTGTTTTTCTAGTACAAGATCATAGTACAAATCGTGTAACAATTGTTTATATACCATCTCATCTTTATCATATTATCTTTGAATTATTGAAAGTAAATATACTAAATTTTAATTCATAATTTTTTTTGTTTTATCATAAAATATGTAGAATTCACTTCGTGCAACTATTGAACGATATGGTGCAGACGCGAAAGAATATCCACCTGTACATGTTCTTATTGTTAAAGGTCATGAAGATTTAACAATAAAAATTGCTGATCATGGCGGTAAGATATACGAAATGTTTCGATGATGGAGTATCACTGTGAAGTTTTTATTGATATCGATAAACTTCACAAAGATTGTTTAAGGTTATTATTTACGACTGAACTATAAAAATCAACTATTTTTTTTTACAAAAAAAAGCACTATCGAGGGATTCTTTGTTAATGCTTTAATTTCAACATGTTTTTTGTAGTGTTAAGATCAACTAGATCTTAAGCTATCAATTCCGTGTATTTATTTTAATATGTCACTACAAAAAGAAGTCTAATGGTGTGAATTCTAGGGTTCCTATGATCAGTTTCCTTCTTTCAGTTCATCAGTGATTGTGTGGAAATAAATCGATTTCATAGGTTTCCTGATCATCAAACTTAACGCCATTAGACTTCTTTTTGTGGTGACATATTGAAATAAATACACGGAAACGACAGCTTAAGATCTGCTGGCTCTAAATACTACAAAAAAAAACCATCGAAATTGAAGTATTAACAAAGAATCCCTAAATAGTGCTTCTTTTTCTAATGACTGTACATGATGTTTGTGTGTGTCCATTAAAAATTCACAATGATACCCATCATTGAAAAAAAGATTTTACTTTCTTCATGAACTTTTGGAGCACACCGTGTACATATTCTTCAATTAAATATGAAGTAAAGTATATGTGCTTGATTGAAATACGAATTTTCCTTAGAATAGAATTGAATCTAAGATACATTTAGATTATAAGAACCATCGATATAAATAATTGAGTAAAAGAATATAATACTTTCGAAGTGACTATTAGTTTTATAAAGAAAAAGAATTCATTAAGAATATTAAAAATATGGTTTAAACCCTAGAGCAAACGAATTACGGTGATCAGAATCAGAACTTGTTGACCTGACAGACTCTATTATTAACACATAATAAACAGTAGTTCTTCATAACAAGAGATAAATATATAATATATATAAAAATATAACATAAACTGCAAAGAAGCTTTTTTCTGTTCTATATATTTTTATATACAATTCATTTAATTCGAAAGGAAACTATAAATATTTTTTTTTCTATCCAAACGTACTGATTCGATTATTAAACAAGAGATATTTAAATAAAAAAGATTGATAGAAAAAAAAACTGAATATGCATTTATTAACAATTATGAATACTAATTAACTTCTTTAGAAAAAGATACAAATAACAAGTTTTTCGAAAAAAGAACACAAGATTCTATAGTTATATAGTATAAATATTCATTTTTTATTTACAAATATATACAATATTTTCATCCGAGTATTTGCCTCTTCTTATTCCTATTAGTACATCTTCCTTCCTTTCTCTTTCGTCTATCGTTAGTTAATATTATCTGACTCATACCACCATTTCTAACAGCGTGTCCTCGATCTCTGCCCTTTGTTGTTCTGCTTGGGAAAAACATGCGCGTATATCCTGATATATATTTCTTATCTTACAAACAAAGATTATATGTTTTTCTAGGCGGTATACCACGTTCGAAATTATCACAACTCTTTCATTATATGTATTCTACAGCACCTAAACCTGCATCAAATGAAGCTAAATATGACAAACAAGAAACAGCTATTGCTGGTCTAGGTTATGGTTTACCGGTTGCACGTCTCTATGCAAAATATTTTCAAGGAAATCTTGCTCTATCATCAATTGAAAATCTTGGCACTTCAGCTTATATATCACTTAAAGTAAAAAGAAATTTTCAACATAAATATATACATAAACTTCTTAATTTTTATTTTAATTCTTAGTCAACAGCAGAAAATGCCAGGTAACTTTTTTTCTAATAACAATCAATAGAAACATAATTTTTATTTTATATTTTCTAGTGAATTAGTACCAATATTTAGTAAAGCTCGTTATTCATATACTACAAGAAAAGGTTCCGATTGGACAGTACATTTATAAGAATGATTCCTATTTTGTTTTATTCCATGTAAATATATGATTTCATATAGAATATTTTTTTTTGTAGATGAAATAAAAAATTTACATATCGATAAAGATGTTAGATGAAGTCAACTCTATAAATTTGAATGAAATTTAAATTAAAAACAAAAAACAAGTTTTAGTAATGCATTTAACTCGGTTTCTACGTTTCCCACAACAGTCATTAGCACATCTGATTGATCATTATGCTAAATATCCACCAACCGGTTTAACCATGAAACGAATTGTTGAATTCGGTATATTATTAAATAATTGATTTAGAATATTTATTTATTTATCTTTTTCTTTAATCAATAGCACGTGAAGGTGATGCTAAACAATCATATTTATTTCTTCGAAATGAATTACCCGTTCGACTTGCATCAATGATGAAAGAAATGGGACATTTACCACCACGTCTTCTTGAAATGCCAAGTGTTAAAACAGTTAATGGTTGGTATGGAACAAGTTTAACTGAATTACATACATTCAAAGAGTTACCAGCAACTGGTGATAGTGTGAAAAAGTATGAAGAAATTTTTTTTTCATAAAAATATTTTTTAATTATTTTTTTTTTATATTTATAGATTTACAGAAGTTTTACAAAATATACGTAAAAGACATTCAACTGTTATTGAAACATTAGCACAAGTAAAAAATAATTGAAAAATCTTGTTAATCAATATAACATGATTGTTTTTCTTTTTATATCTTAGGGTTATATGGAATTTTCTGATCAGGCCGCAATTAAAGAATATGAAGAATCTCAAATACAATATTTTCTCAATCGATTTTATTTATCTCGAATCTCAATTCGATTACTCATTTATCAACATAGTATGTATTCAATTAATTAAATATTATCTAATAATACTTTATTGACTATTCTTTATAGCAATGTGTTTTGGCGAAGAAGTACCGATACATCCCACGCATTTAGGTTTTGTTGATCCAAATTGTTTGGTTGAAGAAATTATCAAAGGTATTATTAACTATTAAATTCTATTAAAACTAAGATTTTCTTTAGATGCCTTTGAAAATGCTCAGTTTTTATGTGAAGGCTATTATTTAACAGCTCCTCCGTTGGAACTTCGTAAAATAAATGGTAAATATTTCATAGTTCTCATGTTAGTTTGTTCATTTATTCTTTGTTATTTATTTTGTAGCAGTAAATGCTGAAGAACCAATTGCAATAGCTTATGTACCATCGCATTTGTATCATATTATGTTCGAGTTATTTAAAGTAGGTTTAAATATATTATTAAAATACACAGATTTGATTTTATTTAGAATTCAATGCGTGCAACTGTAGAACATGCTGAAAGCAAAAAAATCAGTACTCCATTGCCACCAGTTGTGGTCTGTTATAGAAAAATAGAATCAAATTGATTAATTAATATTTAAATATAGGTTGATGTTGTTAAAGCAAAGGAAGATTTAACTATTCGCATTAGGTAAACAGAATTATTAATTAATATAATGTGTATGTATATATATTATTTTTCTCGTTAGTGATCGTGGTGGTGGTATTCCACGTTCAAAAGCTGATAAAATCTTTCGATATATGTATTCAACTGCACCACGACCCGTCTCATTAGTTGATTCTCAACACTCAGGTCCAACACCACTTGCTGGTTTTGGTTATGGTCTTCCAATTGTACATTTTTTATTGAAATATTTATTAAAGAAAAATAAATTTTCTTTTATCTAGAGTCGACTTTATGCTCGATATTTTAATGGTGATTTAGAAATTCATTCAATTGATGGATATGGTACTGATGCTTATATTTATCTTCAAGTATGAATAATAAATATATATATAGATATATATATAATTTTGATTTCTTAGGCTGTTGAAGATCAGGCTAGTGAATGGTTACCAATTTGTAATCGTGCAGCATATGAATATTATGTTTCACGTAAATATCAATCAGATTGGACAAAAAAGAAATAAAACCAGGATCTATTTCAATCAATTATCTATGATTGAGAATAACAGTGATTTATTATTAGAGAGTTTATTACTTGTTTTTTTTCTTCATATATACACCCTTTAGTGTTGACAAAAAAAACCTAAATAGTTGAATATAGAATTATTTCATTGACAGAAATTAGTTTTCTGTAGAGTTGTTTAATTTTTTTTTCTCTTTATACTAAACATGTTTCATTAAAGAAAAAAACGTGCTGTTAATGCACATTTGTTTATTATTATTACTTTTGCTTTTGTATATTTCACTGATATTCGTTTTTTTTGTCTCTCTCTCTCTCATTCTTTTTTTTTTGTTCTACACTATTTAAATTGGTGAAATAGAATAAACGAAAAAAACATCTTTTTTTTCTTCTGTTTGAATATTTGGTTTTCTTTTTATTCATTGTAATTAGTATATTTGTTTGGTAATGATGATGATGAAGATGATGATCGAAGATATTTACGAGTAAAACAAGTATGTTGACGTTTAGATTTTGATTGTTTTTCAGTAGATGAAGGGAAGAATTTGAAAAGAAGATTACGTTTATTAGGTAATTCATGTCGATAAACTTCAGAATAATCAGATTGACATCCTTTTGAATGAGATTGAGATTTAGTGGGTGTATGATGAAACCATTTCCATATAAGAGTTGAATAACATGGAGGAGAGGGATAAGAAAGTTGTTTGTCGACACGATTAAACGTAGAAATTGGTGATGTTAAATTAATATTTTTATTAGATCTTTTTAGTATTGGTGATAAAGATTCTGATGAAGTATCTGTCGTTGTTGTTGGTGTAGACGGTCGAGTAGAACTAGTTGAGACATATTGCGGTGAATTTTTATGTTTAATTATTGTTGATGGTCGAGATGACACTATTGGTGGTTGTTGACGGTGATGATAATAATGATAATAGTGATGATAATGATGAGTAGATTGTAATGGTAAAATTGTAGAAGGACGTGATTTAATTGTTGGAGGATGACATGGGATATGAATACTAGTCGAGTAAGTGACAGGTAGATGAATTGATGATTGACGAGTAGTCTCTAATGGTTTAATACGACGGTCATTTATTGTTTCTAAATTCACTGATCGCTTTGTATGATTTAATTGATTTGTTGTTTGCTCTTTTAATATTCGAGGTGCATCGGTGGTAATATAACATGTCAATGGTCGTTTTGATGTTGATATTGCTTCAACATTAACTGAATAAGAAATTGGTAGATCTTCATCATTTTTAACACAATCAACATATTTTGACATAATTTTTCGTATCTGTTGTTGTTTTGTTGCTCTCATATAAATGAGAGTAACATTTATATATGTATCATTAAGTCCTCTGCTCGATTATTTATTGTCAATGATGCATAGACAATAGATCAGTTTTTGTTGAAATGTTAATAGATATACAGATATACGTATATAGGGAGAGAGATTTATTTTTTTTTTGAATAATTATTAAAAACAGTTGAAAGAAAATGAATTTTATTTTTTTTAAATTAAAGAAGAATACATTTTTCAGTACGATGACTACGATTACGTTTACGTGAGGTTGGTGCACTGTCTGATGTTAAATTGCTTGTTCGTCGATTTGGTGCACTTTCATTTGATGCTGGTCGTGGTGTATGACGACTTGCAGGATTATTAGCTGAACGATTAATTTGTCGAACAAGATCAAAAAAAATCTAAAAAAATAAATTATTATTTGTAAATGTTTACAAAAAGAATAATTTTTTTTCTTTTACTTCATTAACATTTGCACGATCTTTAGCAGATGTTTCAAGAAAAGTACATTTCCATTTTCGTGCTAATGCTTGACCCATTTCACGACCAACCACTCTTTCATCTTCTAAATCACTTTTATTACCTACGAGTATTACAGGTGGTTGACCCTTAAAATTGAAATTAAAATTTTAAATATTTAATAATTATTTTTTCGGTATATTACATGAAGTTCTGAATCTTTAACACGCATTATTCTATCATAAAATTCATTTAAATCATTAAATGTTGCTTGTGATGTGATAGAATAGACAAGAACAAAACCTTGACCATTTTTAACATATAAATCTCTCATAGCAGAAAATTCTTCCTAATAAAAATCAAATAGAATAATGTACTTATTAATTTATTGTATTAATTTACAGTTCCTGCTGTATCCAATATTTCTAATGAATATTGTTTTTCATCAATTTCAACTGTCTAAATAAATATTGAGATAAATAAAAAAATGAGAGAAAATTTATTATAAAATATACTTTTTTATAGACATCTTCAATAGTTGGATCATATTTTGGTAAAAAAATACCTTGAACAAATTGCATCGTCTAGAAAATATAAGATAAAATTTATCTATTAGTTATTAAGAATCTATTTTTTTTAATTACCAAACATGATTTTCCAACACCACCAGTGCCAAAAACACATAGTTTAAATTCAGGAATCGGCATGATTCAATATTGGTGTACCTTATAGAATAGAAATAGTATAGAAAGTGTATGAAAAAATCACAGTTTTTTCTTATTTAACGACGTCAGCAATTAGTTGTTTCTTCTCCCTTTTTGCTCACCTGTATTTCGTCTCCTTCACAAAATGTGCGCTTTATGACGTTAATAGTATTTGAATACGTATATATACTGACATGTATATATATATATATTCATATGTACATTCGAAAAAAATAGTGTCTATGCTCTAATCACCGAGTGGACACCAACTGTGACTATGCGCGAAAAAAAAACGAAAAGAAAATCGAACATGACTTCAATGAGTCATTTCTTTATTAATAAGATGTATATATACAGATTTTTTGGACTCATTTGTATTTATTATTATTCATTTCAATTCATACAATAGATAAATAACGATAGAATATGTTTTTGTTTATAGAATAACACAACATGGCTTTTTTTTATCTTCAGGTTTAGTAGTTGGTGATGTAAAAGGATTTTCGTCTCTTTCTTTAACTTTGCCAGATCCACTAGGATTTTTTTTTGTTGTTGGTGGTGATGGTTGACTTGATCGAGATGTTTGATTTTTACGAGCTATTTGTCGGACAAGATCATAGAAAACCTTGAGAAAAATATATGTGTTAATTTGAAAAGAAAATAGTTCTTTTACTTCTGAAACATTTGTTCGATCTTTCGCAGATGTTTCAAGAAATGCACAATTCCATTTTCTTGCTAATTCTTGACCCGTTTCACGTGAAACAACTCTTTCATTTTCTGAATCACATTTATTTCCAACAAGAACAATTGCTGGACGTCCCTATACAATGAATGATTTACATCATTTATGACTTTAATTTTTTTTTTCATTTACATGTGTATCAATATCTTTAATATCTATAATTCGACTATAATGTCTTTGAACATCATTAAATGTTGCTTGTGATGTTATTGAATAGACAAGTACAAATCCATGACCACTATTAACATATAAATCTCTCATAGAAGAAAATTCATCCTAGATAAAATATAGAAACAAATAATTTGAAATACTTAGTTATCGTATTAATTTACACTTCCAGCTGTATCAAGAATTTCTAATGAATATTGTTTCTCATCAATTTCAAGTGTCTAAAGAAATATTTATAGGATTGACAAAAAGAAACGAGATTTTGTACTTTTGTATAGACATCTTCAATTGTTGGATCATATTTTGGCGTAAAAACTCCTTGGACAAATTGTATTACCTATAAATTATCCAATGTATAGTAATGATTTCCTATTCATCTATAATTATATTCATACTAAACATGATTTACCAACACCACCAGAACCAAAAATACATATCTTATAGTCACCCATTTTTAAATAATTTATATATCAATTAAACTATAGTAAAGATATTCGGAGTTTTTATGTTGTTGTTTATTAATATAGGTAGATGGATGTTATCTTGTCCTTATCATCATCTCTGTTGTCTCTTTTTTATCAGAAAGTTTTTTTTTCTTCTGTAGCATTGATAATACTTTACATAGTTTTCAATGGTAATAACAGCATACTATATGAAAACCAATGAAAGAGTTTTTTTTCTCTCTAGACTTTCAATGATTCATTCTCATAATATTGTTAGTCATTCGATGATTCATATTTAAAATCATTCCATAGTATTTTTTATTACGTATTTTCTATCTATAAGATAGAAAATTATCGTTTTTTGTTTCAAGAAAAAAAAAAGATGAACAAAATTGTATTCCTCTTTATACACAGACAACAAAATGATGAATATTATGAAAGAAAAAAAAAAAGAAAAAGTAGATTGGATTTGTTCGATTTTTTTCACCCTATTCTCATAAAAGAACACAACAATCTTTAAATTGTCCATTTGATCGATCAGATCGATGCCCGGATGATTGATCATATGAATAATCATTTCTTGGTTCAAGCTGATCAAAACCTTGTGATGATATTTGTTTTGCCGGTCTAGATCGTTGCGTTTTCCGATTAATTTGTCGTATTAAATCGAAAAAAATCTATTAAGTTATGCAAATTATTTTCTATTGACACACTATTTAAATTTCTTACCTCATTAACATTAACTTGTAGTTTAGCAGACGCTTCAAGAAATGTACAACTAAACGAACGTGCTAATCCTTCACCATTTTGTTTTCCAACAACGCGTTCATCCTCAAGATCATTCTTATTTCCAACAAGTACCATAGGTATATCTGCACCGACATCTTTAACACGCATTATTTGATCTTTTATATCGATTAAATCATTAAATGTAGCTTGTGATGTTATAGAATAAACTAATATAAAACCTTGACCATTTTTCATATATAAATCTCTCATTGCTGTAAATTGTTCCTAGATAAAAATAGACAAATCAAGATTAGTTCTTATTTTTGAATTTGTATTTACCGTTCCGGCTGTATCGAGAATTTCAAGCATACAATTAACACCATCAATTTCTACTTGCTAGAAATAAAAAAATAAAATCAATATTTGATCATTTTTTAGATGATTGTAAAATAGAACATTAGCGACGTACTTTTCGATAACAATCTTCGATTGTTGGATCATATTTGCCAACAAATATACCTTGAACAAATTGTACAGTTAATGCACTTTTACCAACACCACCACTACCTAATACTACCAATTTATATTCTCGCATAATGGTATTATAAGAAAATGAAGTATCTAAAGCATACAAAGAATCAACTAAAGTATGTGATGAATAATACAGCTACTGATGCTGTTGCTCGTTTTTCTTCTCTTTTTCTCTGTCTGTATGGGTGCACTGACGTCGTATAGATGTTAAACTTTTTTTTTTTTGAAATATGAGTCAGCGAGGTGTTGATCGGGTGCGGGCATCGATCCAGTGGTGGCAGTGCGACGCGCCAGTGACAGTTAGAAAAGACGAAGAAAGAGAAAAGAAAGGTAAAATTTCTTCCGCAAACTCGGTCGCCATCGTACACATCTAATTGACAAAAAACAACAGAGTTAAAATACACGTACGCACAATATATAGTCTTTTCTCTAGAGAAAGAGTAGAAGAAGAACAAGAACAAGAATAAGAAGAAGAAGAAGGAGTTCATTTTTTATTCATTGAATCATTCCTTTCTTTTTTTTTCGTTCTTTTCCCTTGTCTTAATGTATTTATATAAAATGTGGGAGAAAAAAAAATGTAATCATAGCAAATAAAATAAAAATAAAGAAAGCGTCAAAAGTTCGCTTCTTTTTCTTTATCGATTTTCATTTTACAATGATCCTGTTGCTTATAATTGTCATGAACGAAAAGAAAATGATAGAGTAGGAATGTTTTATATACATATATAAGAGATTGAATCACATCTCATTATTAAGTGTGGATATGTGTACATAGAGATCAATTGATCCTCTCTGTACTGTTGTCGACGATGAGAAGCGAATAACGCGTGGTGCGTAGGAGATAGATTTATTAAGATTTTATCTAGTAAGATAAAGAAAAGAAACGTGTTACAATAAAACACCCTCAAATACGCCTGGTATTACAATTTTTAATGAACGAATACACACTTGATAAATTATATGGTTTCAAATAAAAGAAGTCAAATGTACATTTTTTCACTGATTTTATCATTATGAATTGAGTATTCCTTTTTTTTCGTTCGACATTTCGTCCTTTCATGCAAATGATGACTATGACATTCGTCTATTTCCATCACTTCAATCAATTATTATCAGTGTTTAAATGAACATGTTTCTACAGTACAAAATTGTTCCTTGCTTCCTAATTCAACGAAAAAAATTTCATTTTTATACCTGTAATGTATGTAGAAGCATACATACATATATTTGATCCATTCATGTGGAACAATTACTACTTTCTGCTGTCACCTACTTGTACATAAGTATTGTCTGGATATACTTTTTTTTTCAATCAGAACTAAGGCTACGTATTACAATAACAAAAAGAAAATCTGTTAGCATTGATTGCTAAATAGAAAATCAGCATGGGTGGAATGATAGGTCTGTGTTTTGAAATAAATTTATAGGAAGACATATATATATATGTTAAATGAGTGTATTCCTTTTCTTTTATAGGTCATATCCCTCGTAGACCTCGTAGAGATCTATTTGTGGGTAAAAATTTTAATATCCATGGTAAACCTTATCTATTCCAGCGACGTTTAGGTGCCGGTGGTTTCGGTAATAATCTAAGTAAATTTTTCGTTATTATCTATAGATAAGATTAAATTTAGGTGCTGTCTATGCGGCTCGAGCACCTAGTGGTGATCATGTTGCAATTAAAGTAATTGATATAAATGGAATGCGGGGTGCTGGTGAAAATCTTGTTGTCTCCTATTTAACAGAAGTTAAAAATCTTCAAGAATTGAGACAAAATTCACGACATGTTGTTAAAATTTATGATTTTGATTTTGATTCTCGATCTGGTCGAGGTAAATTTTGAAAATTATTCAGAGAAAATGATTAATATGGTTTATTTGTAGCTTATATTGTTATGGAATTAGGTGGTGATAACTTAGCGAAATTAATTCTACGCTTACATGCAGCGGCAGGAAGTTCTCGTGATCCTGGTACATATATAGATCCGGTTATTCGTAAAGAAATTTGGCATCAAATGGTTAGTATTGTAACGACATTAACTTCAGAAAATATTGTTCATATGGATTTAAAACCAGATAATGTGATTTTATTCGGTGATGTCCTGAAAATCGCTGATTTAGGTATATCAAAAAAAGCCAATATGTTAGGGTATAAAAATAAATTTATTTCATTCATGTTTCTTTCTTTTCTCATCTTGTATCTTTTGTTGATTTAGTTATCCAGGTGTAGGTACACCATTATTTAGGTAAGAATATAATTAAAGAATTATATTTAATAAAGAATATTTTTATTTTTATTCTAGTGCACCAGAAGTAATGCAAGATAATAGTGGTCATCGTCGAGTCTATGGTCCAAAAGCTGATATTTGGTCTTTAGGTGCCATTCTTTATGTTATGACTTATGGTCAACCACCAAGATATAGTCGAAAAGCAGCAGATCCTCCACCGGGACAATCACCTTCACGTGATCGGACTCTTGTAGATATGCTTCGTCGTACACTTGTCCTTGATCCTCATAGACGTGCTGATATAGAAACAGTTCTACGTCATCCATATACACGTCATTGAAAAATCAAATGTTTTTTTTTGTTATTGTTAACACACAACAATTATTAAGAAAAATATAGTACTAGTTTTAATTGTTTCGTTTGTATCTAACATGAAGAAAATTAATAGAATATATATCTTTTAGATAGCAACAATGAATGATATTAGAACGAGAATTAAACTAGAGGATACTGAACTTCTAAATGTAAGTGCTGATTTGATTAATTATTATCGAAATATACATATATATATTATGTAGACAACATCAACAAATTTTCCTGGTAATTATCCCGGTTATGATGATCGTTTAAATCTAGATGAATTTCGAAAAGTAATAATAACATTTCTTCGATACAAAAAAAAGTAATTATTTTATTTTTCAGAATTTACAAATTCAAATATCTCATTTGGATAATACAACAACTGAATTTGATATAATTGGTATTGATGCATCTATTACTAATGCATTCCGTCGTATACTTATTGCTGAACTTCCATCAATGGTATATATATAAATGAAAGAAAAGAAAAATTTAAATTATATATTTCTATTCTTTAAGGCTATTGAAAAAGTTCATGTAACAGAAAATTCATCCGTCTTACCAGATGATGTTCTTGCACATCGTCTTGGTTTAATTCCATTACGTGCTAATGCACGATTATTTGTTGATAAAACTCCTGGCGACACAAAAGAACATGAAGATGATACATTAGTTTTCAAATTAAAAGCTACATGTAAGAAAAATCCTAAAGCAACAGATGGAAATGATGATCCAAAAAATCTTTATATTAATAGCAGTGGTAATAAAATAGAAAAACTATTGTTTATAAAAAAAAATTCTCTGCTTTCAAATTGTTTAGTTTATACTGAACATATGGAATGGATACCTATTGGAAATCAAGCAACGAAGGTTATTATTATTTTTAATGAATAATTAGAAAAATAATATTCGTTTTTTTAAAAAAATATAGTTTAAAATGGATGATGTTGGACCAGTATTTAATGATATTCTAGTTGTAAAACTTCGTCCCGGTCAAGTAAATTTATATTTCATATAATAAATCAAATAGATTACATGTGTTTTATTTTTATCTATTAGGAAATTGATCTTAAACTTGTTTGTCATAAAGGTATTGGTCGTGATCATGCAAAATTTTCACCTGTTTGTAAGTAATTATATTCATCAAGAAAATGATTCTATCTCAGATATTTTTGTTTCTCATTTAATTAGGTACAGCATCGTATCGTTTGATGCCTGAAATAGTTCTAAAAAAACCAATATACGATAAAGATGCGGAACAATTACAAAAATGTTTTACACAAGGTGTTATCGAACTTGAAGATGATAATAATGGTAATCGAAATTTCTTTTTACTTATAAATGTTTCGTAATGAATTAGAGGAAATAGTTTCTTTTTTTTTCTATTCATGTTAAAATTAAAATTATTATTGCACTTAGTAAACCATATGATTGACATTGATAAGTCTTGTCTGAATGATACATTTTCTACATGAATAGAACGGAACAAAATGTAAAAATTATTTTTCACTCTTTTCCGATAACAATAATAGTATTGACGTCAAATGTATTAGATAGACGTAAGAAAAAACTTTTTTTCCTAAGAGATTTTACTTTAAAAAACAATCAAAAGTAATACTATAGTTTATTTCTATTAATAGAATGAATTATATTGTATTTAGGTCGTCGTCATGCTGTTGTATCCAAACCTCGTCTTGATATGTGTAGTCGAGAAGCACTTCGTTATCCTGAATTAAAAGATCGTATTGAATTAAATAAAATTCGTGATCATTTCATATGTTTGTATATTCTAATTATTAAAAATAAGCAAAATTATTTATATGATACTTTTTTTTGTAGTTAGTATCGAAAGTGCAGGTGCTTTATCACCTGATCAACTCTTTATCGATTCTATTAAATTGTTAATGTCTAAATGTGATCGATTATTACAAGAAATCGATGGTAATACAAACAATTAATAAATCAAATATTCTTCTCTAGATATATGTCTCGATACAATGTGTTTTTTTGTTGATTTTTTGTTTTTGTTATATTGAAAAAAAAAGAAAAACAAAATATATTAAGACAACAAAGGGAATGTCCCAGCATTTCATTTAATAATAAAAAAGAAAAGAAAAAGTTTGACACAATGATATTTATATATATATATGTATACTGTTCTCGATGCAATACTCTTAGTGACTAGAAGTAAATATGTATAGGATAAAAGAAAACGAAGACGAAAAAGAATAATCACACAATTTGATAATGAATGCTCGGCATTCAAAGAAACGAGAAAAGAATATGTTTATTTCTAAACAGCACTATCTTTTTCTCGTTGTAATGTTTCAGTTAGATAAAGACGTAATTGTTCATCAGATGGTGATATAGATGAATCACATAGTGTGGCAGATGGTGTTAAACTAACTGAACGACGAGCTTGTTGTTGATCATTTGAAATATAATTTAATGATGGTGATGATAATAAATTTGAAAAATTAATTATTGTTGATGGTGGTGAACGAGATGTTGTTTGTGTTGATTGTACTGAACATACTGGATGTGTTATTTTATATGAAGGTGATAATGATTCATCCGTACTTGATGTAGATCCAATTTTCGGATGGTGATGATGATGATGATGATGATTATTTACTCGAATTCGATCACAATTTTCAGTTGTATATGTAAATACAGATGGTTTAAGATAAGTTTGAGATGCTGAATGTTGATAATTTTCAAGTTCTTGTCGACTTGATATTATTGTTGGTGCTGATAATTGTGCATGAACTTGTTGTTGAGCAAGATGTAATTGTTGTATAGAACTCATTTCACGTTTTAATGAACTAATTTTTGATTTTGTTCGAACAAGTTCTTGTTTCATTGCACGATTTTCAACTTCAAGTCGTTTCTTTTCCTAAGAGAAAAAAAAAGCAAAAAATAAAGAATTTAAATAGAATCATAATTTTATCTTACTTCTTCAGCTTGTCTTAATCGTTCGAAAATTTCATTTTGTGTTGCATCAGATTTTGTTGGTAATGAATGTAATGATTCCGTTAAAGATAATTTTCTTGTATTTAAATTTTGACTACTACCAAAATTAGTTGTTGTTGTTTTAACGAGTTGTAAATTTGTATTCGTTGTAAAACATGTATCATCATCATTATCATCTAATGTTGGACATGTTATTAAACCAATATCTTTACATGTAGTAGGTTTTAGTGAACGACGAGTATGTTTTGGTGCAATGAAATGTGATGTATCATCATCATCATCACTAACATCACCTTCAAGAAATGCATCTTGACCGCGAAGAAGTTGTGATTCATTTTTATCATGTTCATCAATTTCTGTTTTAGTTGTTGTTGTTGTTATACTTGTTGTAGATTCGGAAGTTCCTGTTGATGTACTTGGCGCTGAAGATAATAAAGTTGGAGTTGGTAATGGACGATTCCATATAAAACTACGATCATTCCATTTTTCAAAACTATCTGAACATATTAATGGTCCACGTGGAATTAATTGTTGAGCAACTGGAATGACATTTATGAGTTGATGATTATTTATCATTTGTTGTTGTTGTTGTGGAGGTGATGGTGGATGTGTATAATAATAATCATCATTTGAATCGGATAAAACATGTTTTCGATGTTTTAATGATGATGGTTTACGTAAATTCCATAATTGATGATGAGGAGACTTATCATGAATAATTGATTGTTGTTCATCATCGGATGAACTTGTACAACTTTCTGATGTTCCCGACGATGATGATGATGATGAAAAATTAAGATCTTCAGTTTGTGTACCTTTTTGTCTTTTACGAGCTTTACGTATACGAAATGAATTTCGACTTGGACGAGTATCACCACCCATAGAACTTTGTTTATTGACTGGATTTGAACGTTTTTGTCGACATTCCATAACAACTTGATCTTTACAATGACGATGAGCATTAATACCACAATCTAAAATTTAATATAAATTAAAAAATAAAATAAAGGAAATAACAAAAAATATTCAAATACTTTACCTTTACATTTCCATCCTTGTTTAATTAAACCCCAAAGAAGTCCAGTACAATGAACACAAAATGTTGGTTTAAAATAAGTTGTTTCATGAAAATCATGTTTAAATTCACCCTTTAAATCATGATATTTAGCACGTAAAAAATAACTACGCATTTCAGTTTTTGATATCATTCCATCTCTAAAACAAATTATATAATATTTCTATACAAAATAAATTTTTGTAAAATTTTAACATACTGATCAGCATCAAGTACAGTAAATGTATCAATAAATGGAAAATTTTGTGCTATTTCTTCAAATTCCGTATGTGAAATATAACCATCACGATCATGATCATAGGTTGTAAAAACTGCTTCAACCATTGCATTAACATGTCGTTGAATTGTTTGAATATCAATAGTTTGACTAACACCAGCTGCCCAATCAGCAAATACGGGACCGTGCATATGTTCTTTTTTCTTATAAACATCTGATGTTAAATCATTTGCTGTTTCACCTGGATGTAAACCTCGTGATGGTTGGTCAGGCTAATTAATAAATAAAGAAATAATTCAATAAAAAGATATTTAAATTCATTCGTTTTTATTACCGATGAAACAGATGACCGGGGTTCTCTTGCTAATGAAAGTTCGTAAATTTCATCTTCTGTATAACTTAAATCCAATGAAAGCTAAATATTAATTAAAAAAAAATACATTCATTTTTTTTTGATAATTATTTATTAAAATTATATCATACTGTAAGTAAATTAATCAGATCATGATTTGGTTGTACAGGTGGTACAGATACTTGTAGATTTGTTAACGTTCGAAATGTTATACTAAGTTGAACTAATTTACGAAAATTAATCAGATCATATTCAAGACGATCTTGTAATGCAACATGAAGAGATATTATATCTTTTAAATGTACTCCACTAATGATTATAAACGAAAAAAAGATAAGATTCAATCTATTCAATAATTTAACTTACATTATTGGTATTTTAAAACCATCGGAATCTGCTAAATGTTTTCTGTATTGTGCATAATTTGAATTTGAAGATAATAAATCTGTCATTTCACCTAAAAGTTTAAGATCTTCGGATGATAAACACATCATTGTTTTTGATAAACGTGCTAATGCACTATGTGATATACCACCAATAACTGCTAAGCATGTATTAAAATTTTGTAATTCTCTTAAATGCTAAAATATATTTCTGTGTAAAAAAAAAGAATCTTTGTTTTATAAATTATATTACTTTAGCAACATCAAGAAATTTATGTATAATTTCTGCACGTTGTTTCGGTGTCATTTTACTTAAAACCATACATTGTATCCATGTTGATAAACCATTAAAAAATTGTATTGAACGTTCAAGACGTGGATTATCTTGAAGAGTATTTTTAATTGCATAAGTTTTATAATCTGTAAATGTAATTCGTCGAAGAATTTTCCATTCTAAATATGTTAATTGTGCTGCTAATGTTTGTGGTTCAATATTATTAAAACCAAGTGAAACAGTTTTATTTTTTATTTGATTTCGTACTGTCATTTGACGCATCCAATCAAATGATGGTCTAAATAATGAAAATTTCGTTTTTTTCTTTTGATTAATAAAAAAAAAAAGGTAAACATACATTTGTGAAAGATCAACTAATTTCATACATTCAATATCACCTGATAATTCAATAAGATTTTTCATTTTTTCACATGTTTCTTTTAATTTTTTATCAAGATCAAAATGCATTGGAAAAGTTTTCATCCAAAAACTAAAAATAAATTATTTATTTTTATTTTTATTTTATTTAACAAAACATACTTATAAGCATGACAAATACGTAATTGATAGTCTTTGGAAAAACGTTTTTCATTTATATTTATTGCTTTTTTATAATCATCACCTGAATGTTTATATAAATCATATAACATATTACTTAAATATTCGGATTCCATTATCCATTTATGCATAAGAAAAAATACTTTAGGATATTCACTATCATCAATTACTGTTCCATCTAATTCTAAAATTAAAAAACAAATAAATTAATGAATGAGAAATATTTTTCTATTAATTATCTTACGAAATGAATCGATTAATAAACGAATTAATCGATTAAATGTCGCTCCTTTAACATGTATACCAGATAATATTGGTTTTTCTTCTTCAAGATATTCAGGTGTTTTTTCACTTGATTCAGAACGTGTATCAGATTCATCACCACCACCACTACTATTATTTGTTTGTTGTTTATCAATTGAAGACATAGAATCATTCATACTTCGATAATTTATATATATAGGATTTGTTTGTACTTGGACTTTTTTACGTCCATGAAGATGTTCATTAGTATCGATTTCAAATGTCACCGGACTATCTTCATCTAAATCTTGTATATTTGATATAGCTTGTGAACGTTTTATTGTTGTTGTTGATGATAATTTATTTGTATCATTATCAACACCACCAGGACGAGATTTTATTCGATGATCAACAATAGATGAACGTGAAATTAATGATGAAACAGGGAAATTTTGTGATGATGATGATGACGATTGTGGTGGCGGTGGTGGTATCGATGGTAAAACTATGGGTGGTGGTGGTGATGATATTAATGGTTCATCGGTTGATAATGGCACCGGTTGTTGAATACTACTAGTTATGTTCATTATTGATATTTATCGACATGAGCTAAAAGTAAAAACACACATATAAAGGTATAATAGAAAAGAAAACAAGAATTTCTCGTTTTTTTTCCCCTCATGAGAATGATCGATAGAGTGCAAATGAAATTTACAGCTGATGCTTCATGCGTTTCTTCCTTATTTTTTCCGTTGATAAAATAATATTGATACCCGTACAATGAATATGATTATGATGACGTACATGTAAACTATATATTCCTGTCATTTTAGTGAACCTTGACATTCTAAATAAATGTAGGAGGAGGAGAAATGAATATAAACCAAAAGAATTACTGTATGTGTATATCAACGTCATTATTTAACATAAAGAAACTCATTCATCCTACTTTATTATGCTCTTTACGTCACTCATTTAACAACAGAGAAAAAAAATCACTTTTATCTTAAATTACATTTGATTAACAGAAGAAAAAAAAATAGAAAAACAAAAATTTGTAAACAATGCAAATATTTTATCTATTATTGCAAAAATATTTTTGTATATAATACTTACCATATGTTATTCGTAAAAAACACCGCTACATTTCGTAGTGGCGTCGACGAACGATGATAATCAATCATTCAATCGACGAACTAATGATGCATATTCGAGATTGTGATTCGTTGTCTATCCAACATAGTAAAACATAAAGTAATAGAAGAAAAAAGATCCGAAGAGACTAGCGTTGATAATGCTTGATGATGATGACGGTGACGATGACGATGATGATGATGATGATGATCTAGAAATATTGTGTGCGAACATACGCGAAAGAAGAAAAAAAATTCCTGTTGCAATAGCAAGAAACAACTAGCTCATTGAATGGGAGGGATCTTCAACGCGTTCGCTCGCTCGCTCGCTCGCTTACTGTCAAAGAACAAATGCAAAAAAGAAACGCACGTCGGGTAATAGCAGTAGACCAGAGAGATGAAGTGCTAAAAATAGCGAATTGTAAGCGTGTGCGAACGCGCGCATAGCATCGTCTTCTGTTTCTTTCTTAAGCGTATGCGTATTTCAGAAACAGGGGCGTTCTCTCTCTCCCTCTCTCTCTCTCTTTGTCTTTCTTCTTCTTTTTTTGGTTCTTCTTGTTTCGTTGGTAACTGTTATTGAACAGAAATGCACGCGTATGCTAGTTAAAGAGACGGATAGATAGCGCGCATACGCTCAATGAGAGTGATTGAGAGAAAAACAAGACTGAGAGGGAGAGAAAGAGACCATCTCGCTGTTCCGCTCATCCAGGGTTTGTCGGCTCTTGCTGATGTGTAACAGAACAGGACACAATAAAAAAAAAAGATTTTCGAACAGAACATGAACGTAGACAAAATTAGACATTGTGCACGCGACAGTTATATATCGAGGTCATGTCTGAAACAGATAGATAAAAATGAATGTGTATTTTAGATTTACTGTTATTATAAACGACCTTGAAATAGATCTCTTTGTGAAGATGATACTCACATGATGTCACTTCTAACAATAACATCACGATGATACTTTTTTTTCTTCTTCTTCTTTTTCTTCATCTTATGTTTAGTTCTCTATCTTGTGACGTATGTGTGCAAAATATTACAGATGAAATCTATGGTGTTAGTTATATGAAGTAATCGTTGCAATGACGAAAAAGAGAACGTGGAATGAAAAAAAAATCCGAGCGACAGGCGAACTCGTTCTTTTCTCGTCTTTTTTACTATACTACTACTGCTGCTGCTGCTGCTGATTGTCTATCATTCCATTATTTCTTTCCCTTTTTTCCGCCCTTACGATCTTTGCAAGCTTGACAATATGCGTATATGTGTATGCGAACGTATACACGCATACAGAAGAAACAGACATTTTTTTCAACTAAACTAAATTAGTTGATGACGAAACGATACAGATATTGTATGGCAATTACACATGTTTAGAACACTAAAGTTTTGTGTTGTTAGCCACTTGAACATACAAACAGATAAATGCTCTCAAATGACGCGGTATGAGTTTATATCAATAAGATGAAGAAGAAGAAAAAAAAGGAGATGACGAAGAAAAAAAAGAAAAAAAACTCAAGTCTACTACTACCGGAAGCATCTCGCTTCATCATCATCATCGTTATAGGAAGTAAGTATAATAGAAAAAATAATCGAAGCTATTGCTAATATAAAACGATATTTATTTAATCGAAATTTTATATTTAAAAAGTTTATTACTATTATGCAAATAAAAATAAATTCATATAATGTATTTAAAAAAAAAGACTTGGTTGATATATCTATATTTATATATATATATTATATATATGCTTCTTAATACTTATCCTTCAAGAATTTTGAAGTCTGTTGTTTCCTTTTCAATGTCAGGCAACTATTATTTGAATAATAATGCCAACAAAAAAGAAGAATCGTCAAGATTACATATACTTTCTAATTTCCGACGCCTATGACCCATGACATAATAGAGCACACAGATATATATATTTATATATATATATATATATATAAAGAGAGAGAAAGAAAGAAAGGAAAAAAAAGGAAAGAAAACCATAATTTTTATTTTATAAATGCTAGAAGGCTATTTAAAGTATCAAATCTATAATATTTAATAAGTAATATGAATTTTGAAATAACACATTTTTTCTGAAAACCACACCTTTTCTATGTGTTAATCTATACAATGAAAATAACACATAAATACTTTGTTAATCAACTATTATTTTTATATTTTAACAGTTTTTACTATTTGATTCGATAATGATGTAAAAATCAAACATATAAATAAATGTATGAATTAACTCTACGCATTGATCATGTTGTTGTTCTTTTTTTCTTTCTTTCTGTAAATCAAAAGAATTAAATCACTTTATAAGAATTTTCTAATCGATATAACGGAAAAGAATTGTTGTGTAGGTAATAATAATGAAAAAAATATATCAACATATATATTTCTATCAATAGTGATGCATCAGGTTATTTAATAAAAACAAGAAAGAAACCAGATATGTCCTTAGAGTGCGTCAATTTTAGCTTATTGCTTTATTCCCTGGATATAATTCTTATCAATATATTGATGTTAACTCTAGTGTAATCTAGTACTATTGATTTAGATGTTATAGTTTTTTGTCTATTGTATTGATTGATTTATTTGAAATGAAATGTTGATGAATAGTTCACAAATATGAGATTATATTTATTATTAATATATATAACCTTGTCAAGAGAATTAATGTAATACTATAGATATATCTCGAGAATAGATAAAATTTATTAAAGTTTATTATCACAAAAAATCAATAAATAATTTCAAGTATTTTATTTTAAATATTATTGTATAACAGAGAACTAATTACACATCATAGTTAATGTTTTTTAATATTAAAATTCATATTCATTTATAGTAGAGCAATGGTTAAATGTAGAACATTTTATTGCATTTTAATTTTTAAATACCTTTGCAACTTAAAATAGAACGAAAGAATCTTAAAAAAAAGAAATGTTAAAGAGTTGATAGCGAATAATGTTTTTTAAATTACTTAAGTTATTTAAGACTATCATATCTTACTAAGTAAGGTTATTTTTATCAAGAATGATAATTATGAGATTTATTCATGAACTAATAGTTCACATTTGTCACTTATAATGATATTAAGTACAGCATTTTTTTAAATAAAGTTTTAGAAGCATGACTCATATTGATCTATAGAATGATGCCATACTATTGTATTATAAAACAAGATACATTGATTAGCAATTCAACAGTTAAAATAATAACATCATGTGAAAACTAATGAACATATCAAAGTTTTGATTATTGAAAGTTATTTTACAAACAAAATAAATATACGAATACATATAAAAATTCGAAGTATGACGAATAGTTTATTTTTATAGAAATCTTATTGCGTCGAATATTGTTTAATCAAATAGATTTATATACCATAAAAAGAAATACAGTTATCACAAAGGCCAGCTTATACGATTGTATTATGGTACCAGTGGTATTAAAGGTTTTCTTCGCAGTAATTCATGCATAATTTTACTGATTCGTACTCAAGACTATTGAATAGAATTATTACGCGTCAATATTTTTTTATTTCTTTATATTATATTTATATAAAAATGATGATTATTCATCTTATTATAAACCATATTTCATTATTTTACTGAAATAAATACGCCATATATATTGAGCTGGTAACAATTTATTTACATATACTACAGGTCATACATTCGTTGACCTATAATGATTGAATAAAAATAGAAACATCGTAATAAAACAGAATTTTATATATTTGTTGACTATATTTAAAATTCTAGGTTTTCAAACATATACATTGTTTGTATTTACTGATATAATTGTCGTGCGCAATTTTAGAAAAAACTATAAAATCTTTAGTTTACAGGCTTTTTCTCTTCACGATACAGTATTAAGACCGCAATCTCTTATGTAAATATTCACAACATTAAAGCATAAAAAAAAAGAATTTCATATTTTTATCTTAAGTCAATATTCGTGCTGTTTTTGCCACCGGTATCTACTTGCTGATGTCAGATAAAATTATTTATATGAGTTTGTTCTTCATCTATTCATACATTAAAAAGCATTTTAAACTCTTCTTTTTTACATACTGTAATATTCCACCATCATCATTAAAAGCAATAAGTTTTTTACTATCATTCCCCAACAACACCTAACAACGTCCTCTTCCGATATTTAAAAAAACAGGAAAAAAGTGTGTGTATAATATTTAAAATCATTGATTTTATATTGCTTATTGAAAAACTAATAAATTTCTTTTTTAAGTATTTTTCTATATCTTCATTTGCGACATATGTTCGTCAATTTCTTTTTTTTTGACAAATTCGTCAATATGTATGCGTATGACATCTGACAAGATCATAGGTTGTCTATAATTTGGAAATATTCCAGTAGATCTTCATTATTTTATCGTTCTTCTGTCTAGATGTCAACGTCTTCGGCATTCTTATACTATTCTTCGTCATGTTTTTTATTTGCATGCATGCATCAACCGATACTGGAACGAACAAGTAAGCAAAGTTTTACACGGCGTTGTTTGCTAAAGCATCGATAGAGACGATGTCTCTAACCGGTTCTGTCTGTTAATGAGAAATGTTTATTTTTTTTCTTCTTTCTCGTCGTTATTCATACTAACATAATTTACCAGTACGTCATTTCATTCTGGTATATTTCTCTTCCTTTTTTCTCGTCTTCATCGCTCTTTTTTTTCTCGACATTACATCGCTCGTCAAGATTATGAATGCGTGCCTGTGTTTGGATGTGTACGTATGTGTGTGTGTGTGTGTGTGTGTGTTATTCTTACTTCATATATATGTAAGGCGTTCGATTTGCTTACATCATGACGATAGTTGTCGTTCCATTTCTTTTCTCTTTGACTATGTAAGTTTAAAATTGCACATATACACACATATAAGACAACAAAATATATATAAAATAGTGTAGGCATGTATGACTGATGAAAATTTTTTCAATTGTTTTAGATAAATACTGGTAAAATATATAATAAAGAACGATTTTCAAGATTGATATTAATTGAAGAATAGTTGATTAAATTATCGTATATTTTTTTTGAAAAAGTTTTTATAAAGCAATAGAGTGGCTGTCTTCGGAAAACCAACGTACCCATTCGGTAAGTTTTGAAGAAAAACTAAATTATTGATCCATATAGAACGTATTAAATTTATTTAGATTGGATGTTTTTGTGTCTAAGGTTCACTTTATTTGATAACCAACGTCATGAAATGCACATTGCTATCTGAATACATTGAAAGTAAATTAATTTATTCTTTTATTTTTACAGTTAAAAAACAATAATTTTGTTTATTTTAACAGTTTTTTTTGGCTTTGCCTCAAGCTATACCTATTGGTACTCATATTACTGGTTGTATGGCACAGATCATAAACACGTAAGATTTTTTTATTCAATTATTTTATGAATCAAAAAAAATATCTCATTGGCTTCTGCATATATTTTAGTTTGAATTCAGCTGATTGTACACCAATGATTTCATCAATGACGTCAGCCGATGATGAAGATGCTATAGACGATCACCATCAATTTCTTACTCCATCATCGGATTTACTCTCCCCGAAAACTGATAATGGCGTCATTAGTCCCCACATAACTTTGACAATAAATAATAATGATAATGATTCCGCTGATACTGAAGATATATCCTATGTTATTCAACCCTTACCAACAACATTAACATCATCAACAATGACAACAACAACATTAAATACTCCTCAATTACATACATATTTAAATTTAAGTGCAGCAAGTAGTGAGTCAAGTCTTGTTCAGCCACTTCTTAAAGAAAAACATGAAACACTACCTATCTATACATCACCTAATAATAGTGAAGATGAACGAACAGCATCATCCTCATCCTCAACAACATCATCAACAAGTTCCAATACTTCACTTATACCAAATTGTCGTTCATATATGACATTATATTTTACTGATATGCTGATATCTGCATTTTTCATAACACCATTTGTTAATATTCATTGGCGTGGTGCCTGGGATTTACTTGATATACATTTATTACCTGATTATCCACGTACGAGTGCATTGATTTCATTGGGTATTGGATATTTTATGCTTTATATGATATATTTAACCCAAGGTTGTTTACAACGATTTTATGAAAAACATCGACACAATATTTTGGGTCAAATAATGACTAGATTATATACATTGCTACTTGCATTAGCTTATATTAATCAATGGCGTGGCTTATGGAATTTATTAGATTTAACAAGTAATGAATGGTATCATTTAGTTGGTGAAACAGGAATATGTATTATATTTCTTTTATTAATGAAATCTATCTATAATCTCAATTCAGCACCATTTTTAATTGGTGTTGATACTGAAAGTTATTTTTTACTCGATTCAAAATATACAGTAACAGTACGTCATAGATTATTATTATTTTTTATTTAATAATATTTTTCTTTTTCTTTTAGACAAATAATTTTTTACAACATACATTTGACTTTTTCTATTATGAATTTGTTGAAGCACCATTACTAATAATAACATGGCGTGGTCTTTATAATCTTTCGGATTCATATATATGCCCTGAAAATCGACAACTTTCAATGATAGTATCATTTGCAAGTGGCTATTTATTATATTTTCTTCTTGCACTCATACAAATTCCAGTTGTACGATGTTTAATAAAACAACGTCATCATTTCTTACATTCAATTGTATCGAATTTATTTCATTTAATTGCATTTATAAGTGTTGTTCAAATTTGGAGAAGTTTATGGATTATTTGTGAACAATATTTAAATATAACAGGCTATCATAATACAACTCTTTGGCTTTGCTATGGTGTTGCTTTTGTTGTGCTGACATGTGGCTTGGCAGCATGTTCATTAAATGGACCAGGTGGATCGAAAGATAGTTATATTGATGAAGGGCCTATACTTCTATTTAAATTTGATTATTTTTCAACATTACTTAAAGTAAGTGTCATATTTTAATTTATTAGAAATAATTTTATTCCTATGAGAAGAGAAAGAAAACAAAAAAAATTCATATTTCGTTTTCAGCAACAACATACAGATAATACAATACCAAGTCAGACATCATCTCAGTCAGGTCTGATTTTATGGATAGTTACACGTGTTTTGAGACGAAAAGAAATAAAACGAAGAAATACATTATTGAGTCAATCACGACGAAGTTCAATGGTAGATGATAATGTATTACCATCTATATCAGAAACTATCAATTGAAATGAATTTGTACGTTAATATATTCAGCTCGTTTTTCTATTGCTACATGATTTAAATTGCTCTAAGCTCATATATTTTCTTATTTTATTCCTTTTTTTATTCCTTTTTTTATTCCTTTTTTTTCTTTTTAGCGTCAATCAAGTCATTTGAAAGTAACTAAAGATGGTAGTTTAAGTTCTGATATATCATCAACAGAAACAATAATAACTGCTGAACGACTCTATCGATTTGAACCTTCTGTCTAATAAAAAGAATGAAGAAAATCATTATTATTCATTGTCATACCGTACGATAATAATTCCTTTCTCTTTTTTTTTGATAATTATCGATAAATTTTATTTTTTATTCCCAGTGATTGTAAAAAGTCTTATTTTCTTTTTGTTAACCAGAGACATTCCTATTTTTATTTTATTTTTTTGTGTTCTCTATTTTCTTAATTTTAAAAGAATTCAATTTATGTTTCTTGATTATTATTGTTGTTTTCTTTTCACTCTTTCGCTTCCTCGGCTTTTTCTTCTTCTTCTTCTTCTTTTTTTGCTGGACCTCATCAAAATTTTGTTTATTATTATTCATTTCTTTCGAAAGAGAATATAAAAATTTGCAGATTTTCTTTTTTTGTTCTTCTTCTTCTACTTCTTCTTTGTTGTTGCTGTTGTTGTTGTTATTAATTACTACTGAAAAATCTCCTGTATTATATCTCCCTTCTTTTTGTCCTGTATATCCAAGCATGTCATTTATATAGACATTGAAATGATCAATTGTAAAGTCAATTGAACAGGTTTTTTTCTGTTGCATATTTATTTATTCATTTCTTCTATATGTAAACAAATAATAATTTTCAAATATATACCAGGGCAAATAATTTCAATCATACTGATTTATTTAATGATATAATAAATGGAATTTCACGTAGACCACCTCTGCCACGGATTTTTT